TTCTACAATCCGACATTAATCGCAATTCGTACGAGAGCGCGTGATTGCACCGGGATAAAAGTAATGCTACGGGACCGGCATTCGAAGATGCGTTGCTGGAACGGAATCGAACAGGAGTTTGCAGCGAACAAAACCCAAAGACTGACCACTATGGGACACGGCTTGCTTGTGCTCGTATAGACATTTTTTACCTATCACTTACTGCTCTGCCAAGTTGTCATACAGGGCGAGTGGCGCAATGGATATCGCGTCTGACTACGAATCAGGAGATTCCAGTTTCGTCTCCTTGCTAGCGAGGAGCTGCCTACATCTTCTCGAAAAATTGTTTTCTTGAAAAAAACAGATTGTGGGAAGAACGGAATCGCAGTAGTGGAAAACTACTCGTTACTCACCTCATTTATTTACAAAAGAGGTAATCTTGACGTTCAGATCTACCCATGTGGTATAGGTAAAAAATTTACACTAAGATCATCAAGCAGCCGTGATCGTATAGTGGTCAGTACTCTGCGTTGTGGTCGCAGCAACCCCGGTTCGAATCCGGCTCACGGCAGCATCTGCGAGTTGCCAGTCCCTTCAGCTAGACTTTTAACAGTTGGTAACAACGCCCTCTCGTATGAAATGCAGTTACTCTTGGATTCTGCCAAGTTGTCATACAGGGCTAGTGGCGCAATGGATAACGCGTCTGACTACGAATCAGGAGATTCCTGGTTCGACTCCTGGCTAGCTCGGAGCTTCCTTCAACTTCTCGAAAAATTGTTTTCTTTGAAAAAACTGATTGTGGGAAGAACGGAATCGCAGTAGTGGAAAACTACTCGTTACTCACCTCATTTATTTACAAAAGAGGTAATCTTGACGTTCAGATCTACCCATGTGGTATAGGTAAAAAATTTACACTAAGATCATCAAGCAGCCGTGATCGTATAGTGGTCAGTACTCTGCGTTGTGGTCGCAGCAACCCCGGTTCGAATCCGGGTCACGGCAGCATCTGCGAGTTGCCAGTCCCTTCAGCTGGACTTTTAACAGTTGGTAACAACGCCCTCTCGTATGAAATGCAGTTACTCTTGGATTCTGCCAAGTTGTCATACAGGGCTAGTGGCGCAATGGATAACGCGTCTGACTACGAATCAGGAGATCCCAGGTTCGACTCCTGGCTAGCTCGGAACCTTCCTTCCACTTCTTTGGAGTGCTCAGGAAATTTCTACTTGCAAATCGTTTTTCTTTGAAAAAACAGATTGTGAGAAGAATGCAATCGCAGTAGTGAAAACTACTCGTTACTCACCTCATTTATTTACAAAAGAGGTAATCTTGACGTTCAGATCTACCCATGTGGTATAGGTAAAAAACTTACACTAAGATCATCAAGCAGCCGTGATCGTATAGTGGTTAGTACTCTGCGTTGTGGTCGCAGCAACCCCGGTTCGAATCCGGGTCACGGCAGCATCTGCGAGTTGCCAGTCCCTTCAGCTGGACTTTTAACAGTTGGTAACAACGCCCTCTCGTATGAAATGCAGTTACTCTTGGATTCTGCCAAGTTGTCATACAGGGCTAGTGGCGCAATGGATAACGCGTCTGACTACGAATCAGGAGATTCCAGGTTCGACTCCTGGCTAGCTCGGAACCTTCCTTCAACTTCTTTGGAGTGCTCAGGAAATTTCTACTTGCAAATCGTTTTTCTTTGAAAAAACAGATTGTGAGAAGAATGCAATCGCAGTAGTGAAAACTACTCGTTACTCACCTCATTTATTTACAAAAGAGGTAATCTTGACGTTCAGATCTACCCATGTGGTATAGGTAAAAAACTTACACTAAGATCATCAAGCAGCCGTGATCGTATAGTGGTCAGTACTCTGCGTTGTGGTCGCAGCAACCCCGGTTCGAATCCGGGTCACGGCAGCATCTGCGAGTTGCCAGTCCCTTCAGCTGGACTTTTAACAGTTGGTAACAACGCCCTCTCGTATGAAATGCAGTTACTCTTGGATTCTGCCAAGTTGTCATACAGGGCTAGTGGCGCAATGGATAACGCGTCTGACTACGAATCAGGAGATTCCAGGTTCGACTCCTGGCTAGCTCGGAACCTTCCTTCAACTTCTTTGGAGTGCTCAGGAAATTTCTACTTGCAAATCGTTTTTCTTTGAAAAAACAGATTGTGAGAAGAATGCAATCGCAGTAGTGAAAACTACTCGTTACTCACCTCATTTATTTACAAAAGAGGTAATCTTGACGTTCAGATCTACCCATGTGGTATAGGTAAAAAACTTACACTAAGATCATCAAGCAGCCGTGATCGTATAGTGGTCAGTACTCTGCGTTGTGGTCGCAGCAACCCTGGTTCGAATCCGGGTCACGGCAGCATCTGCGAGTTGCCAGTCCCTTCAGCTGGACTTTTAACAGTTGGTAACAACGCCCTCTCGTATGAAATGCAGTTACTCTTGGATTCTGCCAAGTTGTCATACAGGGCTAGTGGCGCAATGGATAACGCGTCTGACTACGAATCAGGAGATTCCAGGTTCGACTCCTGGCTAGCTCGGAACCTTCCTTCAACTTCTTTGGAGTGCTCAGGAAATTTCTACTTGCCAATCGTTTTTCTTTGAAAAAACAGATTGTGGGAAGAACGGAATCGCAGTAGTGGAAAACTACTCGTTACTCACCTCATTTATTTACAAAAGAGGTAATCTTGACGTTCAGATCTACCCATGTGGTATAGGTAAAAAACTTACACTAAGATCATCAAGCAGCCGTGATCGTATAGTGGTCAGTACTCTGCGTTGTGGTCGCAGCAACCCCGGTTCGAATCCGGGTCACGGCAGCATCTGCGAGTTGCCAGTCCCTTCAGCTGGACTTTTAACAGTTGGTAACAACGCCCTCTCGTATGAAATGCAGTTACTCTTGGATTCTGCCAAGTTGTCATACAGGGCTAGTGGCGCAATGGATAACGCGTCTGACTACGAATCAGGAGATTCCAGGTTTGACTCCTGGCTAGCTCGGAACCTTCCTTCAACTTCTTTGGAGTGCTCAGGACATTTCTACTTGCAAATCGTTTTTCTTTGAAAAAACAGATTGTGAGAAGAATGCAATCGCAGTAGTGAAAACTACTCGTTACTCACCTCATTTATTTACAAAAGAGGTAATCTTGACGTTCAGATCTACCCATGTGGTATAGGTAAAAAATTGACACTAAACTCATCAAGCAGCCGTGATCGTATAGTGGTTAGTACTCTGCGTTGTGGTCGCAGCAACCCCGGTTCGAATCCGGGTCACGGCAGCATCTGCGAGTTGCCAGTCCCTTCAGCTGGACTTTTAACAGTTGGTAACAACGCCCTCTCGTATGAAATGCAGTTACTCTTGGATTCTGCCAAGTTGTCATACAGGGCTAGTGGCGCAATGGATAACGCGTCTGACTACGAATCAGGAGATTCCAGGTTCGACTCCTGGCTAGCTCGGAACCTTCCTTCAACTTCTTTGGAGTGCTCAGGAAATTTCTACTTGCAAATCGTTTTTCTTTGAAAAAACAGATTGTGGGAAGAACGGAATCGCAGTAGTGGAAAACTACTCGTTACTCACCTCATTTATTTACAAAAGAGGTAATCTTGACGTTCAGATCTACCCATGTGGTATAGGTAAAAAACTTACACTAAGATCATCAAGCAGCCGTGATCGTATAGTGGTCAGTACTCTGCGTTGTGGTCGCAGCAACCCCGGTTCGAATCCGGGTCACGGCAGCATCTGCGAGTTGCCAGTCCCTTCAGCTGGACTTTTAACAGTTGGTAACAACGCCCTCTCGTATGAAATGCAGTTACTCTTGGATTCTGCCAAGTTGTCATACAGGGCTAGTGGCGCAATGGATAACGCGTCTGACTACGAATCAGGAGATTCCAGGTTCGACTCCTGGCTAGCTCGGAACCTTCCTTCAACTTCTTTGGAGTGCTCAGGAAATTTCTACTTGCAAATCGTTTTTCTTTGAAAAAACAGATTGTGGGAAGAACGGAATCGCAGTAGTGGAAAACTACTCGTTACTCACCTCATTTATTTACAAAAGAGGTAATCTTGACGTTCAGATCTACCCATGTGGTATAGGTAAAAAACTTACACTAAGATCATCAAGCAGCCGTGATCGTATAGTGGTCAGTACTCTGCGTTGTGGTCGCAGCAACCCCGGTTCGAATCCGGGTCACGGCAGCATCTGCGAGTTGCCAGTCCCTTCAGCTGGACTTTTAACAGTTGGTAACAACGCCCTCTCGTATGAAATGCAGTTACTCTTGGATTCTGCCAAGTTGTCATACAGGGCTAGTGGCGCAATGGATAACGCGTCTGACTACGAATCAGGAGATTCCAGGTTTGACTCCTGGCTAGCTCGGAACCTTCCTTCAACTTCTCGACAAATCGTTTTTCTTTGAAAAAACAGATTGTGAGAAGAATGGAATCGCAGTAGTGGAAAACTACTTGTTACTCACCTCATTTATTTACAAAAGAGGTAATCTTGACGTTCAGATCTACCCATGTGGTATAGGTAAAAAATTTACACTAAGATCATCAAGCAGCCGTGATCGTATAGTGGTTAGTACTCTGCGTTGTGGTCGCAGCAACCCCGGTTCGAATCCGGGTCACGGCAGCATCTGCGAGTTGCCAGTCCCTTCAGCTGGACTTTTAACAGTTGGTAACAACGCCCTCTCGTATGAAATGCAGTTGCTCTTGGATTCTGCCAAATTGTCATACAGGGCTAGTGGCGCAATGGATAACGCGTCTGACTACGAATCAGGAGATTCCAGGTTTGACTCCTGGCTAGCTTGGACCTTCCTTCAACTTCTTTGGAGTACTCTGGTACTTTTTACTTGCAAATTGTTTTTCTTGTATAGTGGTTAGTACTCTGCGTTGTGGTCGCAGCAACCCCGGTTCCAATCCGGGTCACAGGAATCTGAGGCAATCTGTTGGTCTTTTGTAAAACATAGGTATTTGTTTGAAAATCAAAAGGTGAAAAAAGGTGCCTGTGCGTGTGTTGTTACCTTAAGCTTTGCCTTGCTTTCTTCAGTATTGCCTCTCTTTGCTTTGAATTTGGCATCTTCAACCATCAAGAGGGCCTGAATATCCAGGTCTCCCCATCGCGCACATTCACCAAGTCCCTCCCGTAAGACCGATGCTGCTTCCTCATTAAGGTTCTTACCTAGAAAATATGTTCACACATTGTCTTAAACATAATTTCAACATCTAATATCCTACACTTAATGACTTATCTACAGTATATGCTGATAGTAAAGTTCAAATATTTTTGTAATTTGTTGCAATTAACATTTCTTTTTATTTCATTCAATTAATTCAATTAATTTAATAATCGTAATTGGAGACACCAGGTGCATCATTTGTAATCCTTGCTACAGGAATGAATGTAAAGAAACGGCAAAGAAGTCCTCCAAGTGTTCATCCAGTACTTGTTTCGTGTTCTTCTGAGTTTGTACCCTTATGGCTGAAATGCACTACAGCTAAACAACATAATGTAATGTGATGTAATGTACTTCTTTGCATAAAAGGGAATATAACAAATGTGTTTTGACATTTATAACCTTAATGATATTAGTACAACTGTATCACCACACAATACAACTCTCAGAAAAAAAACAGCAACAGCACAACCGTTGATCGGACCTGGGAAAGGTTCAGCAGCGCCAGGAATCAGTGCAGCCAGGCTGTGGACCAGGGCTAGGCGGCACCGAAGCCAAAGAGAAACCCCAATTCTCTCACTGGCCTCAACTTCCTTAGGCCACTCTCCACTCCACTGCAGCTTTGACACACTGCAACCTTGAGAGCCCTGTAAACCAAATAATACACATATTGACAGATGCACACACAAACATTTACACATTTTAAGTAAATAAAAACTTTTTTTTCAGCTGCTAATACTGTCAATCATTTCAGGTGCTACTTTTGTTTATAATGTTGTCATGTCCAGTATTGTTTCTAACACAGTTCAGGTTGCAGAACATGACATAAACTGTGGTCTTAAAAAAAAAATATAGATATTTCTGAAACATTATATAAACCTGTTCCATTCCAGTCAGGGCATGTGGCATCTCAGATGCAGGTTTTGGAGAGATAAGTCGGATTCCTCTCATGATCACTGGACATGTCTGCAGTAGCACCAAAGCTGAAATTGCCATCTTGGAACTGAAGGATGTCAAATGGATTAGGGGGGTAAGGAAACATAAGCATGTGAACACACAAAACAGATGTATAAGTTCACTGTACCTATTTGCAGCATTTCCTTGCTGCAGGTTTAGATTGGCCTTTAGAAGCTTGGACTCAACTAAGAGTTCCAGGTTCTCCATTTTATTACAGGACTGACGTTTCAGCTGACGCAAAACAGAATGCAACCAGTGGGATGCTCCTTCTAGTAAAAGGAACTACAACAAATGAGAGGGCAGATATAAGTAAGTCAACACAACAACATTAGAAAGGTAAGGTGTGAATAATAATAAAGTAAAGATCTATCGAAAAATCAAGAAGAAGTCTTACCTTTATTCTTCCTGGCACAAGATTTTCCTTTTCTTTATCAAGGGTCAGCACTTTCAGCTCTTCTGTCTTTAGACGAAAGGCTCCAGGGTCCGATCTGCCCTCTTCATGAGATTTTGAGTTGTTACAACTTGTTATGTTCGCAGAAGCGTCTCTTTCAACCGTATCTGAAAGACATTCCCACTGTATTAAGGACAAGCAGTTTGGTCTACAGTGAATATTTTAGAATGAAATCAAAATCAAAAATGAAAATAAACAGGACAAGTGACCCAAATAAAAAAAAACAACATAAATAACAGGGAAAAGAAGGTACTGTTGCTTACATACCTGGGACAGGAGAGCCATGTACGGTGCCACTGAGTGCCAGGACTAGTTGAATACGAGCTAGGTTGACTCTGAGGCACAATGTGGGTCCATACACTGATGGGACCTCTGGAGCAAAGTCACAGTTCAAAAGTTCCTCCAAAGCCTAATCACAAACCAAATCGACTATATTTATTTGACAACATAGCGAATATATCTCTGAAACAGCATAACGGATTACATGTCATGGTAGAAGTTTGGGGCTACAGCTGGAGAAGAGTGTACAAATGTACGTGTATATGTTTGTGTCATTAATATTAGGTATTGTGCCTGAATCTGTATGTCTGTTCTTGACATATCTTGACATCTCTTCTAATTCACACTTGTTGGTTGTAATGCCGGGGGCCCCAATTCTGTGCAGTTTGCGCAAATTCCCTACAATGTTAAATCCGTTCAATATTAATGAACTTTAATTAAACATGCAAACAACCCTCTGTGTAGCAGCATCAGTGGAGATTGAGGGTTCTGTTATCCAGCGGCTGACTGCAGCTCACTGGATGGCTGCTTGGAATGAATGAATGTTGGATAATTTTACAGAAATAATGTACTAATTAAATTACCCCAGATATATAGAAATATTGTTTTTAAATTCTATTTAAAATACCTCATAATTTTCCAGGAGAGACTTGTTGCTGTAAAACATCTTTGCAGGCTGCACAATAAGCACAACAGATCATATTTAATCCATTGATGGCATAAATAAACAAAAGATTCTGTGCCTCGGCAGCACTAGAAAAAATAATTAGTTTGACAATCTTCTAGAAATACTGTACACTGTCCCCCAGTAAAGTCCTATAAACTATAAACACACGGTCAACATTGTAGCTAAAACTGTAGATAAAGTACAGCACCACTAATAGTTTACACAGCTAAGAGCCGAAAAACAAAGACGGTACTTGCAGTCTTACCTGGAGATTGTTTTTGATAATGTTGTGTCCATGGGGCAGAAGGACCCCTGAGCTTTGTGTGAGCTCAACTGTCTCCTTTACAGCTTCAGTGAACAGACACAGTTCAGTAAGGGCACGAATCTGCAAAAAAAACACCAGTCCAGACTGAAAACTCGACCAGAACGACAACAGGAGAAACATTCAAAATTATATATAGCAGCGATTCCCAAAGTGTGGGCCCACTGGTGGGACGCGAAGGTACTGCAGGTGGGCCACGAGAGGTCATTTACAATAAATAAATAAAATAATTTTAATTTTCAATTTTGAAAGGTTTATCAAAATATTTATGATGCGGCACATTAGTTATGTGAAACATTAATTGATGAAGCACAAACAATTTAAACGAACAGATTATTAAAACAAGAAGGCTCTCGCTCAAAACGGCTGCTCTTGTCCGCCTGTCGTTATTCAGCAAAAGGCGCCGCCAAACAAAACAATGTCAAATGGGGCGCCCTCTTGTAGTATTAAAGTAAATATACCGCATTTTCCGCACTCCAAGGCGCACTTAAAAGCCTTTAATTTTCTCAAAAAACGACAGTACGCCTTATAATCCAGAGCGCCTTATACATGGATCAATCGGTTGATCCATACTGGTTGCTCAAGGCGCTCTGCCAAACATGCCAAAGCTCGGTCTACGACGGCGAGATGCTGAGCGGGCGCTCAAGCGCGTGAGATATGGAGCTTGTTTCAGGGCGCGTCGGAGAAACAAAGGTGTCGTTCTCGCCGAGCACTTCATGAGATTAAAGAGCGAGAGACGGTGCCCTTTTCTCTACAGTAGCTGAACCATCTTACTGGGGAAAATAAGTTATTCCAAAAGGAGCCATATGCAGGCGGCGTGGCTGGAGAGCAGCCAAAGATTTAAGGCGTGGATGGCGAGGGGGGCGGTCGATCGGACCCTGAAAGCACCGTCTCCACCTCCCCACACCCCCCCCCCATCCACCCGCCCCGACATCAAACGTTTGACTGCAGTATCTTATGCGCCTTATTGTGCGGAAAACACGGCACATGAGCTCTGGAGAAAATGGTACACAAAACATACATTGTCGGTTAATATATTTTTAATCGGTTAAATTCTTAAGGTAATATAATCATCCCTAGTTTATGATTTGATCAGAGTTGTGATTAAAGGTTTGGGTGGGCCGCAAACGATTTTCAGATTTCAAAGTGGGCCGCGGCATTCTTGAGTTTGGGAACCGCTGATATATAGGAACCAACACCAATACTGACCTTAAGTATTTTCCCCTCAACGGTGCGTTGGAAATCTCTGCACACACTCCCCACAAAATGAAGATAAAGGGCTAGCATGGGCAATAGCTGAAATTAGAAACCGGTTTCAACAAATCTACTTTATATCTTGCGTATTGCAGGTGCAAATGAGGACAGTGTGTACCGTAATGTAGTAGCCTGTAGTGAAAAGCCAGTGGCAGATGAAGTTAAGGCTGGTTACAGTGGTGCTGAGGTGAACCCGGTGGGGTTCGGAGAAAAGGTCAACTCCAGGGAGCAGTTCATCTCCAATGCTGTGAGAAGCGTACCGGAGGTCGTCTTGGGGGTGAGCCAGGGAGCAACACAGCACACACTAGGGAGGTGAGTCACACACACGTACACACACACACACACACACACACAAACAAACACACGCATGCATGTCAAAATGAATGCACACAAACACAGATCACAAAGTTGTATTCAGGCATCAGATCAAATAACATCTCCTGGCCACACAAGTAAGAACCATGTATGTGAGCAGAGACAGATTCAGCTCCCCCTGGAAATATTACCTTAAAGAGATGTGCAGACATGAGACAGCACTTGGTCCGCTCGCTGGTATCAGCTGTTAAGATATACCTGTACATCAAAACACACTCTTTAGGAGCGGGTTGTTTTTAGAGCAAAATGCTTGAAACACGCTCGAAAACCCCCCATAATCAATGCTTAACCTCATTGAAACCTACCGTGCAATCTTAGCAGTGAGTCCCGCAGCTTGTAGACATCCCCAAATGCCAACTTCTTTTAGGGTTTGTTGCATTGAGCAACTCCCAAAGGACATGCCATCCCATTTCTTTACAGCACCTGAGCTCTGTAAGGCACAATCAACTGCTTTACTCCAGTGTAAGTGTGCTCCCCTGGGGATAGAACAAAGACAGGAAAACAATTAAAATCGTGGAAAGCTCAACTTACAAACTTTGCCTGTATAATTACAGGGAAAAGCCTTGCTAAAATGACACAAATACACACTTAGCCCAAATATTCTAACCGTGTGTTTCCATCGTAGAACATTAGGTTTCCCAATTCATGCAGTGCCAGAACTGTGAGGGAGTCTTGATTGTTGGCTTGGAGATACTCTAAATAAAAATTGGGTGTAGAGGAGGAGGAGAGAAAGACGTTTATGACCTTATCCAGATGTTTCATTATATTTCTTGTTGTGTAGTCTGCTGGTACTCTCTTTAGCACATCTAACTCAGTGTCCCTCGAAAACTTGCCAATCCATGCCTCCGTTATGTAATGTGTGTGCTCTTACTAATGGAGGTGGAGTATGCAGCACAGACGGTCGTCATGCAGTCTGGGCTGATGGGGAGGGTGTAGAGAGCATTTGGATCACTGTAGTTCTCCTCCGTCAGGTCTCTAGGTTGGATGCTTGGACAAGGCATTACTAAGGGACTGAAATCAGAGACTGCAAAGAGGCAAACGGTTCAAACGGTGTATGTTTCAAACAGTTGTTGTGAGAGTGTGGTAGTCCAAACTCACTGGGCTTTGTGAATGCAAGAAGTTGCAGCAGTAAGGAGCGACTATGCTGAAAGACGTGAAGACAATGTGGCCTTCTCTCAAGAGCTTGGCGGTAACAGCTAAGTGTGTCTCCTACATCCAGAGGAACGCACACACGGGACATGGAGTGCTGTATCTCTGCACCTAAGGCAGAGAACATGCATGAAAACGTTACTCATACGAACGCATTTCCAGAGTAGATCAGCCAACATTCATTTACAAGTACAAACAAATTGTGTCAATGAAATATTTGCTTAGAGATCAAACCTTTAAGGTCAACTGTGCCACGAGGAGTGGAGTTTGTGAGTGCTGCTTTTCTGGGAATGGTCGGTTGCTGACACCCAATGAGCAGTTGTGTGTCTGCATAGCTCCTGTTGGTTACCTGAAATATAGAAAACAGAACTCCATATACTGTATATAAATGGATTTACCAAAACACAGTTAATGGATGAGTGGTTGCAATATCACTGTTAATCAATATACTATTTTTTCTTTAAAAAAATATATTTTTTCCAAATAAAAAAAAAGAAGTATTATTTTGTTTTGAAGTTATTAAATGCTTTAAGTTGTGTATGTGGGTGTGTGTAAGCCACCTCCTTGCCAGTGACCTTCTGTGTCTTGATATGGTGTGGTTGAGGGACTGTAGGTCCTCCAAAAGAACTTATTCTTTCAAGCAGTCGCCTCTGAGCATGGACTAGCAGGGGAGTTATGATCAAGGCATAACGTTCCCTGGGATAGACATACAGAGGCAAGAACAAACACATATTATTAAAAGTTACAAAGTTGCATATTTTACAAAGGTGAGTGTATACTTTGTTTTCATTGACCTAAACGTAAAATTCCCCTTTGATGATAAGAATCTGCCCAAAATCTTTAACAAGTTCAATGTATTATTAAATCTTATCTGCATGCAAAGATTGAATGGTTAATGAATAATTTTACTCACCGTGTGTATGAGTTGAAAACCAAGGCAAAGTGAGCCAGGCTTTCCCATTTGCCACAGTCATGGAGATGCTCCAGAGTCTGCAAAACCAGGGTGCGAACCCAGCGCAGGTCCACTTGGGTTCTGTTATCCAGTGGTGCTGAGAAGTGTAGACTGGACTCAAGTTCTTCCTCAGTGAAGTCTCTGTCATACAAACTCCACAGCTAGTTCGGACAAAGATGAAGATGACAGTCATAAACAGCACTGTGTCAGGTTCACTTTGTAGCTGTAAATGTTTTGGTGAGATAAGAAGATGGAGACTGAAGGGACAGTAGCAATCATTCAGCAAACTGCAGTTATAAAAAGTAAAGCCAACACAAAATGACCTTAAACTTGCAATCTTTCTAATTCCCCGCCATTAGAGGGCCTACCCCAAGTATGTTCAGCATGTCCATCATTAGGTCAGTAGCCAGCACTAGTAGTGGGGTAGTGAAGGTGCTTTGCAGCTGGTCTGGTGTGATGGAGGAGGGAGATGCATGCTGAGCAGCTCTCTGTACTAGGACAGTGATTCTGCAGCTTTGGTCCCACACGGTCTGACACACAGACTTTAGAGTTGTCCAGTGGCTGCCACGATGCGCCAACACCTGGAAAATATTTAAAATATATAAGTAAGATTTATGCTGTGTGGTCACATATAATGTCAACAATTCTGTACTTATGTGTAAATATAAGTTGTTTGCAGTACCATGGCTCTTTGGAAATGTAAAGCAGCTTTGTTAAGTGACTCCAGCAGCAAGGCTGCAGTGCATCTGTGTGTCTCAATCTGCTGTTCCACCATTTGAGAGACCTCTCCCTCTTCACAACTCTCCTCTGTGACAGAGTCGTCCACTCTGACTCCTGGATGAAATGATTGGGACAAGTGAAGAAACACAGACCGTAAGACCATTTTTATTTTGGTTTCTCATAGATTTCTCACCCTCTTTTTCATTCCTCTCTTTGTGTGTAGCCACGCATTCCTGAATACCGGCAAGGGAGGAGTCTCTCCCTGAGACAGGCTCATTTTTGGACGATCTCCGTTGCTGTGGGTTCCTCCGAACCAGAACACCAGTGTAGGCCAGAGAGAAAAATAATGGATTTAACTGGTTGTAGCTGAAACAAGAACAAAAAGAACATAGTATTACAGACATGCACACTCAATCGTTCAAAATGTCATATTATGTATTGCTAGAAAAATACAGAAAGGGTGAAGTAAATGAGCTCCTTCTATCTTGCAAGTTAACCTCTGCTGCAGGGCTCCTGCGTGCAGCTGATGCAGCTGGTCCAGGCCCTGGTAAAGCAGTGCTAAATGAGCTACGGCCATGCTGTAGTTGAGTTGAGACTTCCACACTTGCTCCCCACAGCAAACCCTCCTCAGGTCAAGCTGTTTCTTGTGGCGTTGCACCACGGACGACATTGTGGTTAGCATGTTCTCCACAGCCTGCTTTTCCCTACACAAACGGTCACAAGTCCAGTGCACAAGTGGTTAGTGGAACAAACAGATGTAATTGCATACAAACATAGAGACTCATACATTACCTGTTAGTTCTCACTCTCTGGAGCATGCTGTGAGGCATCTTTTGGAGTTTCTTCCTTGCGTCATTGTTAGAAGTTGTGCTCTTATTTTGAAAAGAGATGATATATATTATCTTCAATTTCATTTAATTAAAATAAATATGGATTTACATAGTTAATTGCACTTGTCAAGGTCAGACTCAAATGGTCCCACAGAGTCATCGTCTGCAAACCTCAGCGGCTTGATAAATAAGCGTCCATGCATTAAGTATAATGGGAAATAAATCTTTGTATAGAAAATATGTTGAGGATAATGTTCATCCCAATTGTTCTACATTTATGTGTTGGGTATTGGTGTGCGTACTATTTTTACCTCTGGCGGTTGATTTCCTTTTGCAGCCTGAGCACTACTTCTTCCTTTAGTCTGACTGTTTCGCTCCAGATGTTTTTTGGACATTCCCAACACCCTGTCCCTACTGATAAAGATAAAATAATTGACATACGGTCAAGTTTTTGTCAGCATAGATAAAACAGCTACTCTCTAATACAGTTCAGTCTACATATATGTAAGTGCAAAGTAATGAACTGTTAGAGGTTTTTACAATGACAGTGATTATTGAAGTATGAAAGGACAAAATTATTATAAAATTAAAGTTGAAATATGAAATGTGTCTTTTTTTTTCTTTTAAATCAGTAAAGAGGTGAAAAGTCAAAGCACACCTGGATAAAAATTCCAACATGGTTTGTCCCCACTTTAACACAAGGTTCGGATGGCCTTCTTCCATGGCTCTCTGCAGGATTAGTGCCGCAAACTCAATAAAATATACCTTGTGTCTGAGCTTCATCACTATAAAGACACACAAACAAAACATAGGTGTCCAGTATAAATGAATAAAACTAATTATCAATTTTAAAGAAGTATGTAAGTGTGTGCCCCTTACCTTTTACGTAGGCGTTTTTTAATCTGCTCTTGGACAACACATCATACAATACGGTGGGGTCCTCAGCGCCAGATAGTGAGCGTAAAATATCTACAGAATAAACCCCAATACAACGTTGAGTTAAGGAGAAAAGAACCACTGTTATAAAAGATATTGCACATTATTACATTCGCTACGGTGCATATTAGTTAAAACACCTATATCACTGTTCTTAGTTTCAACTTCAAGTTTGAATTCAATTCAATGTTCAATGTATCATCAAGTGTTAATTGTCATGTTGCCAACTCGTTGAAATAATACCCATCCTGCCATATTTTCAACAAAACATTGAATTCCAATTTCAAAAACACTGCAAGCTCAGCACAGGACATGGTTTTTAACAAACATGCATTCAAAAAAATGAATTAGACAAATGTGTGAGATTGTGTGTCTGTTTGTTACCATCGTCTTCCACGAGAGCTGCTTCAGTTGCGTTTGTTTTCTTGTTCTTCCAATGCAGTGCTTTAAGCCAAAGATTTAGCTTTATTTCACCCTTGATTGTAGCATTATTGGTCTTAGACTAGATACGCACAGACAAACACACACAGAAATACAGCAACACTGAAGAAAAATATTTCTTTAATAAGTTTATTCTATATTATAGTATAGAATACCTTTTGTAAAGGAACTTTTTTTAAAAGACATGAAATAAAAAGTACACTATTCCTTACACCCACAGCTTTGGCAGTAAGTCTACTGATCTGCAGCTGAGCCTCATAGATCTCTTGGAGCAGCCTTCGACCACCGTCCAACACCGCAGAAGCCATCTCATGCTCCCTGAGCACATGTAAGGCCTGCTCAAGAAGGATGAGACCTTACTGCAATTGTATGTATGTATATATGTAACTTTTGTCAAGTTTTAGCATGAAACCCAAACAGTACAATTTCAAGACCACAGAAATGTCTATGTACAAACACATAAACAGTTTAAACTATTTAAATCAACATGCAGACACACCTTGGGTAGGTAGTAGGTGATGCAGGCTATCATGTGCATAAAGAACTCTGAGGTGTTTCCAATCAATTTCTGTTTGAGAAGACCTGCATTCTCTTCCAAAACTGTCAAACATTTTTTTAGCACCTGCATATCAAAACACAGACAGAGGCATTAACTCAAACAGTTTATAGCAATTTCAAGTTAAATCAGAGTTGTTGTTTGCAGGACAAAACTTTGATCAGGTAATGTGTACCTGTACAACAGGGTTGCAAGCGATCTGATGGAATATTAGAGGAGCAAGGAAGCCATAACAGCTAACTACAGCTTGCACTGCAGCACTACCGTCATTCAGCCACATTGCCAGGTCCATGGCCACCAACATCCGCTCACACTCTGCCAGTCTGGCTTCCTGCATACACACAAGTGCAAATATAACAGATTTAGATTTACGCTAATTCAAAAGACATAACCATCGTTAAAATCAATAAAGAAAAACATGTTAAGAAACGTTCACACTGCAAATCTGCTAACAATGCTAACTACAAACCCTTTGTGTCATGCCATTTGAATGAATACATGATCACTGTTCATGAACACATCTCTCCAGATCTTCTTTTTGTTTTACCTGTTCCCAGATAAACAGCCCGTTCTCACTGAATGAGTCACAATAGAGGGATTCCTGCTGAATGTTGATCTCTGACTCAATGAAGATAGAAGTTAGGACCAACTGACACAAGTAAGGAGAGGAGCGTTGCAAGGTCTCGACACGCAGCCTTCGGCATGGTGAAAGGAGATGGAGTGAAGGGAGATGGAATGAAAGGAGATTAGCAAATTCATAGAAATGCAGCTTTCTGAACTAAAAGTATCTGGATGTTTTCCTTCTTACCCTGTGATAGCCAGTCTGTCCCGTATGCCCTGGGACCCAGGGTCAGTGTAGGTATAGTGGATCCACAGCTCTCGGCAGGCTCTCTTTGCTACAGCATACTGCTCTGTTTGAAATGCCACCTGAAGAAGGAATCAAAAGAAGCCAAACTAATCCTGCTTTTTCCCCAACTTTGTGGGCAGCAATGTTGAAGGGACAGAAGAAAGTCACAAGAAATATGTTGAGTAAATGGTCATGCTTTTTTACTAGTGTGTAGTGTACCTGTGCCAAGTGAGCCCACGTGTAAAGCAGTGATACCGGCAGGGAGGCCAACAATGGAGATGTTGACCCTCCTATGGTGTTGCCCATAAGATCGCCCTGGCAGTTGTAGGCTGCTACTGCAAACACATACTTCTGGTTGGGCTCCAGCCCCTCCACTTTCAGCACGCACTCATCAGATACTGCGGGTACCTGGAAACATACAAAATCACACCTGGGATTATGGGCACACACCAGATCATACAAGATGACAAAACGTTTTCTACTGGAGTTGACACTATATAGTACCATATTCCCAGTTCCTTGCAGGCTGCAGTCTCCGAGGCGGACTTTCTGGTTGAGGCCCTCAGCTGCACGGCCACAGAGCTGGTACCAGCATACCTTGAAAGAAGTAAGAAACAATTGTTAAATGAAAAGAAGAGAGGATGCGTTTATCAGTTGACACTTTAAGTAAATTAAAATCTCACCTGGCCCTCCAAGTTATAAGGTGCTGGGGAAAAGGTTAAGGAGCGGTCTGTGCGTGACAGCAAGATAGGGGGAGGTGGTGAGTTTTCTTCCTTTTCCTTCTTCCTTTTATCTTTGCTTTCAGCTGGAGTCTTAGGCGTGGTGGAGGAATACAGTTTTCTCTCTTCCACCCCGGCCTTCTCTATTAGTGTGGAGGCCTCCTGGAAAAAAAGCACACAGAAGAAAAAGTAGGATATTGACTTCTCTTCGTAAAGGCTTGCCTCAATCATCGGTCAGTAAAAGGAACTGCATTTGAGAACAAAGTATCTATAAGTTAAGCCCATGTTAACCACAACAATTTATTTTGTGTTATAGAGTGTAATTGAATAATATTTTATTTCAGTAAGCCTATTTTGCTACTCTTTTTTGTAGTGTAATGTACACATTTGCAGATAAACACGCACATGACTGTGGTGCATGTGGAAACATCAAGTTTTATACATTTTATTTCAAGTTTGAATATTTGTGAATGTGTAACCTCTAGCAGACTCTGGGTTTGGTTGCTGCGATTTGGCTCCATGGTGTTGTACGCCAGAAAGGCTTTCTGCATCAGAAAAATGGCTTTGGACACCTTGTTCTTCTTGATCCGATCCAACAGCTCAGACTCTGCAACTAAACACCACCAACAAAGTCCCAACAAGTACATTCAGAGACCATTATTTATGTCTACAATTAGGTGTTATTTTTTTAGTTAACATGCATAAACACTTACACTGACATTTAACCATATGAATCAATGGAAAATTGAGTATGAACTCTCAGAAAGCACCAATGAGCAGATTTGCCTGTGTGGCAGCAAGTCTGACCTGCATTCAGCTGCACTAACTTGAGGGAAGCCCTGTGGTGGATGATGACAAGCTCTAGATGAAAGTGTGTGGCCAGCAGGAACGCTTGTGAGGACTGGCTGTATCGAGAGGTTCTGTTATCGGATTCTGCCGTAGTTTTGATTTCTTCCTTTTTGTGACTTATTTCATTTTCCACATTTCCCTCCTCTGATGACGTCGGAAAAAATAAGGAGGGAGTAGATGGTGGGAGAGGAAAAAATCTCTATACCAATAGGAGAAAAACAGGTTTTAGGTACACTCACATACTGTTTCCCTAATATCTATTAAATGTTTCCATCTAATAATACTCTACTGAGAACCTAACACAAAACCAAACCTGCCAGATGGAGTGATGTATAGGTTAAAACGGACTACCTGCATGTAGGCAGAGTCAATGATTGCTGAGCGATCTTGGGGCAGCATTGTAGCAACAGCCTTTGCCAGAGCTTCAAGACCCTTATCGACCACCTCACACACTCTCTGAAGCAGCTCTGTGCTTGAACTCTGCAAACACACACGTTGAATGACGTTTTATAAAAATATTTGCACATATATATTTCTGAAAAAATTTAGACAGAGAATTGGTGGGATATGTGTGATTTTTTTGCTTTTTAATTACATATGTATTCACTTATAATAATAAATGCTTGTAGTGGAAAGACCTATCGCTTGGAGCTATGCATAGACCATTCATTTACATACCTCAAGCAGAGAGAAAGAGCTTGGATTACCACCCTCACAGTCTGATTCACAAGGTCCTAGAAGAAGACATGAGAATAAAGGTAGAAAATAAATCATCGTCAACTTTGTGTTGTTGTGTGATATTTTTATCAAGTAAGAAAGTTGTGGGTCTCAGCTGTCCTGAAGTAGGAAAATGGCAGAACCTCACCTCTACTTTGATTACTGCGTTCAGCTGCACTCTCAAGCAGTACAGCCAGTGTTTGAATCATCTCTGCCGTCATTATGCAGTCAACAGCAGCCAGGTCAAAGGCATGAGCCACCTCACACAACATAAACAGACACCACAGCCACTGCAAACAATTTAGATACACATGAAAAAATGCAGGACATCTGACTTAAACACAATGGGGAGAATGTAAGAAAATATTTAATATATTGGTTTTCAAATTTTAGTACACAAATATTGTGGCCCAAATATTTCATGATCAAGATATCATCACAGCCTCTATTGAAAACAATCAAATATTATTGGTATCAATCAAATTCATCTTAATGTTGTATATGTTGTGTTCTCTCTCTCTTTAATTACACTACAAAAAAATCTAGGGAGATGAAAAGAGCCTGTAAACATAACAAAAATGATTTAAGACACACTGCAATTTTTTTAGCAGTATTTCATTTTTCTATATCACAGTTATCATAAATACTATCTCACGGCACCCCTACCTTAGCAGAACTACGAAGAAGTTTTATACTTGACAATAAATTGCTGCCATCAGCCAGGAAAACAATGCCTACCCTTTTAAATACATACCTTTTCATAATTATCAACCTTCTCATGGTAGTGTGTAAACTGTAGGTTTTGTAGCTGATCCCTCGGAATCACCAGCTTCACTTCACCCCACAGAAATAACACAACATCCAAAACCAAATCCTCATCTGACTGCACCTCCTACAAAAACACACACATACAGTGTGTTGACACTGAAAATGAACTCTTTCTCAAACTGAAATCCTGGTGATTGGTAGATCAACCTCAACACAAACGCACACACAACACAACTTACAAGAGCAGAGACACAGACAGACTTGTGCAGGTTGTCTACCAGGTCAATGAACTCATCGCCCATCGAGAATGAAGACTTCTGTGTATCTGGTGGATACATAAAATAAGAAAAGCACATTCTAACTCCTGAACTCAGCGTTGGACATTTTGTGGTTGAGCTACAGAGGCAGTGTTGAACACCCTATTAGTATGTAATAAATGCTGGATTATGAACAACAAGCGGTGTCAGCTAATGTTTGACAGGAAAAACTAATGGTTAACAAACTTAAATTTGACTGCAGTTTAGCAACAATGTGAAATGACAAATAATGAAGGACTTGAAAGCAGAAGGTGGTTTTAGAATTAAGAACATTTGGGCAAGAGAAATTAATCCCTAATAGAATTCTTTGTGGACACATTATATTGGTCCATTTATCAACATAGAGGTTAAGGGGTCTGCGGATTCATATATAGTACAATTTCATCATAGCTACCATCAATTGTGTTGTCTTGTCTAGGATGGCTCCTCTGGGAAGACAGCAAACGATTGAAGCTGACAAGCAAAGCGAGCTCCAGCTTTTCCTTCTCGAATGAATGACCTTCTACACACTGACACAGAGAGACAAAGCAAGACAGAGTCGAGCTCATTTAGAAAGCCAGCATACATTAAACTACAAGAATACAAAAAGGACAACTGATAAGAGTGGAATGCATCCCCTTTTCACAGATGCTGGTGTTGTACTTACAGACAGAACCTGCTGCATCTCTCTGGCAAGGTCGGTGAAAGCATCTGTCTGCTTGTACCGAAACAAGATCTTAATAAACCGCATGGCAGACCTGATGGGTACTTTGTTCTCTCCTATCAACACAAGACATTGCATTACATCAAAAGGATTACAAAACGAACACATCTCAACAAATCATAAAGCATTGTAAATGTAATTATTTGTGACTGACCTGCAATGGCCAGATCCATTAGTGTGGATGTTGGTGTCAGTGCACTGAGACTCACAAGAGACTCACCAGTAGTTGAGGTTCCTTCACAAAGAGGAAAATTACAAGCATATTGCTCAATATACAAAGTCAGCAGCACTCACCTTTAAAACTGAATTAAAATGAAGGATTCTTACAGCGTTTGCAGCACCTGTAGGTTTTCTCCTGATCCTGAACTTACTGTAATCATTGCAGTGTTTTATGTGTTTGTTTTACTAACCAGATAATATACTCATGCCAGCAGACAGGAGTTCCAGGGTCACCTCCTGCCGCTCTGGTTCATCTGGCATCCTTGACTGTAGGGGGCGTCTGGTGCTGTCCCAAAGTGTCTCTAAGATGCCCAAGAGCTGCGCTGGACTGCTATCAAACAGCGCCATTAGTATGCGCTCTGTTGTATTACAAGGCCATGGCCCCTGCAATAGAGACAGGAAGACATTCAAGGGCAATTAAGATTGATATTTAATACTGATTATGATTACATGAATGGAAAGGGGATCTTATTACATTGGGTATGTCCTTCAACGTGTTTTTGCTTTTAATTCTCCGGATGTGTTTTGGTCTTCTTCTGGCCTCAAATACTGCATGCTTGAACATCATGGAAGCTAGCTGAAAAGAAATGTAAAAGAAAAGCGGACATAATTTGATAAAACAGAAAAACACATCAACACAGTGAAAGAAAAGCAACAGGATGTTCAGAGGGCAACCATCTGTATGCGTGTGTATGTGTGAATGATCTCTGTAATATTCTATCCCAGTGAAAGTATTAAGAGTGTACTTTGATAAGACGAGTGACGTACCTTGATAGAGGCTTCTTTGTAAGCTCTGTGAGTCTCTCTGGAGGCAGGAAGTTTATTCTGCTCCTCTAGTTTTGCTAACTCGTTGATTTTTCCAAGAGCTCTCCTGGCAAATTTCTGAAAACATTTGAAGACACACAAACCACCCCACAAGTGGAGAATAAGCAAAATTATATTACATAGATTGTAGGTGCCAGGATGCAGATGAGGTGTGTTTTTTACCTCCGCCTGAGAACCAGCCTGGTTGTCATAGTAACAGTGGCAGACGGCACAGTAGAGTGTGACAATCAAAGGTAGATACTTAGCAGACATCAGAGTGATGGACAGCTCCAAACTGATGCTTGCCCATAGAAGGTACTCCAGTGCCTGAGGAGAATCACCAATTGTAGTAAAAAGCATCATGACAAACAATTATATCTACATAATGAATCACAGAAATGTCTGGTTATATCATATATTTTGGTCACAGTACTGTACACATAACGACACAATTTAATGTGGAGATAAGAGTTAATCACTGAAAACTGAAAACCTTAATTAGCACAAAACACATTAACCAGTCGGTCATGTTTTCTCCAGATCTGCCAGGGTCTCATTATCAAACAGTTGGAACAAGTCGGTCCCACCCCATTGTAACCCTCCTCCCTTTGACCCTTCCGTTTAGAGTGAATAATGTGAGGCAACTATCCAACTATCATGCACCTCAAAGTACCTGAGCACTACAATTCATGGTCATCAAGTAACGGCAGATGTTGTAGATGAGTAATGAACCTGGCATAGATCACAAAAGGAGAAGAGAAAGAGGTTAGATATACAGCAAAATATCAAATACTGTACAATCTTGTAATTTCTCACTTCAATTTAAACATTAAATTAATTATCATACTAGAAGTATCAACATATTATTGGAAATTGGGAGGTTATTACTTTCACTTGACAAAATCTTATTTTCTTTGTTCAAAAGGATAATTGCTGATACCATTTGTATCTAGATGGTGAAAAAAGCACGCTTTCAGGCAGATTCTATTGTCCTATATCCCACTTTGACAACTCAATTTGTTCTTCGAAATGTTTTATTTCAGATAATAAGCAAAGACCGGGGAAATCTATATCAGTTGTACTAACATACCATTATATATTTGCTGGCAGAGATGCTCATGTGGCTGCAACGACTGCATCATAATCCTGATGAAGTTCAGCACACGCAACAGTTCACAGAGGCCCTTCTGGCTGAGAGCAGTGTGCCTTTTCTCCCGCTCAAACATACACAAGGCACAGCCATGCATTGCACGGATCTACAGAAACACATACACATGTATACAACTCACACAGTGTAGATATATCAAGAGTTCAGCAACAAACATAAATAATCACACAACGTGTGAGTTAAACAAAACAACAAAGTAAAACAAGCATAGCATGCTGTTCACTTCAGTAAGACTGTGAATAGTCAAACATGTCACACACAGCACACAAGCACACGTTGTACAATGTACCTTCAGGGCAAAGGCATCTGTATCAAAACCTTCTGGGAAGAAAGAGGACATGAAGTGGTCCACATCTGTGATGTCCGTTATTTTCACTGAGTTGAACTGTTGCAGGTGGAGACTGTATCCTTGCCAAAAAGCAGTTTGGTACAACTACAGACCAACAGGGAAAGGAAGAAAGACTTAATGACAACTGCGAATATGTGTTGTGCTAAAAGCTCCATGGCCAATTGCAGCATTCCCTTTTGGAGAAGTAAAAACTACGGCATAAATGTACACATAGATGCAACAAGTGATCCAATGATGAATTCGGAGTGCAGGTCCAAGGAAAGGAGTAAATAGCCCATTGATGTAGACCAAAACAGGCCAATTGTGTGTGTGCCCTTTAATCAATCGAACAATTTGTCTTTTCCATCCAAAAGGGTGTTTAAATTCATGATAATCTTAATATACACAGCATCACTGACACTCACTATGGTTACTTTCATTACCCGTATTATTACTGTGGCAACCTCGATAAACACAGTAAAACCGTTGTTGTGCAGTGCGCATATCGGCATTACAGTTCTGTAAGAACTGACTTTAAAATAAGAGCCATGTACCAGTGAACGTGATAGGACATAATCATATTTCTGTCTGTATATCATCGAAAAATTATCAATAATTCTAAGTAAATAAAAGAATGAAAAATATACCTTGTGAATAACATTGTCATTGTTGTGTGAATAGCTTAAAATAAGTCAATAATAATGACATGCCGCAAACAGGCGGGATACAGAGAAATGTATCAATTTATATTGATTGATTTATTTAGAGTTTTATTAGAGCTGATTTCACTGTTTAACAAAGTGAAGGCTGGTGTGACCGCAGTTGACTAAAGTTGTATGAATAACAATAGCTAAAATTGTAAAGATAGGAATTTATTCGTTTTTAATGACATGCAGCTGATACAGCAATCGACTACAGCAGGGAACCCCCATATATCAGGCTACTGTGAATTACCTTTATTTCAAAAAGAAAGTCAGCAATCTGCAACATGCGCTCCAGGTAAAACTTCGAAGGCAGTCGTTGTTTGTACTTTTTCCAAATCTCCACCAAGATTTGAATCCTTCAGAAATAAAAATAACATGCAAACGTTATTATAACAAAACATGCATTCGAATAAATAAATAAAAATTAAAACAACGTTCCTTGTACCGTAACATTTGACTAGTCTGCTTTGGGCTGGAGGTAAAATATGACGTAGCAGAAGAGCATTTTCTGTGAAACATTGTTTTAATAACGGAGGTTAGACTGAGCAGAGAGGCGCGTGCACCTGCAGCCCGTTCGCTAACTTTACTCAGTAATACACCTTCCACATTAAACAAACTGCTCATACGCAGCTAAATAGAAGACAAATACGTTCAACTTAAATTTTCTCCTGGCGCAGCTCCAATTGCTGTTGTTGTGCAAACGGTTTCGCTGACTTCAAAGTCGTTAACGTTGTGGAGAATGAACATAATTTAGCTATCACGGCTTTAATTAGCTAACGGTTAGCTCGTTAGCTAACGCTACGACGGGCCCTTACCCTTTAGCGTGAGAGCCGTTATCGTGGTAGTTCGAAGAAGCGACTCGTCTCATCAACGTTGTAAACGAGGCGATGTCCCGTTCGAAGGCCGAAACAACTGGGTTCCTTTTATCAAGATTCCCGTAATATGAAAACGGTAAATCCATTTCGGTGGCCACAACTGTAATTTTACCCGAGTAAAGCACTTACTAACCCTTTTACTTGGAGCGACTAACCGCTCCAAGTGCACGGGGTAAAGCACATCACCATGGCAACGACGCTAAACAAACGGAGGGTAAAGTAACTACCATCAATTTGTCGTTGTCAACTCGTTTTATTCGGATGGTTTAAAACAAACAATACTGTCACTGCGAGTTGCATGTCAGTAAAACATGTTTTAATCGATTGAAGCTTTAAATAGTAACCAACAGTAAAAGCATGGCAGACAGCAACCGTGATTAAACATTTTTAGTAGGAAAATCAGGGACCAACAAGGTTAGAACAACACCCGGTTAGAAAACATTATGTAGTTACACAAACCAAAATATATAAAAATGTAATATGGAACAACAGTGGTTGCATGATGGCTTAAAAATATCTGTAGAACCACAGAGCTTGCAGATAACATAAGATATTTAGCGTGTGTAGTTCTGTTGGAGACGACACAACTGGGAGGATGAAGCAGAGACTGAAAAGAATTTCGGCTGGCACAACTGCTAGATACTTGGAGAGGAGACAGGGGTTCATATTTTACATCTGAGCTCATAGCAAAATGATACACGCTTAGAGTGTCATCTAATGCAGTCCCATACAAACTCATCAATTCCCATTCAACCTCACATCCATTCTGCACACAACCCTAAAGCTTCTGGCACTCAGAGCACTGCAGGCTAATGTTCTGGCAGCTATTCCTCAAACAAACACATGCACGCACACACACACAACCATACACACAGATCCAGACTGGGGCATTTCCTGGGTAGTGAGTATGGAGGCATCAGCAGTACTCTGAGCCAGCGTCAGAAGAGAGAGACACAGAGTCACACAGAGAGAGAGAGAGATAACCAGTCACAGTGAGAGATTAAACAATGGAGAATAAACAGTTGACATCATTGTTCTAGAAAGATCAGTCTGTTGGCAGAGTCACTATGCAAGTGTGCATGGGGACAGAGACCGGCCGGGATGGGAGGCCTATAAATACTGTGGCCCGGAGCACAGCAGCACCCATCTCAGAAAAAGTCAAGAGTCCGCCTTCATACCCATTGCTTTTACATCTCCTCTTCAACCCCATCATGGATATCCCCATCCAGTATCCTTGGTACCGACGGGCCTTCCCACATCGACTCTCTGACATCTCCTTGGCCGAACCTCTCACTGATTGGCCACCAATCTGGCCCTTCCCCTGGTCCTTCCCCTGGATACGCGCTTCACCCCTGCGCTGGTTCAACTGGCCCGACAATGGACACAGTGAGGTAAGTCACAAATTCCGTCACAAAGACGGACCAATAATATCCTCTTAGCCGTCTCTGTATCATTTTGCATGTGTATGAGTCCTGCACCAATGAGCGTTGGTGCAGGACTCCAACGTTGTACCAAATAACAACTTGTTTTTCATGCACAGCTGACCCCAGGCTGCAGGCATGCACCATTAACCTTTACTAACGGCTGTGTTGTCTGTATAGATGCGCATCGAAAAGGATCGCTACGTAATTCTTCTGGATGTCAAGCATTTCTCACCCGAAGAGCTGTCTGTCAATGTCAGTGACGAGTTCATCACAATACACGGCAAACATGAGGGCAGACAGGTCAGAGGCACCATATAGAAATGTCCACAAATAGTCAAACGACATTCGTTTGGTGTCAAGTCACCAACATATACTGACTCCAATTCTGTTTCCAGGACGACAACGGCTTTGTGTCAAGAGAGTTCCTGAGGAAGTACAGGCTTCCGGCTGGCGTGTCAGGTGCTGATGTCACATCCAGTCTGTCATTTGATGGTATCCTTACCATCACGGCACCTCGCTCCTCTACCGGCTCAGAGCGCACGATTCCTGTTTCCTGTGAGGATGGAATACCAAAGCAGAAGATGTAAAGCAGAGTCTGACACTCCACTGCTTTACTACTAACCCCATGTTCTGCCTGTTTTTAATTTACCTCTTACAGCTTTGTTGGCAGTTTAGCAGACAAAGAGTGAGAAATAGGAACGCAGGTCTAGTGGTCTGTGAGTGCAAGTGCCTTCTAATACATTTGTATCTAATTCCTAACTCAGTTTTATTTGAATATCTCTGAAAGACAGCAATGCTATAAACCCAAAGACTAATGTGTTGTTCTTGTGTAAGAGTCTATTGGACACATTTTGTGAAGTTAGAGTGAAGGTACAGGAAAATGAAGTTAATTTCCCAATCACAACGCAACAGAATCCCTCTTTTAAACATGCCTATCTCTCCGAAAAAAATGTATGTAAATAAAAGTGAGGGTATGTGATAATATTTTCAAAGGTATTTCCTTATCTTCATCAGACATTCCCAAATGTTATTTAATTATATAATGACTGTACCTGCTCTTTCCAGTTTAGTGACAAAATTGGTAGCATTTGTTCATTGAAGGCAAACTGCTAAAATGTCAATTTAAGGGACTTTCAAAAGGGTCCGCTGAAGATTAGACTAAAATTGTCCAACTTTATTGGATCTACATTGCGCAGTACTGTTTGAGTGGTTAAGAGTAAGATGCCAACTGTGCTTTGTTTATTCTTTCAGTGTTGCTTTCTGTACGCGTGCGGAGGAGGAAGTTCTCTGGAGGCACGTGCAGTGATTTTTAGTCTGTTTACTAAAAGAAAGCCACCGAAGGACTTGGACCACGTGTGTGGGAAGATGCAGGGCGAATGAGTAGTAGGAAAAGTTGTGCGCGAGGAAGGAACTAATGTTTGGAGACAGACAGCTTTTATCGTTGGGCTCCTTGTCCTGCGGGGAGCATGCCTCCGAGATGCTAATGCCATTGTAGATGTCCAAGTGTATGCCCTGTTATTCCCTTGTAGTGGCAAAAACCTCTCTGGCATATTAACACAGACAAGAAAAAATAGAATAAATGTTGAGACTCATACATCGGACTGCTTTGTGTTCTTCTTATGTCTGAAAACCCACATTCTTATGTCTGAAAACCCACATATCACCCTGCTGAAGACATCATCTGCAATATAATTAAACAGTTCTGCTTTATGGTAGCCATTTATTAAATTTAATTGTATTTATTGTGATGCAAAGTCATCATGCGAAAGAAGAAGTGTGTATACTTAAAATGCATTAATTGTTGTGTATTTGTGTTTAAAAAACACAGTATTTAACTTTAACACATTGACAAATACTTTTGATACCTGTCAAACAAATACAAACAGCACAATGCAGTACTACAGAAAATAGCCCCAAAAAATAAAATCTTGGCGTTTAACAGCAATGGTTCTTTCTTCAGCCATTGATTTGAAACCTTAGTTGTGACTACTGACAGCAACATCTCTTGCTATTATCATCTATGCATGTATGGTCACATGTTACTCAAAGCACGTTATCTTGTCTTGTAGTTCACTACCATGGTGTCCTCTTTAATGTTGAAGGCAACTTCAGTTACAGTAGAAGTCCCATTTCTGGAAATGAGAGAAGTAGAATTATTTTATATTTTCATTTTTCATATAGCTGACACGTTTATAAAGCGACTTACAATAAGTGCATTCAACCAGGAGGGTACAGACCCGAACGACAACAATCAAGAAAGCACAACCAAGTGCCATTGTAAGTGTTATTAAAGGGCAATCTAGTTCAGGTATAGTTGGTAGAAGTGTATTTTCAGGAGGACGCGTCACATATAATGCACACATTTGTTGATGTGTGTGTGTGTGTGGGTTCACTTACAGTAGTCTTGACTATGGTGCTGGCTGGCATGAGAGGATGAGTCTCCTCCACTATGCTGCTGGGGAAGTGTCCAATGCGAGCCTCCTGCTGCCCGTAATAGGAGTCTTGTACCTGAAAGCAGATTATAGAGAATTAAGTTGTATACAACCTGTCCTTTGAGTGGACAATGGCATTGCTGCACATGGAGGAAAGAGGCCTTCACAACGTCCAACAGAGCGCTTTGCTTCAGAGCGGTGTCAAAACAAAAGCATTGTTTTCACTTACAATGCCGGCCCAGAAGAGGTTTCCTCTGTCCCTCAGCATTCCATAGACATAGATGAGCTGCCCCTGTCTGATCGGGATGAACCTGCAGTCTCCAGGGTAGTAGTCCTGCAGCGCACGTGCTATCAAGATGGGATCTGTGCACGATCATATACAGAGTCTGAGGCATCACATTCAGGACTGCTGCAATTTATTTTGTCATATTTCTATGCAGAGTGAACATTTCTGCATGGGGATTGTCATTTTGATCATCAACAGTTATAGTATAAAGCGGTCACTACGTTACCACCAAGATAAGATGTTGCTACTCACGGCTGCAGTCGGAGTCAGCGCAGAGTTTCTTGTCAGAGAGTTTGGGCATCTGCCTTCCGGCTTCAGAGGTTGGCAGCGCGAGCCACAGTGAAAGAACGAGCCACAGTTTGGAGGGCATGTTTGTATGTGAGCGCACCTAATGATCCGATGGCCTAGTTTCACGCCTGGTGAAGTTCTTGTGGGCTTTTATTTTCCCTCTTGTCTGTTTGCCGTCTCAAAGAAGGATGGTCAAAGTGATGGCAGTCCCTTTTTATACTCTCCCCACCCCTTTACCTCGCACATGAAGACACACAGAGCTCCTTTCAAATCTGTGAGCAGGTAAACAGGAAGGGGGTGTGAGGAGGAGGAGGAGGAGGGCCGGGGCAGACAGAGCCCTGCTTGTGTCCTAAACTTCGCCCCTTTCCACATCTCACCCTGTGTCATCCCCACCGGGAGGAGTGTAAAATTGAGTAACAGCGCATTCCTCAGAGTTAATCTGTGTTTTCATACCCTGTTCGACCGCTAGTCGTCGAATCATTTCACACAGACACACCGGTCGTCCCGCCTGCTCTCTCCACCTCCCTTACTTCATGAGAGGTGGAGCAACTGGCCGTATTTACATACTGTATGTTTCTTCTGCCAAGGAAACCAGCTCAGCCTCTCTTGTGCAAACACTCCCCAAACACACACTCTTACACAAGCACACACGCACACACACATGCACAAACACACGCACAAACAACCCAAACAGGAAGACTATACCTGTATTGTGTGAGTTGGCAGGGAACTATCAGGTAAGACAGACTTCATTTTTCTTCCTTCGAGGTTCCAATAAAGGTTCTGTTAGTTCTCATAATGTAAAAATGTGTTGTTAAAGTAGACAGGACTTAATTATTTTAATGTATTCCCTATTTTAAATCGGAAGAGGACATAGTTTAATGGTTGTGAGAGGTTTTAACAGGTGCCATGGATGATGGTGACGTCAGCATTGGAGAGAGAATTATCAGACGGAGGAGACCGAGACCTGTGCCTGTAAAGACTAAATCAAACATTAGCTCTGTAAAGACTAAACCAAACAGTAGCTCTATAATCATGCAGTGACTAGAAAGAACAGTATGTGGTAGCAGCGCTTTTAAAGCCGTAGTTTGAGGGAAAAATCATAAACAACACAACGTCAGGACTTTAAAGACTAGAATTCATTTTGAAGAACAAGCAAGACTTTTTTAGGATCTATTGGAGCACATTACCTTTGGAATTTAGGGAGGGGAGCAGAACAAAGATAACAGTGGAGCTGGTATTTCGGTCAGAGTAACAAAAGTACCTGTAGACAAAAGACCTTAAAGGCAATCTGAGATGATGTTACGAGTCATGCTACATGTCCTGAATTTCATAATGACAGTAAATAGAATCTGTTGGTAGTGGCTGTTTGTGCTATTGATGGGCTTTCTTGTACACAGAAGAAGGAGAGAAGAAAAGGATTTGAACAATACCAAGAAGACAATTGGACCCACAGTGAAGTCCCTGTCTGGCAGAGACTTACCTGGATTACAAAAGTGAAAAATCAACCCGCTCTGGACCAGATCATCGAGGAACAAAAGAGAACGTTTATGGTGGTGCACCTGCCACCTGCGTGATCAAGCTCTTGACCTGGGATAATGCTTTTTTTGTGACTCCTACAAGCCTTCAGCTGTCAACAATGTTCACCCAAAGGAAAGACAGTCTCCCGACCCCCAGCCTGGAGGACTCCTTCTTCCCTCTCTCCTCATCCTCCTCAGTCTCACTCTCCTTTAATCTCCCCTCATCTACATCCTCTCCCGGCAGCAGTGACAGCGGAGGGGCGATCGAGACGGATCTGATACTTGCTGCAGAGCTGGGGCAGGCTTTACTGGAGAAGAACGAGGAGCTGGCAGCCTCTCTGGAGCAGAGAGAGAGGGAGCTGGAGGTAAGGATGAAGCCACTGTAAACTCTCTGGCTTGTGATCGAACAGACTTTCTAACACTTCTAAGACATATAGTGACTTGGAAACAAAAGGAACGCTCAAATTTACCATGAATAAACAAATAGGATTTGAATGATTCTGGCGGTGACGCATGGAGTAGAGAGGGTGCGCCGGGTACCGCATGGTTGCTGGTTAAACCTCGGCTGCTCCGTGTCCCTGAGCAAGACACCCAACCCATAATTGCTCCCTGGGCAAAATGTAAAACCATGGGTTAAAATGCAATGTAAGTCGCCTTGGATAAAGCGTCAGCTGAAGGACATGTAATGAAATCAATGATCATAAATGTGGAACTAATCTGATCAAGGCTCAATTTGTTCCACCGTAATTGATATAAATTACAGTTCTCACAGGATCAACCAAAACACATTTAAAAAAAACAACAAGATGCGGTATATCCTACAAGCAATAACAAACATAAAAAGAAAAAAATAATGAAGAACATGGGGACATCACAAAAACATAGTGAAAAAAGAAACAGATTTACAACTGATGCTGACTTTTTCCTCACTTTTATCTCTGCGTATCACAAGTATTTTTCCTGTAAGTTGCATACATTCATTCATGAAACTTTCTGTCCCTGGTGGGTGGTGTAAAAAATGAACAGTCATTTTCCACTGACGTCAACTTGATGTTTCACAGTACGCAAAGGTCATTCATAATACAAATAGATAATGTTGGATTCCATTTACCGACCTCAGGTTAATAACAGCTGTGGTTTGCCTTCTATCCCAAGTGAAATTGTCTGATGTCATAAAGGCGTATCCTGCTCTTCTACAACCAGTCACCAATCACTGAATCCAATCTTGTCTCCTCCTACAGCTGTTGTTAGAGACACATTTGTTGCAATTTTCTTTCACACCCAAAGTAACAAGAATACAGACATGTTATTTCAACATGTGATATTTCCGTGTGTCCTTGAAGCCAGTTAATTTTGCATCTAATGTCTAAGGCTTTGCAGCAGGAGAAGCATGTTCTGGACAGACGGCTGGAGATGAATGAACTGGTGTCTGGGCAGAGAGAGGCAGACCTGGCTGCAGATTTAGCAGCTTTGAGGACTGAGCTGGAGAGACATCACAGCCAAGGGCGGGACCGGCGGAAAGACGACGGCGCACAGCTGACTCAATTAGCCAATCATAACCAACGCTTGGTGGAGCAGCTAGCAGAGGTTGGTTTACACCACTAGTGAAAAAGCAGCCAAGTATGGCATCACAAGTATGTTCAGTCTATCAGAATAAACACAAGAAAAGTGTTTGTGAATGGGTGTGTGTGTGTGATAAATGTCGACATGTGTGTGGTGTCACATGAAGAATGCAGAGGAACAGGTTTGTGGAGTCCCATCTTTGGCACTCATTGAACAACCCTTCTATCCACTTAGGCTGTGTCACTGGAACACTCCTTGAGAACAGAGCTTCGCTCCCTCAGAGAAGAACAGGATGAGTCCTCGTTCAGCCAAAGCATCAACTTTACGCAACTGGAGAACATTCAGGCGGAGGTATACCAGTCACTTCCTAATGTTTTACAGCAAATCAGTTCTAAAGTATTTCAATCATGGTCAAATAGTATGAGATTTTACTACGATGTGAATGCAAAAAGAGCTTTGTGATCTCATAGCAAGGCTTATGTCCCTGATGGCAAGTGAATGCTGACTAATAAAACGTATGGCATCTGAAAATTGGAATTTCAAATCCATGTTTTATACACACAAAACCGAGATCAAGATCAAGTCTTTAAATAGTCAAATCAAATATCTCGTGGGTTTGAGTCTGACTTGTGTCTCAAGTCTCTGTTGCTCACAATAAATGGAGATATTAGGAAAATGTTAACAGATTAACAGACTTGTGCCAAGTAGCAATATCTCAAAGCAAGAAAATAGTGTCGCCTCTAACATTGCACCGTTTATTCAGTCCTTTCTCTTTTACTCCATACAGAACAGAGTGTTGCTGGGGCGCCTGTCGTACATGGAGGCCCAACTAAAAACCTCACAGGCGGACAGCGACAGGCTCCGCATCGAGAGAGAGGGGCTGAGAGACCGGCTGTCAGAGCTCCAAACGAAACTGAGGGAGAAAGAAGCCGAGGTAAAGACCCAAGGCGGATTGTTGTCAAAGATGAACTGTAGCGTGGAAAGAATCATGCTTCCTGCAAAAAGATGATTTGTTCATCAGTGACAGAAGTACAACTAGTTTGAATGAGTGTATCTTTGTGTGTGCTTGTGTGTGTGTGTCTGTACCGTAGATAGAGCAGGAACAGGGATTGACGTTTGAGTTGCGAACGGTGAATCGCTCTCTGCAGCAAAAAGCTCTGAACCTGGGAGAAGAGAGCATTCTGGACAGTACACAAACGCAACCTTTGTCTCTGCATAGTGAAATTCAGCAATCGCAGGTACACGCACACAAACGCACACAACGTCCTGTGTTTGTTAATTTGGGACTGACTGGCCCCCAAAATACCCTCTTTGTACTAATGTTATGCAAAAAAACACCAAGTCATAAGGTTATGATTTCACAGATTTCTCATCTGTTGTGTACATCTCCTTTTGCTAAACAGGTGAAAGAGGCTCTTCTAGCTCACTCCACCGTTCTGCAAGCAAGAAATGAAGAGATACAAGCGCTCAAAAAAGAGGTCTGTTGAACTTTATACAACCACACAAACACTTTTGACAAGCACGGCTTTGCTGGGCGATTGACCGGAGACGAGGAAATAGTATGAGTTGCTACTGGTTTCCCCCCTTTCATTATAAGGGCTTAAAAAGACCGGTGCTATAATGGAAAAATAATGATGAAAAGTAATGGGTTTTTGTGTAAGCATGTAAGCATTGTCTAGTATACCCCAACAATACAAAGAATATGTCTCCTTTAAATTACATATAGCTACAGAGGATGGATATCTCCCTATTTTGGAAGTAAAACATATTGTTATTAGGATGATTACAATATGTTTGAATTTCACATGTTGCAGCTGCAATCTCAAGGAGAAGAACTTGCGTCTTTGAAGCAAGAAATCGAGCCATTTCGCAGCAGCCCTGAAAAGCCGAGCTACAGGTAATAATATACAACAACAGCATCCGTCTCTCCTATTTTGGGCCCACGGCGATACATATTTGGCTAATCACCAAATCAATGTGCAGTTCCTTAGAGAGTGAAGTGGCCACCGTGCGTCAGGAGAAAGAAACGCTCACTCAGCAGCTTCTCAACATCATCAAACAAAAAGTGGTGCTGTCGCAGGAGCTGGAAGTCTGGCAGGTAAGCGCGGGGACGATACATTCAAAATGATGTCTCTGATACATAGTAATGTTTACCAATGGAATATTGTTTTTCTATTATCCCGTTGCAGGAGGACATGCGGCTAGTGATCAACGAACAGGTGCAGCAAAGGGAGGAGGAGAGACAGAGGGAGAATCTAAGAGAAAGACAGACAAACAAAGCAGCGGGGCTTCAGAGAAGCAAGTCTTTGAGATTGAAGGGAGAAGGAGGGAAAGGATTCTTCTCCTTTTTCAAAGAAAAATGACAGAAAAAAGGAGCAGCAGTTTTCTGCATGTATCCCTCCCACTGCCAGATCCTGCAGCGAGATAATGTACACTTTAACGTGTAATCAGCGTTACCAAGTCAAATGTTTACAGACATCTTATTTGAATACATGTGTATATCTGTATGTATATAGTATATGTTTCAGAATTTTATATTAAAATTGTGTAAAACCTGTTAATCTCAATTGATTGTTTTATAATTTGATGGTTGTTGTTTTGCACAGCATCTTAACGCTGCTTTTATTTATTTTCTTGGTCTCTCGGATTGAGAGTTTAAACAGAACACAAAAACAAAGGCAGCGCGTTCGATATGATTAGATGTCCAAAAACTAAATGGCATGCATTCTGGGGCTTAACTTCTGCTTTAGAAACAAGGGGAGAGGGAGAGGGAGCAAGTTGGGAGGAAAATAACCAAATTTAACCAAATTTAAACACAAAAGAAAACTCTTACAATGACAATGTCGGTGTGTCCTTTGATGGCTAGCTTCCAGACAGAATCTTTACAGCAGAAATACACAAACCACCCAGTGGTCAAATGCAAATATGTATGTAAAGTATGTCTATTTTAAGAATTGGATTCTATATATTTTAAATAATTGCAGAGGAAAACATCAGGCTCTATATTTTACTATAAACTATAATATGTAAGTAGGCTAAAAAACTCCTTTCTACGAGTAAAGAGTTATGTAGTAGTTTAGTCACTATGAGTGACTTCATTTTATAAATAGACATTTAACCAATTGATAATACTAAAATATTTATTCGTGGATCTTGGGTCGCAAAATGTTGATACATCTACAGTGCTGCAACGTATTCAATATTAATAGAGGGTAAAAAAAAACATACTATAATAGAAATAACATCTTTATTAAATCAAGTCCAAAAAGACACTCTCTTCCACAAGTCTCTATGTTTACATTACATGAGGTATAAATAATATTTATGCAACATTTCATTAAGTAGGACTGGAAATACCCAGAAGCAGTGCGAGTAGTGCAGGTTGCATACAGATCCTTCATCTATTCACATACAGTACAGTCCTGGCTCAGCAGTCCGTTCTCTAACATTAGAACATGGAGCGAGCATTTTCTCTTACAGGGAGCTTGTGGTTGTTTGTTCATGTGCAGTTTCTCACACAGTTTTATAAGCTGGCAAACAAAGGAGAATTACTTACTCATACACACAGTTTTGAGGATCACTCCGGCATTTGAGCAGGACTACATCCATTTTGCATTTCTGACAGCCGCATCTTTTTTAGATTTATCTAAAAAAAAAAAAAGTATTTGGACATTTGGAAAGTAACGTGAATTTGGGCATTGGTATTGCATGTCCTTAGGTTTCATGTTTCTAAAAGTATATTTATTTCTTTATAAAGTGGTCAGCAGGAGGTTCAGAGAGACAATAGTTATAGTTAATGGGGTAAAACATGAAAATGACAATTATTTTTCAGTATAGTCTATATTCTTTCCTTTCTTTAACACTACTTACTTACATTATAAAACCTTTTGTTTTTTTCCGTTTGCAGAACACAGCAGATCCCTTTCTGTGTCCATTGTCTAGCTTGGTTTTGGGAGGACAGAAACACATCTGTTTAGTCCAATCAGACAACATCACCTCCATTTTGAGAGGTAGCGTTAAAGCCCCAACGATCAGCTTCAACACCCAAACAATCCATGATACTCAGGTTGATCAAGTGTTATGTCCTGAACGATAGGGCCATTATGATGCCTCTGAAACAGGTCTCTGGATCGATGTCTTGACTCTCCAGCAGACTTTATTGGATCATTATCCCACGTTGATTCCGAGGCCAACTTGCAGCTTGTCACCTCTGTGATTTACAAAGGCGCCCATAATCAGGGTGGCAGGTAGCGGTGTCAGCCGCTTCTCCAACACGCCTCCTATTATGCACCGACTGTTTATCATGCCTGCATACACAAACACAGAAAGGTCCTCCTGTACTAGCTTTATTAATAGTTTTCATGACATTTGACTCAAAGTTGGAGAAAGAAATTTACCTCGAAAGACCATATTGGCCTCTGGGAGCTCCATCTGGTACCCAAATGAAGTCGTGGTCTCCTGTGTCCTGGTACTAGCCTCAAATTCCACCCCAACTTGGATCTGATGAACGCAAAAAACATGCATTTACAAATTGGCAATGTGCATGGAAAGGCCATGTTTATACAGCGCTGTGTCTTCTGCTGCACCTGTTTGTTGGCTCGATGATAGTAGCTAGCATGGGCACCTCCTTTCCCAGCATTTAGTGTTGCCACCCAGTTGGGTCCTGTATGGAGAGCCAGAAAAAAGGCAAAATTCTGGTGCTTAGTCGAGTAAGAAAGATCAGGAAATGTCAGATAAATGGGGTGTCTAAAGAAAGTTCACAATAAAACACAAAACTCTCACTGGAGTACTGTCCAGCTAGAGTAAGAATTCCTCCTTCCTCTGCTCGGCCCCGATGGTAGACCAGCTCCCCTCCTAAAACCAGCCCAGAAGACACACTTTGAAGAAAGTGTGCCACAAGGATAACTGTCAAAGAGAAACACACAAATACATATTAGATTAGATAAACAACAAACATCTCAATTATGTATTTTGCTGCTGATGATCATTGTGCTCTGTTGAAAAACAGTGACTGGTTGAAGTATTTCCTAATATCCGATGATGCTCTTATCAGCCCACCTGCCATTTCTTACCTGACTCTCTGGGGACATCAGGATTGGCTACTGTCACAGCAGCAGTAAAGTCGTTCCCTCTGTACTCAGTTTCAAACTGCCACGTTACGAACTGGGACTGCTGGGTCTAAAACACGATAAACGAAAGCCTTCAGACCAACGTTTAGTGTAAAGAGACGTGCCATGTGCAGTGACAGTGTCTGATTATGAGAACATTAAAATCTCACCTGGAACACCGTCCTGGCTCGTACTCGCTCGTTGAGATGTAGCAGAGCGTGAGCATTCAGACTGCCAGAGGAGTCCATCTCCCCGATCAATGCTGGCGCATCCTAAAAATGAGGCAGAATCACTGTGAACTTCCCAAATAAAGGGAGGCGCTGTAGCTTCCTCCGTTTTCCAACGTCCTATGCAGCTAAGCAAAGTAACGACAAAGTAGTGGTAATATATGTATGCCCAACCTTGTCTTTGCTGTAGTCATCAGACTGCAGATGCTCCACGTGGAAACGATAGTACGAAGGACTGACAGCACTGAGGTGGAGAGTATGACTGACCTGGAAGAAAATATGCATATTGTGTTATAACATTTAAGAAATGTCCACCCTTACTATCTTTAAACATTGTTTAATTGTAGTCACTTTGAAGAAGCTGCTCAGAGTTTTGTTGAGGATCATCTTGACTCCCTCAATCTGTTGAGGGAACACATCTGGGGAGACAAGTAGAAAAAACAGATCAGATCACTAATACTTCTACTATTCTCTGTGTGTCGTCTGCTGTGTGGACGGCGCTTCCTTTTAGCCGGGCGAACCTTTGCAGCTCCTGTGGAGAGAGTGAAAGCTGCCTGGGTTGGGCAGGCGGCCATCTCTCCGCTCCCAGCGTGGCGGACTGTCCCAGTGAGCGGGATGCGCGTCCCAGTGAGAAGGAGGGGGGTCCGGGGAGAAAGGCCAGTTTTGATGGCCCGGACTGGAAGACAAAGCCAGAACACTGCCCATGTGGGCACAACACTTCCTACATGATGCAAAGAGATAAAGGAGGGAATTACAATGATGCAAAGATCAGTTGGTTTTTCTTAACTGCAACCTGTTCCTGCACAAATTAAAGCCATATTATGCGCCACATGAAGAGAACACAGCTAGACCATTAACCAAGCCCTGAAGAACGATTCTTTGACAAATAGAGCAATACAATATAAATGTCTGTTATTGAAACACCTTGCACACACTCAGAAAGTGGTACAGAGGAAGCTAATGGCATAATGGATGCTATCTGAAATAAGACATTCAGACGTGTATCCTCAGATGTTGAGTTCTGGTTATTTTAATTGGTTACACTGCAACAATGATGTTTAATACACGGCTGTCCGCTGTGTTTGTGTGCAGGTGCAGCAGTTCCGTTAGCTAGCATAACCGTAGCATTGCAAAAACCACTAATGCGCTAGTTGTTCAACTACCTACTTCCGCTGTTATCAAGCGACGTTAAAATCCGGAGCGAAACGGAGAATCGCACATGAGAAGAACTGTCAGGTGGAATTTCCCATTGATAAACAACGCCGAGATAACTGTGGCTCGGATTTACTGATGCTGCGAATAGCCCACTCCTCCAGATGTGATGAGCCACCCTGCAAATAATTCCCTCTGCAAACACGATGGGAGTTGTGTAGTCAAATTACGCTAATAAATTCACATGTATAAAAATCTGAAAAGTAATATTATCTATACATTTTAACCGCCTAGTATTGAATTACAATAGCTAAGTGGGCTTGTTGAAATCTTCCTCAGGGAAACAACGCAACGTTCCTAGTTTTTTGTTTCCGGTCGGACTGTTATACCTGCGACACAGTGTTGAACGCAAACCGCTACAGGTGAGGCAGCGTTCATGTACCGCAGCGCCGAGGTAATAGAGGGTCAGCCTATTTGAGCTAACAGTACACGCGTTGTCATTTCTAAAGTTCAGCCGATGCCACTTTGGAGACAAGATACGGAATTAATTTACTAACACAGCGAACCGGACTAAAGCCGCTCATTGTCGCTTCCGTGCGCGTCTCTCTCAGCTCTATATGCAGCGGAGTAGTGTGCAACCTCCAGGTAACGCATCTTTTCTGTGTCCCAACCTCTTTTTCAGATGGACTGAGCATGTCTCCCTCGAGGTCCATATTGCTGGTGGGAGAGGGGAACTTCTCGTTTTCTGCCTCCTTGTCCTCGGAGACCGAGACCCGCGTAACGGCCACTTGCCCGCAGAGGCAAGAGGACGCACTGCGGCATGAAGGCGCAGCCGAAAACATCGAGATGATCCGGGACTCGGGTGGGTAGTTTGTCGGTGTTCCATTTCTACCGAGTTGTAATTTTTCTGGCACTTCTTGTACACTTGTGTGTGTTAATCATCAGGTGGGCTGGTGCTTTTCGAGGTGGACTGCACGAAGCTGCAGCAAAGTGCGCCTCTGCGGGGCTGTTTGTTTCACCGCGTGGTGTTTAACTTCCCTCACTGCGGGAGAAAGAGCGGGGTCAAGAAGAACAGAGAGCTGCTGAAAAAATTCTTTCTCAGGTAAAACGCCATTTATCATTCAACCCATTCACAGCGGCGTCTCTGGAATTTGGAAACCTCCCACTGGCGTTTTAAAACTTAAAAAAATATTGTCTTACACTTGGTTATTATTCTCCAAGTTAAAAACGTGCCAAACTACTTAGTAACTACACATTTCAAAAAGAAAAACTAGTTGTCATTCTTGGCATTTTTTTCTATATACTGACTGGAATCTAAATAGATAAATACCACTTCAGGGCTGGGGAATTTATGAATAACACAGTGATAGCAGATATCGTCTTGGACTTTTGGGGGGATATCAGAATATTGTTAGATGGCTTTGCGTAAATATTTTGTAAAATGGTCACTGGCCAAGCCTACATAACAATATCAATAACAATGTTTTTCTTCCTAAATATAATCAATATAATTTCCTTCTATTGCCCAGCCCTGTATCTATTCTTGATTTTTGGAAGACCAGTTCCCTTTAAAATGTCTTGTGCGTTTTTACTCTACTTTTACCCAGTTCTGATTATGTTCTTACTTTTATAAACTTACAAAGTTCCCAATGTCTGTCTTGCGTGACGACGTACTGAATATCCTTTTTTTTTCTTCTATACCTCTAGTTGTGTGCAGCTGTTGTCTGAAGACGGGGAGGTCCATGTTTCCTTGTGCAATGGACAGGGTGGGACGCCAGCCGACCAACCGAAGCGAGAGTGGCACAACAGCTGGCAGGTGGCTGCCATGGCAGCAGAGGCACACCTCATCCTCAAGGATGTCCATCCTTTTGAAAAGGAGAAATACCAGAGCTATAAGTGCACTGGATACAGGTAAGGTGTGAAGGTGAGTGTGACAGGGTATGAATATGTAAAAGCCTTTTGCGTCCCTGGCTGTGTGTTTTGGTGCGTGATTGTGTGCAGACACTCTAATGGTTTGTTCCTTCTGTTGTGCAGGAGCCAGGATAAAGGCTTTCATGTGGAGAAAGGTTTACTTCACGTGTTTACTCGCAGCCTCCCCTACAGCCCCACTGAGATACTAACGGTTGAGGAGGCTGTTGATGGGGACCAGGTTCTGTACAACATGCCAGCCGAGCTTAGTGATTGTGTATTCAGGTACAGTAACACAGAGACTCTTGTGCTGTTTGAGTCGCCAACACGACACAAAAAGTTCTATAACCAGGCGTCTCTTCTTTCATCAGGGGATTTCTCTGCTCGGGTTCTGTCCACCCTGTCAGGTTGGTGCAAGATTTTCTTCTCAAAGGACTGGCGGAGAAGTGGTCTGTCTCCATGACGACAGAGACCGTTCCCTTCCTCCTCAAAGCCAAACAGCTGCAGGCGTTCGGCTGCGACGTTGACTCGGCAGACTGCTACTGGATCCACCTGCTTCAGAAAGACGTCATATCTGAAAATGATACCTCGACAGACAAAGAAAGAGACACACAAGAGACTCTGGCACGTCTCTCCTTGGATAAAGTGGACAGGGTGAGGAGTAAAGGAGCTGAGAGCCTACGCTCTGCATGCTTAATTGATATTGACCCTGAAGGGGAAAGTGGCCTTTATATGCTCCGTCCGTCACTGCTCTCCAAGATGGAGGAGCTTCTGACTAAAAAGGAAGCGTATGCAGCGTGGCACGGGGTGGACGAGAGAAATAATGAAAGCGTTGAGGTCGAAGGACATAAGAAGGACGGGCCTCTTGGGGGCCGTAACGGTGTCCCCAGCTTGTTTGGCATTAGCGGCCTAGTGTTTAAGAACGTGCCCGTCAACCTCTGGAATCTGCCGGCCTTTCATGAGCTCCTCCTCGGGGGGGTTTTCCCCTCGGCAAGTGAGCCAATCAGATTGATTGGGCAGAGGCTGGAAACTCTGCTGGCGCCCTACGGGGTCTCCTTAGTCACCGAACAGGGGTGTCTGCGTTTGACCGCACTGCAAAAGGGATTGGTTGGTAAAGTGTGTGCAGGCAATGCAGGTGACGGCATTAGCAGTGTCCGTGTCACCGTGTCCCTTAATCTGGACCTTCTCTCCGTGCTGTTGTTCTCGCTGCCCGACTGGCGGCTGCTGTGGTCCCACGACCCGCGCTTTCTACAGCAGTTTGAGCTGCGCCCGCCGCCAGGGAAACCTTTCCAACCGTTCTCCCTGTTCCCCGAGCACTTCAGCTTCGACATTAGCTTCTGGACAGGGCCGACGTGGGCTGAGAGGAAGTTCCACGCCGCCATCCGAGAGGCCAGTCACGGGACCGTGGAGCAAGTCAAACTCGTGGACACGTTCTCGCATCCTGACCTCAGCCAGACCAGTTACTGCTACAGACTCATCTACCACTCAAACACACATGCTCTGTCACACACACAAGCTCTGCAGTTTCATAAAGACCTAGAAACCTTTCTTACCTCTCGGTTGCAAGTCACTATCAGGTAGTGACATTTTAATCTTAAAGAGGACCTGAGGCTCTTTTTGTCTGTTTGTACGTACTGCGGACTTCATAAGCATATAGATTGTGGAACAGTGTCTACAGTGGTTGGTGCATTGTGCGCTGTAGTTTTCCATTGAACAGGTGTTTCTCTGCATCTGTGATTAACGTATCATTCAATAAATATGTTATCAGAATTATCTTAATTGGAAAGGTATGAGATCACAAACCACGTTTTCTGGTTGGTGCTTTCTGTAAATTGCATAATGTTGTTTTTGTTCATGTTTTAATTCGTAAATTAAACTATAACAGTTAAAATAATGTGGTTAAGTAATAAGTTCAATATTTTATTCTAGACGATAGTAAAGAAGAACTACAGCTTCCATCGGATATTTAGTAATCGTAGTATTAGTATCTGGAAATTGCCATACTCCTCTTTGATGTTTTGTTTGATCATTTTGGGGAACTAGTAGTCCATACGTTATTTACAAGTAACAACAATGCATATGTATTATTTATATATTACCTATATAGAAATAGACTTGAGAGCTCTCGTAAAAGCTGTCAATAACCGGACGGCGCCGAAAATGAACGAGCCACGAATCGGGAGCGCTCATCGGAAAACATGGCGGCCAAAACGCTTCGGCAGCGAACCCGGCGAGGCAGCAGACAAGATGCGAGCAACGTGAACGTCCCCGCCGAACCTCGGCCACCGAAGGAGGAGAAAGGCGGTGATGACGGTAAAACCACGGAGGCCCGGCAAGAGTGAGTACGAGCTGGCAGCGGAGACGCTGCATCCATCGGTGCAGAGAGCTCCATCCCGCCGGTCTGACGGCTAGCTAGCTTCCGCTGCTCGGGCTGTCAAAGTAGCTAGCTAGCTAGCACGTTGAGCAAGTCCGGATGACTGCAACAATACCATGCAACGGTGGAAAACGTCCCTCTTAACAGCACATGGGTCAATGTCTTCACAGGACCTCTGAGTGCGTTGGCTGTTGCTGGCTGCGTGTTTTATCAGAGCAACGTTACGCGATCGGGTCACCTGGTCCACTTCATTCATTCATTCCCCCCTGCTGTCCGTAACACTGCCACCTACTAAAGATCCACCAGCGGCGACAGACGTGCACTTTGAATCAGGGATTGTTGTCATTGATACGTTGCTCAAGTCCCTTGAATTAAATTGCACGGGGTGTGAGATGACGTGGCATTAGAAAGCTCTGTAGCATAGCAACAACCGAGCTAACGTTAACTGGATGCTGGATGTAAACATGAGGAAGCAGGTTATCAGTGTTACTGGTAATACTTATGAATTGTCGTAAATACTTCACCTACTACTAACTATGAACAGACACAAAACTATCCATATCAGGGAGGTGATTATAATGGGCATTGATATAAAGTCATATTTTAATGATTGTTATTTGGATTTCTAAAAATGTAAATCTTTAGCAATCTGCTAATTGTAAACACACTACAACTTGGATTAAGGATTCCATAAGGATATGTTCTCATGCGCTAAAACACGTATGAAAACCACTATTGGAACAGAAAAATATGACATATAGAATTAAATATGAAGGAGATACATTTAGAAAAAAATATAATTCAAATTCTTAAAGTCTTAACAGGACAGAGCCACAACCTTAAAACTGACAAATACACTATTAATAGCAAAAAACTGGAACTTGCTTGGTAGTGGAGTAGGTGCCACTGTATAATGTAACTATACGTCTACATGCTCATCAGGTTTCTTCATGCTAATTAGACTGTTTAAAATTAAGTACTATTTAAGTACATTGTGGTACATTTCACATGTTCTAGTGCATCTTTGTAATAGCTCATATATTTGTATTAGTACACAATAATTGCAAATTGGTGTGTTTTTTTTCTTTTTTAAATTGCATTCTATAGGTCAGTGAGTCGTGGGGGGCAGGTATGGGCTCCAGAAGGTTCGACAGCATTTAAATGCCTGCTCTCTGCGCGTTTTTGTGCGGCTTTGCTCAGCAACATCTCAGACTGTGATGAGACCTTCAACTACTGGGAGCCTGTGAGTACAGCTCACCGTTCATCAGAAATCCTAAATTGTCATTTTCTGTCCCTTGCAAAGATGATCTTAAATCGATGTCAGAATATATTTATTGTTGCACCAAGATACTACTACTCTTTAACTTTAATTTGTTAACCGTTAATTTAATTATTGTGGTGACTGTTTTGACAGATGCACTACCTGCTCTACGGTACCGGGATGCAAACATGGGAATATTCTCCATTGTACGCCATCAGGTCGTACGCTTACTTATGGTTACATGCTCTTCCTGCTTGTTTGCATGCCCACGTTCTACAGACAAACAAGGTATTTATTCTGAACTTGATTTCACATGAACATTTGTTGATATTTTAAATGACTTCAGCTAAGGTACAACACAATCACCTAGTTTGTTCTCTTCTGAAGTAAGAGGACTTTTTTTTTAGATTTCAAACAAAAGACAAACGTGTTCTCTGTTTGTAGGAACATAATTTATATTGGAAATCATTTACACACCTGTACCTATTAAAAAAAATATATATATATATTTATTCATCCATCATTAAAAATACACATAAAATCACACATACACACACACACACGTTTGCAGAATTTCCAGAATTGTGTGATGATTGTGTTGCAGGTGTTGGTGTTCTACTTTGTGCGATGTGTTTTAGCATTCTCCTGCTGTGTCTGCGAACTCTACTTCTACAAGTGAGTTTACCATCCTCTTCAATGCAAGTAGGCATCCTAAGTGCTTCGGTCTACGCATTTAGCAGTTTAACCATATGGTTTGTTTGTGTGTGACACAGGGCTGTTTGTAAGAAGTTTGGTTTGCATGTAGGCCGTCTAATGTTGGCATTCCTTGTCCTGAGCACAGGAATGTTCTGCTCGTCTGCAGGTTGGTTGGATTTAGTTACTTTTCTTAATCCCGTTCCTATGCAAATGTATCTTTTCACCTTTGTCTCTGCCCTCTGTTGTTTTTACATCTATCTTTTTTGAGTAACTTACCACGGAACCAAATATTTCTCAGCTTTTTTATTTCTAAAATCTACACACTGGATATTTTTTCACTGTATGCCCCTGTCTCTGTCAAGGTCGAAAGAATAAGGTTTTGCAGAGCTAACAAATTGTCAATCACAGGTTATTTTTGCTGATAAATGTTTGTGCACCATCCTCCCCTTTGATACTTGCTCCTCAGCTTTCCTGCCCTCCTCGTTCTGCATGTACACAACGCTGGTTGCCATGACGGGGTGGTTTCAGGACTCCACGCCGTTGGCCATCATGGGTGTGGCTGCTGGCGCCGTCGTTGGATGGCCGTTCTCTGTTCTTGTCGGGTAACTAAAATACCTGTTTCCATCAGATAGACATGGCAATAACAAAATGTGTTATTCTTACGACAGCTTTCATCCATTTCATTTTCAGGATTCCCATCGCTTTTGACTTGCTGATGTTAAAAAGGCAGTGGAAAAGTTTCATCACCTGGTCAGCTGTGGCTCTGCTTGTGCTGCTGGTGAGAATTATTTTCTTAAATACAGATAAAACCAACAAAGGTTTAATTGTGCCTATCACAGCACAAGGTGTATACTAATTTCCCTGCCATGTCACGGCTGCAGTGTGTGACATGACATTGGTTGAGCACAGAAAATTCAGATTTTCTCTTTTTATATGTGTCATACAGAATATAATGTATTACAATACGGGTAGATTAAATCCAGCGTTCTGATTGGTTGAGATTGAGTCACGGGGTGTGCATTATTCAGCCATAATGTACAGTACCTGTTCACATCGACCCAAGCGTTCCATATCACTGAACACTTTGCGCAACCGTTAGTTGTGGTTTCAGTTTTTAGCTCGGTGGCAATCCCCAAATTAATCCCAGAAATCCCAGAAATCGGTGGGTTTCGGGCTTTCGCAACCGGACAATTAAGGCGAACGTCACGAGGGATGTGAATGAATGAGATGGTGCTAGATCTTGCAAGGAGACTCGATGCTGTTTACATGCACTTTGCTGCGTGTCGGGCCTAACTACACCACCGAACTGTTTCATTATTGGACGATAAAGTACAGCCTCTCGTACCTTATTGCCAAAATATAACATAGGTATTGCCATGGTAAATATGTTCATTTTGTATAGTTTTGTTTGTAACAATTCCCAAATTATGTAATACAATGTTTATATTGCAAAAGCTAAATGTAGATGGGGACATTCACTTTCCCTCTGTCTGCCGTTTTTGTCTTTCTCAGGTACCCCTTGTGGCAGTAGACTCTTTCTTTTATGGAAAACTGGTCATCGCTCCACTTAATATTCTACTTTATAATGTCTTTACACCACATGGACCTGACCTGTATGGTAATATACAAGCTCACACATCATTAATGTATCATTTTTTTATTGTGTTAGCAAAAAATGGAATTCTGACCTGATATTTCCCATTCTGGAAAGCATGCTTTACGACAAAAGTCGTTTTCAGTGTCTAATTCAGCATCCTACACAACCGGTCTGGTGCTGCAGAACAAAGAGGCTGCATTTTATTAACCATCTCAATTCAGGGATTTTCGTAACAGCAATTTCTTGACTGATTTGGTATATTGATTTAATGACAGAATGGAGCAAAGGAAAGCATGGACAATTTAAAGCTGCACTTTTTTCAGTTAACCCTAGATGGCATTACATCATTATCACAAGTAAAACAGACCCATGAAAAGATTTGGCAATGTGTTGTAAATGACAAAATGTTTAACCATCCACCTCTGTGGATTTCCTATTCAAGTAACTTGCATAACTTGCTATAACTATAAGCTGTCTTGATTTGTACATGCTTGTTCATGTGCTGAGGTCACATATTTTGTGTTGTTACGTTTTCAGGTACAGAGCCGTGGCATTTCTACTTTGCCAATGGGGTCCTGAACTTCAACCTGGTGTTTGCTCTGGCACTTTTGTCTCTGCCACTCACCGCTCTCATGGAGACACTGTTACACAGGTTCAATGGTGAGGACAGAAACGCTACAGCAGAACCACATTTATACAATGTTATGTACACATAATGACAAGTGGTGCGGTAATGACTATTTAATTAACTGTTACTATAAGAAAACAATCTACTACTGGCTATGTACCAGAGTCCTGCTCAGTCATTGCATCTTAACCAATAAATAATTAAATAGTTAATCTTGACTGTTGGCGAATATTCAAAGTTGATTAACCGTGCTTGTGCACACGTGTTTCCTGCAGTGCAGAACCTGGGCCGCCCATACTGGCTGACACTGTCTCCCATGTATCTGTGGATGTTGGTTTTCTTCACCAGACCTCATAAAGAGGAGCGTTTCCTCTTTCCCATCTACCCTCTCATATGCCTCAGTGCGGCTGTAGCCCTCTCTTCTCTACAGGTGAGTTTTGAGATTTTTGCTTTTTGGTAGTCCTTATTTATTGATTGGTTTATATTTCTTGCAGAAATGTTACCACTTCCTGTTCCAGCGGCACCGACTGGAGCACTACACGGTCTCCTCCAACTGGTTGGCTCTGAGCGCAGTCGTGGTCTTCTCAGCACTGTCACTTTCTCGCTCTGTCGCCCTCTTCAAAGGTGTGTGTGTGTGTGTGTGTGTGTGTGTGTGTGTGTGTGTGTGTGTGTGTGTGTGTGTGTGTGTGTGTGTGTGTGTGTGTGTGTGTGTGTGTGTGTGTGTGTGCGCACAGACACCACTCTGTCAAGCAACAAAAGCAAGCCGTTCAAGATAATATATCTTTTTTTTCCCTTTTGTCTTTAGGGTACCACGCCCCTCTGGACCTGTACCCAGAGTTCCATCGCATCGCCAAGGATCCGACTCTCCACTCGGTCCCTGAAGGCCGGCCTGTTAGTGTGTGTGTGGGAAAAGAGTGGCACCGCTTCCCAAGCAGCTTCCTGCTACCGCACAAGTGAGTCTCCGGGTCTCAGTCCGAAAAAAGTATGGGACGTTGTTGTTTTCCAGGTTGCTGATGGTTTCTCTTCCCCGTCGGCAGCTGGCAACTGCACTTCATTCAGTCTGAGTTTAAAGGGCAGCTGCCACAGCCATATGCGCCTGGTCCTCTGGCCACACAGATCATCCCATCTAATATGAACGACCAGAACCTGGAGGAACCAACCAGATACGTGAGTGACGCGCTTGTGTGTCGACAGGTGGACACAGTATTTACTAGTAGTTGTAGTTTTAATTGGGAAATGTCTTCCATGGGCAGATGGATTTACGGCAGTGCCACTACGTAGTGGACCTGGATACAGAAGAAGAGACGCCACTGGAGCCACGTTATTCAGCCAACAAAGAGGAGTGGAACATTATCGCCTTTAAGCCTTTCCTCCAAGCCTCAAGGTGATTTTTCATACAGAACAATTTCGAGAAAAATAAACATGTGTCCTGAATTTTCAGAAGATTGTAAAAATGTTAATCCTTACATTGAAAAGAGTTTAATGTATATGCAGCTTTCAAAAAGACAAGAGTGGAGAGTATCTTGTTAACATCTTAAACATTAGGCAGAATGTTTGAGCAGATTACTTAAAATGAACTGTCCGAGAGACTGATGCAGTTTCTGAACAAAAACAATTTGTCTCTCAGGTCATCTCCTCTCTTCAGAGCGCTCTACATCCCGTTTATGTCAGACCAGCATACCACCTACAGGCGCTACGTCATACTGAAACCACGGAAGCAAAAGCAGCCTCGTAAGCGGACTCATGGCTGACCGTTGAACCTCGACCTGCCCTCAGGTACAAAACAACAACGACAACGGAATCCTATTTGTTTACGCGCAATGTTTTAGACTTGAATGTGTTTCCAAGTGTACGACTCATCTGAAGAAATCTGACCCTTTTCTAAGGACATTACGCCTGCCTTTGGGCTCATGAAAAAATGAGACTATGTTGTGTGTGTGTGTGAGAGAATGGGTTTTACATGTATTTAGACGAGCCATTACACCCAAATAGTGAGTGTTTTATTTTCATACTTCCTTTTGAAAATGTGTCCTGAATGGAAGTATTTTTCTGAATGATGAGTTTAACAAATCTTGTGTTTGCTTGTCTGCACCTGAACAGTATCTTATCGTGTGCTCTGTGTGAGTGCAGGTATACGGGAGCGCGGGTGTGTTAATAATTAAACGTGGAATGTTGACAAATAAAAACATGCTTGACTAGTAATGCAACCTTCCTTTTTATTTTACTGGAACAGAAAAATCTCTTCACCACAAGCAGATTCAATTTTATTTGAAGATGTAATAAACATACAAACCACTCTCACTTACAGGAGAGACGTCAAGACATTACACATTCTGAATAGTTAATAATAATAATGATGCTATATTGTATCATTCTCTTTGGTGTCATGCCATTGTTGTGTACAGGCTGCAGGCACGCAAAGACACAGAATCAGACACATTTCCACTCGACCGCAGAAAGAACGTCATAATAATTGGAACAGTGGAATTTTAAATAAGTTTCTGAATATCTTACCATTTTTAAGGTCTTGTGAAAACATACTTGAGTACACACAAAATAGTCAACACCGACTCCCTCAAGCGCTACTGTGTGTTTTGTCTGTTTGAGGCGGCCTGTTTATATCAGGTAAACTTTTGAGTGGGATTTGAACAGTATTTTCAGGCACAGCGGATTTAAGGTTCGAGGACATCAATAGTTAACTTGGCAGGCAGGGGCAGCGTGACAAGGACATGCAAACAGCCCGCTACAGAGCGCCACTCATCAGTCCGTTTTGTGATAAGCGCAGTTCGAGCAAAAAAACATAGACCGAAAAGGTTGGCGCCTGGAAAGGTTCAGGTAAATTATTATAGCCTTGAGACAGAGACCGGTAGAGTTAAAAGATGACTCTAATAACTTCACTTTGTATTAGACAATATCACACGAAGACCCTACTGATGTCAATGCAGTAGATATTATTTTATTTTTCCACCTCCACTTTTCACACGTGGGGCCTTCGTTGCAAACCATGTATCTCGGAGCGCCGTGCGAGAAACGGAGGTGAGGAACGGCTACATACGTCCGATAAGATCTTTTCTTTGCAACTCAACGCCTCCAACAGGCAACATTGACTCAAGCGACGTCATTTGATGTGTCTGCTGCCTTTGGTGCTACCGAAGGCTTCGTACAACTTGTTTCCCCAAGGCCGATGCCATTGATATTTAATGTCCAATCCAAGTGTTGATTGACCTCCACAATACAGCAGCGGGGGAATAGACTTTGGTTTGAAGTGGTGTCTGAACTGTTGTCCAGAAACTGTTTGCCCAACAATGTGAAGGCCCTTCTTCAGTCCAGTCACCTCCATTTAATTGGGTTGTAGGTAGAAATCAGACAAAATGTGAGTAATTCAAACCCCAAACTATCAGCATGGCTTCACATGAATAAAGATAATTGGAGATCCTTGAACATGAGCTACATGCGTTGATTTCTTTTTTTATAACTTATGGGGAGTGATTTTCTAATGTTAAGATCATGTTCTAACTGTTCTATATGTAAGAAATAATTGACGTACGTGCAGAGTTCTGTTGTCCCCGTCCACAATCACACGTACACTTCTGTGTACAGAACGAAGGAGCTGGTCAAAGGATCAGTAGTTTTCTCTGTTGATCCAGTCTTGTTCGTTGAAGTATCTCCTTCCGATGTCGACCTGCAGTCCGGTTCTGCAGAAATCCAGATTAGCCTGGTAGGATTTCCGGTTTCCATAAGTTCCGAGGTTGGTCTGGTAAGCGTCTTCTTTACCGTTGGTGATGTACGTCTGGTAGAGGTCGGCTTTCACCGTGTGACTTTCAGGCCTGGCTTTTTGATCGAAGAGGTCACTCCCTCCTCTGACGCCGCCATCGTACAACCCGTGGTCGGCGTACAAACCGCTGCCGTAATGCTCACTCTTTGTCGTACGGCGGCCTAGACTCCTGTCGTAAAACTCCCCGTGCCCGCTGCCGCACAGACTGCCGGCATTCAAGTCCCTCTTTCCAGAGCGGCCCAGGCTGGTGTTATAGAAGTCACGGGTGGCACGGCGCCCGAGGCTGAGGTCGTTGAGGTCAAAGTTGAGGAAGCCGCTCTCTGTGCTGGCGAGGGTCACGAAGCCGCTCTCGGTGTCGCGACCGCCCAGGTTGTCGTAGTCACCGGTCGGAGTGTCGGGGGAAGAGCACAGAAAAGAGGTGTTCTTGGTCTGCGGGCGAGCTGAGAGCAGATCGTCGTCCTTCTGGGAGTGAATGACTTTGTAGACGTCATCTGGAGCCGCGTCGGGGCAAAGGCCCGGTTCTGTCTGGCACACTTCGGATTTCTGTTGTTTCCTGCTTCTGTCTCACACGCAGAAGAAAAGCGCACGAAATTTGTTCGACAACCGTACAAATGTTAGAATAAGCATTGTGATTAACTGGTGAACCATATCCATGTTTTTTGTGATCAACATCGTTTAAGATGCTCACCGTCTGGCTAGCAGTTTGAAGCAGCAGACTCCAATCGCTGTCAGTAACAGCAGTATCAGGGGAATGGTGGGAATGATGATGTAAATCAAGTTAAGCGCTTGAAGAGACAACAGACAAGGAGATCCACATTTAGTGACTGTCAACTTGGTATCTGCATGAAGTGTATACTAGGATTAATCTTGCTCCACCTGTATTCCTGTCCTGGTTGTGGTCAATCGGATTCCACGGCAGGGCGGATGAAGGGGAAACATCTGGAAAGAGAAGCATTGTACATACAGTGTATATTGATCACACTGTTTCTCAAAGTATCCACATTCTACTCTGCGTCGTATTTTGTGGCATTTTACTTGTTTGAGTGGAGTTGGGAGAAGGGGACGGTTCCAGTGGCCTCTCTGGGTAGAAAAATCAATCCCAATCGGCAATATTAATATATTTTCAAATTAAAGGCACATTGAAATACTGTGTCTGCATTACCTGCAGTGTATTTGCAGATGAAGTTGTTCTTGGTTTCACAGTTGTCGTCGTTCCACTGGAACATGTAGAGTCCTCCCAGACCGGGAGGAGCCGACGGTTGGTGATACATTACCACACACACCTCATAGCCGCATGATGGCTCGTCCCAATGCCATTTCCTATAACAAACACACACGTATGTACAACGCACAAGTACCGCATCACTTTTTCTGAAAGAAGTCTTTTCAAAAGTCAAGTTAACTAAAGGTTAAAAAAACCTGATTGCTATTTATTGGACGGTGCTTGTGTTCCTTCGAGGTATTCGGACGCATCGGCCTACACTAGTTTGTTATCTGTGCATATGCTGGCCAACAAGTGATAGGAAACCGCAGCACAGAAATTTAAAAATAAGTTATAGCTCATTTGGAATTCGTAAAGACAGTATCATAATCCTTCATTGATGTTTGTTTTGAAGATTGAAAAAAAACAATTAATAGGATTGTTTTTGAACAGAATCATATTATTTTTTGATCAACTTTTATCTTTTTTTTGCCTCTCAAAAAAAATAAAAAAAATAAATATATATATATATATATATATATTTTAATAGCTTTTTTCTATATATTTTTTTTTTTTCAGACACCAACGATTCTATTCAATATTTCACTTCATGGACCTAAAATGAACGTTGGACCCATCGATCCTCTAGACGTCCCACCCACCTAAATGTGGACTTGCTGCCGTCCAGCCAGTAGTACTGTGAGGAGCAGTCTGAGCTGCTTTCTTCGTCTCCGTGGTTACGGCGGAGGCCGATCCAGAAGTCTCCATCAGTGGGACGGAGCTCTGTGATGAGCTGCTCTATGATCTTCTGCTCGGAGGCCGACTCCACGCTCAGCAGCTGCCCCCCGTCCCGTCTGCAGGCGAGTTCTGCCTCAACGAAGTTCAGCCGCCGCCGCAGCTCAGAGAAATAAGCCAGCTTGTAACATGGCCTTCCTTTTCCCGCCTTGCACACACGCTGACCTGCACCCACACAAAAAAAAACATTCTGCACCCAATGGAGATGGAGTTTGTCGTGGAAGCCTTTAATACTGAAAGGTTTTTATTTTAAAAGAAGTCGGTTGCCTACCTCTGGCTTCGAATATGTCCGCTTCCACATAAAACATCAAGCATAAAGTTGGGAAGGCAAGACATGGAGGAACCCCAGATGGATGCACAAATGAGACAAAAGTGAATTTCTATGAGCTGTTTTGTGTTTTTTGTGTGTTCAGCTTACCTGTGATGAGGCTTGTGGCTGCAGACGGATCAAAACATAAAAGCAGGAGGGGGCAGAAGATTGTCAGCAGGTCCATCTTTGTCGGCTGTTCACCATCACCTTTTGTATTTTAGTTTAGTCTTTTCCATTCCGCTGTCTGCTGTATCTTTGGGTGGAAGAAAATTCCCTAAAAAAGGATGAAATTCAAAGGCAAAGCTAAAAAGGGGCTAAAGAGGCAGGTCTTCTGCTGTATGTGCTGAAAAAGAGAGCATGTGAGACAGGAGGAGGCGCAGGAAGAGGAGGAGAAAAGACTGCGTGTTTTGGAGGGGGGCTGTAATCTGTTAAGAGCAGATTTAATGATTGGGAGAAGAGGCTGCATCGATTGCAAGACATCTAATCACGCAAGTGCTTCTCGTCGTAAACGCTGACAAGCGGCAGATTTTGCTGTCTCCTTTGTTACTTAAGCTTTGGGTATTATCATTACAAAAGTGTTACATGAAAATGATCTGTGGTAACTCGATCAGCGCTCACTTATTGTGTTTGAGTAAAAACAACGGATCATGGAGGTGGGATAATACTGTTATTATATTATTATTATTATTAAGTTTCTCTTCTAAAAGATAAGAGTAATTGAGATTTTGTTTTGACTGTTATTGTTTCAAATGATACCGAATACTGATTGGTGGAGATGTGCACTCAATACATCGTCCCATTTTTCCAGTAGAGCCGTGCCCACTTTAAATCAGTGAAAAGATCAGAGGTAAAAACCAAATACAAGCAATCTGTCTTTAAAAAGATCGAAAACAATTGTGTTATTTGTGTTGCTGATGGTTAACAAACAATATTTCAAAGCCTTTAGTCTAAAATTAAGGATAAACACATTCACAACAGAAAATTAGACATGTCCCTGATGGTTTCCCACTATTATTAAGAGTTATTTTATAATTTACCACTCTCAAGCTAAAGTAAGCAGTTGGTTAGCTTTGCACAAAATGTCACAAGCTCTGTCCTTATTTCACTTTACTTCTGACAGTCACTAACTCTCGTGTCCTTACAGGTCATGTTACCTTAATCTGATCTGCATTCAACTCATCATCCCCAGCTGAGCCATTTCCTCACCTGGGAATCCTCGCCAGCCACCTTGTTTCCACCCACATTCCAAAACCTTTTGGTTGTTTAGTAATCCAGTCGTCAATTACCTGTTTAGTCTGCTTAGAATTTACTTCATTTCGGACTGATGGTGGACGGAGCCAGTTTGTTTCCATCGGATTCATTTCTTTATTTTTGGCTAATTTAGCCAGCTGCCGGTTGTTTATTAAGTGATATCAATCTTTGCACCAACTCCCGTAAGATTGCAGAAACCTTATTAACCAACAGTTTGAGCTTTTTTGTTAAGATTGTTAAATTAAGAACAAGTGAATACAAAAAATGTGAAATCACAAGAAACTTGGCTCGTACAAATGGTTAATTATCCAATCGATTATGTGACAGTACGGATTACTACCAGGGGAGCTTTCTGTCAACATAATGCCTGAATTATAATTTCATATTCAAGCATCAGGATCAGCAGGAGTGCATTCGAGCGAGACACACTTTTCTGATAACAAATGGGGGTAAAGTGTGTGCGTATGCGGTTCTTAATGGTAGTAATTTTAAAAAATGGGCCATGAGGTTGATTTAGGGCTTGCAGAGAGACACATCAGCCATAGTTTAAACAGAAGGATGCTTCATCAGGAACATGCTGTGTGTGCTGGTGTTGGAATCAGGAATCAGGGTGAGTGGGTGGAGGCAGGGATGGGCAAAAATACATGAAAATGTATCTTGATACAAAATACTGGTGCAAGTGTTTTTCCTTAAAACAAAGGAAATACCGTTTGACTGGATTTCTGTTTTCCCCTAATTTGGTGGTATAGCAGAGCATTCAGGTTTGATGTATATTAGTTAATAGAACAACAGCCCATGAACTAAAATAATAAAACTAAGGCTACTTTCCTAAAATGCCCTTTAAATAAAATAAATTGGATATTTATCTACTGTCATAGCCTGTGAACTATTTTATCTGCCAGTAATTGATAAGGCATTTTAACGGTTCACATTGAGAATATACAGCACAACTCAGACGTCTCTTGATAATGTTATCATGAACATAAAAGTTCCCGCTCTCTCTCCCTGTAGCTAGCTACTCCACTGATATGTAACATATAACCATCAACATGTACTGTATGTACAACAGCCTTTTTTAGCCAGACCTGGACATAAATTATACGTTTAGCTAGTTAACATCTGTTACACTCAGATAATATCTTTACCTTGACAGAGAACCTGTTTAACTTAAACAATTGAAGACTGAAGTTTTTTGTATTTTGATTATTTTAGATACAAAATCACTCTACTCTAAAGTACTTTGTTAGAAGTTACGTTTTTTATTTATCGGCCCTATCAAATACAAATGACAGAATACATATTTCAAATACATGTGTGGGGGGGTTGAGGCATGCATGCTGTTGAGTAGAACAGATGGACAGAAATCACTGAAGGTGCAACAAATTGATTCGGTCAACGGATTTTGTTTCAATTGAAGGCGGGTAGTGGATGTTTCCGTTTGCTCTTGATGCTATTGGAAATGAAAGAGAAGACTAAGGGGTAACAGAATCCTCCGGAGGGATTCAATAAGAAATGTTTTAAATGCTCGCCTTGTTTACAGCCTCTGAGACCAAGTGAAGTCTTCATTCAATTAAGCCCCTCCCATTCGTTCCTCCTCTTGCAGTCCGTCTTCGTTCGTCTCTGCCTCCCCCTCTTATCCATCTGACCTCATCCCTCTCTTCCAATTACTTAAAGGGAGACCAGATGAATGTTCCCATGGGAAACCAGTACATTACTGACCCAAAGTGCCCCCTCCACACACACACACACACACACACACACACACACACACACATGCAGACAATCACACAAAGGTGGACTTTCGTCATGTCAGAGAAACCAAATATTCATGTTAATGAATCACTAGCGTTTTTTTTAGACATTTAGCCAATTTGAAAATGTAACGGGAATTGCTTAATGTACATTTTAACCGGAGACAAAGCCTGACAGCATAATTGTCAACAGATCACAGTTACACAGTGAAATAACATTTGATTTGAAGCCATAAACTTGCTCTGACCACAACAAATCCTTTTTAATGCAATGGCCTGGTTTGTTTGTGGGTTGTAAAGACACAGCAATTAATGTCAAATGTGGTTCATTTTCATGTCAAAGCCAGAAAGAGAAGGAAACAACTTAATTACTCACCAGAATAATAACTTACCTTTTCACTAAATTCAATTTGGATGATCTCTGCTGGCACTCTGCCTGGCTGAGTGTCCGCATTGCGTTTGCCTGCACAGAGAGCTGGAAATGAGCCCTGAGTCACCGACCTGCTCCATCAGCAGAGCTGCTCCATAAAAGAGCTTTTGAGGGAACGTCTTAAGTGCTGTAGTAAGTCTTGAATTCTGTATTTTTTTGAAGACCGTTTTGGAAATAACCTATGATTGTTAATACATGAATTATGAAAAAAAAAAACATGTCTGCCTCTATACCTATTGTATAATAAGTTCATTTAATGATATGGAGATAAGGTATCTGCACAGTTTTGTTCAACATTTAGTCCAAATTAAACTCAATCAATCATAGAGCAGTTAAGCGCAATGTTTGGCTTCTTTCGATGGTCCAACGCAGGGGAAACATTTTTACAACCTCAACAGTAGTTATTAAATTTCAGGCAATGTCATGAGCATCGTGTTGTCTTTTGAAGATCTATGAACTATTAATGGATCAGTAATGTCATTTTTGGTTGGTCAAGTGAATTTATTGACTACTTAAAATAAAGTTGAAATGTCAAAATTATACAAAAAGCACAATATTGCTATAAAAGCAGTTCTGCTATTTTTAATGTATGCTTTGATTTTGAAGTAACAAAGTTACATAAACCAATGTGTTTAGACATTCAGTGTACACACATCTTAAATGGCAAAACAAATTACAGTCTGAAAATACATTTTAGTTTGGCAAAAAATGCAAAGGTGGGTATTCCGTCTGGTCCACTTTTCCAAGGATCGATTTGAGAAAAGGGATAACTTTGAAAAGATTTATATGGAAATCTCGTGAGTTCGCTCTTGATTCAGCACTACCACCGGAAGCGCACAAATCCTCGTTTCCCCAGCTGACCAATGCAACCTGTGCAAGAGACTTTTGGTTAATTGACACAGTCGACAAGAACATTAATTTCATTTTATTTCCCTGTTGCCCCCGGGTGGAATTCATGAGTGATTTACTGTTCGATAACCGTGAAAAAAAAAACTAGCTTTGTACCTGTATTGTGCGACGCTCATAGTCCTTGAACACAGCACCTCCAGAGTCACCTGTCCAAACAGACACATGAGGTTAAACCCCAAACCCACCTTGAATTCTTCAAAATAATGTGCCTCACCAAGTGGTCTGCACTACTGTTGCAGGGATGTTATCTAGTGATGTGCTAATGCACAATTAGAAAAGATATTGCTGCCTCTCTTATGTGTGCTGGGGGTAAACATTATCTTAGCTCAACTCAGAGATGTTCATGGGACAGGACACAGCTCTCTTGAAGTAAAGGAATTGCACAGGGGACCTACCGCGGCATGCTACATCATCTCTGAAAGGAGTCTGACCGCCAGTGCATATGAAGTTATCCGTCACAACTTCCCTTACATCGGTAGTTGTTATGCCTTTTGCATCCAATGCATGTCGGATGCACTCACCTCTCTGCATTGGTGAGATGGAAGAACAAAAGGTCAAAGTGCCTTTTAGGTTTGTAGTGAATAATAAAGAAAGCGCACAACACAGCTCAACTTACATTTTCACCCAGCTTGGCATAGACCTGTTTTAAAGCGACCGTATTTTCTTGCCTGTTCAGGAAATTGAGCCTTTCAAGATTAGTCTTGAGCAGAATCTGCTCTGTAATAGGAGAACAGATATACAGTAGATTGTACATTAGGCTTTAGAGATTTTTTATTGAACTGCTAGGCCACTATATTGACATATCTATGTTATTCCTGTCCTTTCATGGTACAATATAAACCATCTCAGATCTTGATATTACAAGGATGACCCTGTATGTTTTTGGTGTTGCACACATCTTGTATGGATCACTAGTTGGAATGTGTTTTTTTTCCTCCCTGGGAGATGTATTTTTAAGCTCAAGCTTTTAGGACATGGAATATTAAATATCCCTTTTAAAATATTATTATTATAAATTATTTTAAAAAGTTGCTGTAATTATGAAAAATCCTTCAACCAAATAATGGATTTAAATTTATAGTATCTGCCAACATTGGTACTTTAACTGACAACCTTCCCAGTCTACTTTTGTTTATTTCTGTCGGAAATCAAATAGTTTAAAATGACTAAGGGATTTGAGTGGTATATTTACCACCCTTTACATGACCATGAGCCATAACAGAACATACAGTGTAGCAACACTAAAAAGGAGACCTTAGGAAAAATTGTGGCTATTTTCTAAATAGCAAAAGTCAAGTTCCCTCACCTTGTTGCTTGCAGGTGGAATCGCCAACCAGTTGTAAAGCATTACTGGTTGCACTAGTGCAAGGTATGCAAATAGGTCTGGACAAGACACAAACAATATAACATGGAGAGTAAAGTGAATAACTTTTAACACAAAATCTTCGTTCATAAAATACAATACAATATTTTCCCAAGGACTAAATGGATCCGTTTACCAGTGCATGTGTGATTTTTATTGTAAAATTTACAACGTAACATCAATTCTGAATGTGAATAATAGCGTTTGTAGGACACAAATTCTCACCTAGCGATGTTTGAGATCTTAACATCCTTCTCCAGTTGGATAAGAGCCACATCATAGTCGTAGAACTCGTCCACCCCTTTCTTCTTTTTTAAAGTAATATTGTAGTTTGGGTGTAATCTGAACAATTTAACAGTTTTCTCTGTAAAAAAAGACATCATCAATCCATTACAGAAACATTCTGTTCAAATATGGTTAGTTGTGACCAAAAACGTGGCAATATTCATGACCAAAGGACCTAGTGTAACACCTATTGTGTTATGATCGGATGACTAAAGAAAGGTGGCATGAGTAAACATTTATCTTTACCGCTCCTCCCTCCATCATCAATCTCGACTTTGACGTGTTCAGCTTCATCTCCAAATCTGAAGCAGTGAGCGGCAGTCAAGACGAACCTAGAGGTCACCAAAGAGCCGATGCAGTTACGTTGCTTCTCTCCATTCTGCAGATGTGTATATAATAGAGTTTGTGATGGAGAACAACTGTAAAAACAAAATGGACAACACAGCATAGCAGTACATAATTTAACAGTTTTTCAATTAAATCCTATATCTGAAGGGTCCACTTTGTTGTCCCTGGGCACAATATGTCTTCATAATTTCATCATTCAAGTACTTTCCTTTGATTGTACTGATTGCTGTGGTGAAATACAAGCGGTGGGTATTCTCATGCCTAAATTATGTACAGAATTGGGATTACATGCACACAGTTTAATTATAAAGTTCAATGAAATACTAAAGCTTTTACCACGATGGTGATGAACGCCCACCATGGATACATTTTCCTAATGCCCTTATCTACTGTTTCATATTCCTTGTGAAGGCCACATAGATCCTTGACTTGTTCTTCATCTGCATAAAAAAACGAAAAACCTGATCAATTTTGCTCATGTTAGTATATTTAGTATCAAGAAAAGCTTCAATGTTAAAATGAAGCATCACAATGTCATTTTTCAAATATTTTGTCAGCAAACAATTTAATCTCATAGGAAATAATAAGTCCACAGCCATGCATGAGGCTGCTGCCTACATATCGCAGTGGCTTCGAGCTGAAATTAAGCACATTTGAAGTTTTACAGGTTTGTGGACATAAGCTAAAATACGGGACAAATAAAAGTTTCGACTTGTGGATGGCGCTTAATATGAAATAAGTTAAGTAGTATAGTTATTACAATTCATCATGAGGTGAACATGAACATGTTTGTCCCACTGACGTTGCTACAAGCGCTAAGTATGTATGTATTTATTTATATACATATATATAATTTCCAAATCCCCTGCTGTATTCTTCCTTAAATTTTAAAAGACTTCTTACCAATTATCTCGTCAAATGTCTCATTTAAATTTGTAATGTCCTTCATTCTGAAGTAATGCCTGCCATCGTTTCCTGCTGTGAGTGACATGAGCTCCGTGTCCAGGATGTCCGTTCCGATGGCAAAAATATAAATGTCTGCAACAAAACAAAATGCGGCAGCCAGCGAGGTCTTATTATGTAGCAATAAAATGTTACTGACAAAATAGCATGCGGCCGAATGAGGAAGAATTAAAAAGCTCACCCAGATATTCATCTCTTGACTCATTCTTCTTTTGACCAGTGGGATCCAGGTAGACCATGTTTTTTATTTTTTGCACGGTACGGTCGGGTGATCCACCCATATTAAAAGCCCCTGCAGTGAAACAAACTATTGTGTTAAAATGATGTTCAGCAGCAGTAATTCATATTTAATCGTTTCTTTCAGCTTTCCTCAATGGTATTTTATGTTACATGAATAGTTTTTTTCTATGTTCCAGACATTGTCAATTAACGGGTAGTGGCAGTTATAATAGTGAATTGATGAACATTAAAGAAATAATATAAAATATTGGGAAATAAATGTATTAAATGTCTTGCTGTGTGGAAGCTGAGGAGATAATGTTAACCTTCTGCAAGAAAGAAAATAAGCATGTGATCCAAAATGTTACACTATTCCTCTAAAACAATTAAATCCCTAATTTGCCATCAGGAAAGGAAATGGGCAGCTTTACTGCTGGAATAATTTAATATTTAATATGAGTAGATATTACCATCTGTGAAAACGATTAGGACATGGCGATGTTCCTCAAAATTCTTTTCTCCAACTTGTTCCTTTATGACGGCCATTCTCTCCTCAAATGTTGTAAAGAGGAGGTTCAGATCTGTTCCTGTATTTTTGTCTTTGAGTCAAAAGACAAACACACACACACAAAGTAAACCATAGATCTAGTAGTGTATTGAGACAGTATTTTCAAAAACCTTTTCATATATTTGTCTTACCGTCTACTTTAAATTTTCTCAACTCTTCTATCATGTTTTTTGGCTTTCCACCTTCATTCAGAAAATCAAGAATTTTGACAACTTCAAACACTTCGGAGGAGAAAAAGGCTATTTCATAGTTTGGAGTCACGCTGAAGGAGGCAATCTGTGGAAACATAAAGTAAATCAGTTATACAAGGTGGGGTTTTAGTGGTGTGTGAACTTCTGACACTATTTTGTGAACACATGCAAACCTGTCAAACTGCTGTGAAATGTCTTCGTCGATAACAATGCAATAATGCTGCTAATGCATCAAACTGCTTATGGTTGTTATTTTGTTGATTCATTGATTCATTTATCAGCAGAAAGAGAACCCTGTAGTGTGCACTGACTGCAAGCCAAGGCACTCATGCCAAGAAGCATCAGTCACGATTATGACGTGTAATTCATAATGCATTTACTTATAATGGGCCGTTGTGCCTGCAGCCAAAAGGTGAGGGATGTTTGTCCATGTTAGGTCCAGTGCACCAAATGTGCTTCAAAAAGTGTGTCAGATAATAGAAAAGGCTACTTTGTCAGCCTTCAACATAATATGATAAGAGTTTACGGCTTTAAATTGTGAAACCCCCAACCAATTAGTACCATGACACTAACGTACAAAAAGCTAATGCAGTATAAGAACGTATAAACTAGAAATGAAACTGCATATTCAAAACTCAAATTATTATCTCAACAACAAATGCATTGCCAGCATACATTATCAGTCAGTACTTTCAACTGAGCCCATATTCTGCAGCAATTGCGCTCTCACTTATAAAAAACACACTTAAACTTAGTTTTAACATATAGTGACATTTCATTTTCAATAAAACTCTCTTGTCTGACATCTGTAATCCAAAGGAAAGCTGCTTGTTTCTTACCTTCGAAATAAGTACTGTGATAGCATCTATTGCTTTATCGACGTCTTCCTGGTCGATGCTCTCAGAAATGTCCACACCAATGTAGATGTTGAGTATGCCAGATTTTGCAATCCTGATTTTTCTCCCCAGCTGTGTTTCATCTTAAAAATCCACAACATTTACTGTTATTGTACCATACATATTATATATATATATATATATATATATATAGAGAGAGAGAGAGAGAGAGAGAGAGAGAGAGAGAGAGAGAGAAACTCAAGTATTATGTCATAGATCACAAAATGTGCAGAAACAGCCGGACAATAGTACACAACATTGCTATTAAATATATTGTTATTAGGTCTGGAAACTTACCTGAAGGCTTTAGAACAGTTAGGCTGTCTCTTATCGCGCTGCCAAATGACTCTGAAACTTCCAAAGAAGTGTCATAGGTGTGTCTGTCTGCAAGAAGCAAAAGCCACATGAAAATAATATAACATTTTTTTTAAACTATTATATTATTATTCTATAAAGTCTATCTTCTGCACTTGATACGTTATGTCCTCTGGAAACATGGGTTGTCTGCCTGGTGAATACTGGTGAACACAAGGACTCGTCAGTTAAGTTTTTGGGTCATCATCTGGAGACACACAGCACTAAGAAAATGTATTCTCTAACTCATCGACTGCCACAATTCAATCCTGGCAGTGAAAATGTAGGTACCGACTTCCACCAGTCATCAGAGACACAACAGGAATTGACAACTCAATGTGTATTAAAGGAGGCACATGAAAGTCTGCACCCTCCCCAGGCCACCAGTGTTACTGGTAGAGTGGAGCTGATTGGCTGCTACTAATAGGGAGAAATGGTTATGCAAAGCGTTTTTTAAAGGTCTTACAGTAGCATGCCGGCTCTATGCCAGTCCACTGGCCACTCTCCTGACACACTCTTTCTTCAGAGCCCACCAACAATAGGTTGTCAATGCAGCTGTATGTCACAGTATTGCCAATTCCAAAAATGTTGCCCGTTCTTGAGGCGCCGGCGGGGATTCCCGGATCAGCACAATTGTTCTCTGCGGCTGTAGCAAAAAAAGACCAAAGACGGGTTGTGAAACTATTGCCAATGATGATCTATCCCAAACCCAAATATGTGGCTGTTCAGGACTTACAGTCCCGGCTACAGATGGGCGTGGAGCCGCTCCACTTCCCATTTGGTAAGCATACACGATTGGATGAGCCTTTCCTTGTGTATCCAGAGTAGCACTCGCACGTGGTCTCGTTGTGCACATAGTACCTCTCCAGAGACGGCAGGATGTTTCCGTTCTGCAGCACATTGGGGTCAGGGCATTCAACAACTGCAAGACAGAAGTATTTAAGCCATCATGTGAACCAGGCAGCCTGAGGAGAAACATCATCATCATCATCGTCACATCACTCACGCCTGCATTTCTGAGTGGGTCTTCTGGGTGGTGGTTTCCAGCTGCCATTGGGTTGGCACAGGCGGCTTAAATGGGGGTACGGATAGTAGCCGTCGGGACACTGGTAGATCAACGTGCTGCCTTTCTTTAGCTGCTTGGTGAATGTGTAATGGCCTCCTTTAATTTGTATTCCCTCCTCTGTGCAATCACAGCGAACTTCCCCTCCTGAAAAATAAAAGAGTCTTTTGGGGCACGCAGTGAACGTACTTTAACATATGTTAATACAAGAAGAACACATTTTAACTGGAAAAATGATTGCATATATTTGTCCCCTGGATTTTTACTTTGACAACAGTTTTCAGTTGCAGTGTGAAATTGTGGTTATTTCTTAAGCTATTGACCAAAAATACATAATTGTTTTGAATACTATATAAACATTTCCCACTGTGAACATTTACATATTGTATTTATTAGTTCAAACTATTTTACAAAATAACCAAAAAAACAACAAAATAAAGACAGTTCTTACAAAGCAAATGAAATGTAAAGAATATATGTTTTAAAGTAAATGTAGCTCACCCATACAGAGGAGACATGAAAGTACAGTAAGACTCCATTGCATTGAAAATCCCATGTTGAACCTGAAACGGAGAAACATTAATGTGAGATTTAGCAGGGCGTACAGCGATGTTCAGAAAAGGGGACTGGAATAAAAAAGACTACCCTAGTACTTATTAACTTCATGATAGATAAAGGAAAATCAATAGTATGAGTCCTCTCCCCCGAAACCCTCACATCGGCACAGGACAAGCTCCCCAAAAAATTAAAACCTTTCCATGGGGAGAAACTGGGAAGAAAGCTTAGGGAGAACGTCAGAGGAGGGATCCCCCTCCCGGGATGGACAGACTACAATGGATGCCATGTGTACAGAATGAACAATGCAAACGATGCATAATACATTCAATTCCTATGACAGAATTTAAAACATTTAATTTCAATCAACTCAACTGAATTAGACATAAAATGGGGAATTTAATTTAACTACACAGTATTAACTGATACTACTACTTAAATTTTCTGTGACCTTGAGTAGGTCAGTTTTTTTAGTCATGGATTTTCCACATTGTGTCATTGTGTACACACACTATCACATGTTGCATAAAAAACACAAGGGTTGTGACACCAAGGGAAAACACAAACATTTGCTTCATCATTTCCCAAAACCTGCGGGCACTGTTTGGAATTGATTGTTGACACACTTTTGGGCTAATTACTCAGTTAGGAGACCTATTTGCACAATGTGATGGCCTTTTTGTGAAAGCACTCTGAAAGCACTCTGAATATGTATATATTGTAAACGGAAAGATTAACAAAAACATGTTAAAAATATATTTATAATTGTTTTGTTTTTCATTTTTGTGTCATTTTGCATCACTTTGTGGTCAGATGGTAAGGAATTAAGAAGCATTCACATTCTCATACAGGTTGATTTTTTTGTCAAGGTGTCAGTTGTGAAGTCAGCTGTATTTAGATTAATTCTAACTTAATGTGTTCAGTATACACATTAATCCTTCCAAGGACATTTACAATTTGACTCTCTGACACCATCCTCAGGAGAAACTGCATCACTGGCAGGGGCTTTTACAAAGTTATCTGTTTTTGTTCCATCCAACTATTGCGTGGCATATAATAATGTAGTCCTCTGAGTTTTACACTTTTACTCAGCATTTTTCCTCAAAATCTCGTTAAGCTTTGTATTATGGCCAGATGGGCTATTTCCTACATAGCAGTGAAACGAAGAGGGAAAAAACTGTAGTATTGAAATTCTAGCAACTCCTATTTCCCCCAGATCCAGACGCAGATTTATTATTTACAACAAGTGAGAGCATGGGAGGTTAAAAAATAACAGAAGATTTTGTATTTTGAGGGCGAAGTTCAATCAAATACGTTGGCAGCTGGAGGTTACTACGCAGCAAACAAACTACAGGCCAGACGTGGACCGAAGTAAAACACACGAAGAAGAAAAGGCGGCGGAAATGACGACTGAGGCGGAAGTTGTCGCCAGCAAAACAACAACGCGCCAAATTTGTGCTAAATTCACTGTTGTCACAGACGCAGACACATGAGAAGAGTTTGTCTGTGCAAATATTTAGAAAACGCTTCCGCGCGAGAAAAGTTTCGCAGGTGAGTTAAATATTGAGCTGCGAGTTGAACACATTTTTTTCTGTTTAACTTGCGCCTCCGGTTTCGTGAGTTAATGGCTTTAAAACAGCGCCGCTGACGTTGTGAAAGATAATATTAGAAATAATCAACGGCTCGACCGTGTGTCTGTGAGTCATGCGGGTTTAACGTGAGATATGTATGAGTAAATATTAGCCCTGATCGTTGGTGTGGTATGCGTGTGTGTGCTTTCTGCTTTTAGCATGGCGGTGCCTTTTGTGCAGGACTGGGACCTTGTTCAGACGCTGGGAGAGGGAGCATATGGAGAGTATGAAACCTCTTTCATCATCGATTCACATGGCCTTCATCACCTTTTCAGTCTTGAGAGCAGCGCGTATCTCAGTGCTTTAACAAATCCCAGAAATGTTCAGCTTGTGAGTGAAGATAACAGACAGACTCTAGACAAGAGTATAGAAACATATTTCTACCGTATTATCACTGGACTTTCTTGTAGAGTTTTAAACTTGCTAAGTCACAAATTCAATTATGAAAAAATTAAAAGCGGAAAAGTGTATGTAAGTGCTCCTCTTCATCTGCACACGTTGATGTGCGACAACTCATTAAATATTAAATAACGTAATCTTGTGGTATAATAATCTCGAATGTGGCAAAACATTAAAATGACTTTCCCATTACTGACACCTTCAAAACCCTCGCGTTTGTTTCCGTCTATAATTCTGTAATGCATCTTTCATTTGTGTTTTCGTGGTTGCAGAGTGAGGCTGCTGGTGAACAGGCAGACAGAAGAGGCGGTTGCTGTGAAGGTGATCGATACGTCTCAGGCTAAAGAGTGTGCTGAAAATGTCAAGAAAGAGGTCTGCGTGCATAAAGTAAGCCATTCGCCTTTCTTAGTTAGTTATATATGCAAATATATATATGGTAGATTGAGCAAGTCACCACGAGTCCATTGAACTGAATTACTTTTTATTCACTTGCTCAACACTCACCCAGTTAAATTAATTAAACTATGTGTTGGATTATATTTATTCTAAACATAAATATGTGTTATTATTTAACATGTACTTGTGTACACGTTGTAGCCATATATCCTTCAGCTCTAACTTATTTCAACTGTTAATTTGCTAGCGTGTGTGTGCACTAATGCACATTTGCTTCTGTTCTGGTAGATGCTCAAACACGCCAACATCGTTCGTTTTTTTGGCCATCGAAAGGAAGGTACTACTATGTATCTGTTCCTGGAGTACTGCACCGGAGGAGAGCTGTTCGACCGAATAGGTGAGACTGACGACTGGAGGTGGCTGTTTTCTGGGCGGGTTGAACCAGTAAAAGTAATAATATTTTCTTAAGGTCCCGCATGACCCGACCATCCAATCATCTCCTTAACGTGACGACTGTCATGCCAACAATAATAAGGATTAATTTTTAAACCCACAAAATATACTTGAAATCCCCATTGAAACAAGAATTTTACATTTACTTCCCAGAAAACCGCAAATTCCTTAGTCTTTAACTCATTTGTATTTTTTGATTATGATTTAAAGTACACCAACTGTGTAAATGACATACAATATTGTTAGTAAGCCTATACTTGGATGTTGCTCAATCTAGTCATTTAAATGTTTTATTTCTTTTATTTTAGAGCCGGATGTGGGGATGGTAGAGAAAGAAGCTCATAGACTTTTCCAGCAGCTAATAGCGGCTGTGGTGAGTGAAGCGAATCTGCTCATTGATGTGACCTTCTGCACCCGTTTCTGTCGTCTCAAATTCTCATTCTCTTTTAAAGGAATACCTCCACAATGCTGGAATCACCCACAGAGACATAAAGCCAGAGAACATTCTCCTGGATGACAAAGGTGAGGAGACGCAGTGTGTACCGAGGTGCCCATTAATGAATAACTTTGGTTTGCATAATATAATAACCATCATCCGCGGTTGTCTTTCACCTTTTTTAGATAACCTGAAGCTGACAGATTTTGGCCTGGCCACCATGTTTCGTTTCAAAGGACGAGAACGTCTCCTTAGTCGTCTCTGTGGGACACTTCCGTACGTGGCTCCGGAGCTTCTCAGCCAAACAGAGTACAAAGCTCAGCCTGCCGATATCTGGGCTTGTGGGATTGTCCTCACTGCCATGCTGGCTGGAGGTATATTACCGACCTCTGTGGGCCAATACACACTCTATTGTGACGGTTATGTTACATTGAATTAAACCATTGCAATCCAACTAGCACAAAGAATATTTACAACCTAAAAAAGTGATCTGAGTTTTCTACAACAATGGTAAAGATACAACCGAAGCTAAAGCAACTCTCTTGCTCTAGATGTGTGGCGATCTTTCGTCAATGTGTTTGTGTTGCCTCTTTGTCAGAGTTGCCGTGGGATCAGCCGACCGAGAGCTGTCAAGAATATTCAGACTGGCTTCAAAAGAAAACTTACCTACCTCCTTGGAAGAAAATACAACCAATGCCTCTTAGTAAATCCCAAATTATACTTCAATTTTTACGTTCAAATGCTACGTTTTTTACATTGTCTGGGGATTACAAAAAGTTTATTTTTATTCATTTATTTTTACAGGTTTGTTGTCCAAATTATTGCTGGCCAGTCCGGATGCACGCATCACAATCTCAGACATACAGAAAGACCGCTGGTTCAGTCAAAGCAAGTTTTTAAAAATGAACACAATACAATCGGTTTAACTTTAGGTGCAATGTTCACCGTACTCACGTTCACCGCGCTCTCTATATCTGTCTGTGTGTCTCTACAGGTGTGAAGCAGCCGCCACCAGGCTCCATAGGAAACAAACTTTTTCGGTCAGATGGGGGACTCTCATCACGCACCAAAAGGTCTGAGCGTTATTGTCTCTTTTTTTTTTTTTTTCACCCAAATGTGTGTTTGCGCGTAATGACCACGTCTCTCCCTCCGCAGTGATGATAGGATGCAGTTTTCCAGCTCTCAACCTGATTTTGCGGCAGGTAGCTGGGAAGCCATGTTGATCATCGGCCAAAGCGAAGGCCAGGTCAGCTTCTCCCAGCCAACCAAGCCGGAACACATGCTGCTGGGTAGTCAGCTACTCGGCACACCGGGAGCCAGTCAGGTCATTTGCATTCTCTTTGCTACATTTAATTAGTAATTCATTTTTTCATTGTTTTTTTTTTCCCTGTTTGTCAACAGAAATTAAATTGAGGTTTTATGAAATTCTGCTTTTTAAAAGGCGGCGTTAATGCAAAGTTCTTTCTTCTGTGTGCAGTCGCAGTGGCAGAGATTAGTGCGGAGAATGACTCGTTTCTTCACCACTGTGAATGCCGACGTCTCCTTATCAGCGCTGAAAGACACCTGTGAGGGCCTGTCGCTCTGCTTCAAACTCACCTGCACCAAACAGGTACAGATCCGTGCAGCTTTACAGTTGAAAACGTTGATGGGTAGAGATAAGACCACCTGCACCACGCAGCCAACACACACCATAATGCAGTCTAATGGACCCCCCTTCTGCCCTTTAGGTGACGGTGAGCACACTTGACAAACGCAATAATAAACTCATCTTCAAAGTCCACTTGCTAGAGATGAACCGGCGAGTGCTGCTTGACTTCAGGCTGTCTAAGGTGAGTTTTAGCTTTTCTAAAGGTGATTATGCAGAAAATTGTCCCATTCCGGGAGTGAAAGCAACAGGATTTTGGGGGAAATGTTCCCAATAAGACAACTGCAGTGCATAAATATACCAGTATATGTTAATTAACAATATATTTCATTATTAACGCTTTCGTTATCTGATATATATGTTTTTTACCTTTTTTACATTTGTGTAAAATTAATCAAGTGACAAACTGCAAGGAAAAATAATTTACACACAAGTATTTTCAAAAATGCACAGGAATTGAGAAAAGAGTTATTATTTATAAAAGGCTTTGTTCTGAGTTCCACGCTATGGGTTCATGTCGAGCTGATGAGTCACCAAAACTGTCCGATTGCTGATTTACATGTTCATCCAAACGACCTCATGATCGCACCTTTTGAGTTTATGAGTAACGAGTTTTAATATGAAAACAAAATGTACCTGTACCAGAGCTGAAAGAGATCAATATGTATTTTCCAAAACAAGTTAACTAAATGAATCACAACTCTGTTTCCAGGGTGACGGTCTCGAGTTCAAGCGTCTCTTTGTGAAAATAAAACAGAAGCTTGGAGACATCATCAGCACTCAGAAGATTTTGCCTCCCATCGTATAAGCGACCTCTGCATAGAGACGCACACTGCTACGGACGTTGGAGGGAGAACCTGCTGATGTTTATCTTTTTCACTGGTATTTGAAATGTGTTCTCCTTCAAGCCTGTGTTTGTGTGTAGACTCTTTTGTTTCCTGGCATTTCTATTCTTGTGAGAATTGGTTGAGCGTTTGATGACATTGTTGATGTTACACTTTCTTAAGTCAGCCATTTGGTTGAGTGTTTAGTGCTATACACACATCTGGATAAAGCCAAGTGTTGTATGTGTGTGTTTAATTTGTTCTAATTGTGTTCACGGCGATACAAAGTCTTGATTAAATTATTGAAAATAAACCCATTGTGTGTTTTGATGGATTATGCTTATAATGACTAAGAACTACCTCAAGAAAAACGTCATTTTAGGATTTGCTTTGAGGTCAGCCAAAACTTGAAATGAAAATATATAAAAGCCTTTTGTATGAAATTGTTAGATAAGGAAACAGCAGGTGCTGTCTCATCAACAAGAAAACTCACATTTAACCGTTATCAAAGTCGCATGCTAAATACTGCCAACAGAACTATTACTTCTGTGTTAACTTACGACCAAAGAAGTTTATACTATATGTCCGACTAGTCTATGATCCTGTAGCATTGACGGTGATGGTGACGCTGACGGGCTCGTTGTCGTCTCCAGGGGGCGGGGCTTGGCTGGTGTTGAGGGGGGCGCTGCGTGGGGAGGCGTTGAGGGGCGATGCTGCCCGGGGTAAAGCCATGGCTGGAGCTGGAAGAGAAGAAGATACGGTCCAGCATCATCAAGACTTAATTCCACTGTTTTCAGAATTTTAAACACCTGGGTTGAAGTGCAGGCCCCTTTTTTTGCCAGAGGTCATCCATTTGTACAAAAGCACCATGTTCTGATTTGTTTAGTTTTAAAATGAACGACCAGCCCTTTAGTTTCACTTTCAGAAGTGTGACTGTAATAATTATTTATATTGACTGGACTGATCTTACCTGGACTAGAGGATCCCATGATCTCCTCCATTCCTCCCTCCAACCTGCCTACCACTTCATCCTCTGGAAAGTTGATGTTTTCCCTCGACTGGCTGTGCTGCCTGGACGCACCAGAAGAAGAAGAATGTCTTATACAAAGAACTACCGACATGTTTGAAGAAACTGCACTGTAATTCCTGGTATTGTACAGTAAGGCAGATACTTACAAACCAAACAGCATGTCATGTAGCCCTGGGAGGAGAAACATAACATTAATGCTACATAATTGTGACAACGGCTTAATCATTCAAGTCATTGTGTGTGGGACTCACGAGGACTGTTGTTGCGGTTTCGGATTATGAACACGAGCAGCAGCGCTGTGAGGAAGGCCGCAACAAGCATCCCGCCTACAGCTGCTCCAATCACAGCAGGGTACACGTTGTAGCGTGGTTCCGCTGCAACACATCGGTCACACATTGCAAAATAGTCCACCTCTGAGAAAACACAGACTTTGTTTCATCGTCACGTTTCAGCTCCCTGTAGTGGTTCTCAACCCATGTCCCCTTACTCCTCGTACTGTGAAATTAACCAACCATCTTCCCTGTAAGTGTTTGGTTTGAAAAATTATTACTTAAAAAAAAAGAAATGACAATTTAAAACATTCTTCCTACAAATAAAAGGGAGCAATAAGACGCACTAGTGCCGAATTTTACAGGCATTTTGCAGCTGCTAGGACAGGTATCTTTAGCGGGTTAATGTCGCTGTTAATGTGACATTATTGAGTCAGGTCATGGATTTTTAACTTTTTTTTTTTTTTACACGCTGTACTTGAGGATTTACTGTTATCCTGTCAGCTAAATGTCACTTCTGGCCGCTGTTTAAAGAGAGCTTATCTAACCGTTGCTAAAGTTGACCCTGTTGAACTGGGCGTAGTTGTAGATTAACTGAAGCCCTGGCGGTACACGGGTGGAGAACCACTCCATTCTACACTGACACCTGACCTACAATCCTGTCTGTGCCCCAAACAAGCACCTCGCTTGGTTAAAGCAATAAAATCCTGCCGTAAACGATATAATGAACACAACGAATTTTGAAGGAGAAGCACACAGTTCAAGTTCAAGCAAAGGTGAGGAGCAGGGCAAGGAAGGAGGTGAACAGGAAGTGAGGGAAAGTGTGAGGTGTGTTTAAATAAATGTGTATCTGTCGTTGTTTGTGTCTGAGTTTTTTCACCTAAGTGGGTAATGAAAAAAAGAAAAGAAACAAAATGTTAGACAATCATTGTAACATTAATCACAACAAGACACGAGCATGTTTGAATAACCGCCTAACTCACCCGTCCTCTATTCCAAAAGTCACAGTATCACATGCTTGCCCTCTTTTTTTAATCATGTGTATGTAAATCATCCCTAACTCGAACACCTGTCTTCACCAGAGTCCTTCCAAACGCTTTCCTCACTCCATTCAGTCACTGTACCTGGAGTCTTTGCTGCGGAAGGATGTCCCACGGTGCGGTGGTTGACAGGTGTAATGCGGAACCGGTACGTCACGGTCGGCGTCAGTTTCCCGACCGTATGAACCCTGACTCCCGGGTCCTGGATGATGTTGGAGTACCAGACCGGCGCACCGATCCGATCCTCCGCGTCCTCCTTTGAATCATTGTTGCTGCCTCTCCTTCCCGGTTTTTCTGACACCCAAATGTGCTGCAAGATGAAACCTGTCCAACCTCCTCCTTCCTCGTCCTCTACCCGCCATTCCAGCTCCACCTCGTTGCGCATTCGGCTGTTGTAAATCACGTTGACCAGGGTGGCATTGGGTGGCACGGGGTGCCCTGATGAAGACACAAAGCACAACCAGTAAAATGATCTGTTACATTAACCGCCTGTCACCACAATTTGATGTTTTTGAATTTCTACGCAGGGCTTTTCCCTTATTTTCTGTTATGCTAAGCTAAGCTAACGTCGACGTCGACCTTGATTGTGGTATTAATTAAAAAATATATATTTATCAATTGTGTTTCCCCAAATATCAAACCACTCCTTTAAAAACATCTGGCTGTAAGAGGCAAAAGAAGTATACAAACTTACTCTTAACCACTAAAGTGACGTTGATTTCTGCTCCTCCCAACGGCCTTGGAAGAGGAGCAACTGATATTCCCCGGTGTCCTGAATTTTATACGGTTTCTGTCACGATTCGGATGTGCCCATGCAGATGTTTGCAGCAGGGCATACTTGGAAGAGTCTCTGACGCCCCACGACCCTGATTATTTGTACCAAGGTATTTCGCTGACAGGAAGGGTAGTTGGCTCTCAGGGTGCAGTTGAGCTGAACATCACTCCCCTGGTATACGGACACAACTCTGCGCTGCGTCAGCAGCACCGGAGCCTCTACAGGTGACAGTGTACACATGAGTTAGTTAACAAACCATATCTGATATTTTCCTGCGTTGTGTCTGATAATGTTCACTGACCCAGTGTCAGCCTGCAGGTCTTGGTCTGGACCAGAAGTGGGTGCTTTGCGTAGCAGGTGTAGGGTTTCCCGCCGCGGGCGGTGCCGTAGCGAAGGATCAGGATGTTGGAGTTTTCTTCCCCCCCTTTGCCCTGGACGCCGGGGCCCTCCCACCACACCAAGGCTTTTGGGGCCCCACCGTCCCAGGTGCAGGATAGCATCAGATACTCTTTATTGTTGGTCACGTAGGCAAAACACAGTGGCTCCGCAGGGGGAATATCTGGGAGAGGGGGAAGAGGTTTAAGTGACGTGTGAACGATGAGCATGGAAAACATCCTGTTTTTCTGTCTGTTTCTTTCTCTCACATGTGCGTGCGCTGCACTCTGTTGATTGTTTGAGTGCCAGGTGGGAGCCCCTGCAGGTATACAGGCTGCTGTTGGAAGTCAGGTCTTCAGACGACAGCAAGATGGCAGTGTTGGCCAATGGATTTGTTTGCAGCCGTGTGTCAGCCCCGTCTTGTCCCGCCTCCGAGGGCAAGGGTCCTGTCCAGTGGAGGGAGGGGGAGGGTAATCCACCGGGCCAGGAGCAGAGAAGTCTCAGAGCGGTGTGATTCAGAGCCGGCTCCACAGAACAGGTGGGGTTGCCGTCGGGCGGGTCTGCGGGGGTAAGGTACAGGGTAGATACACTTATCAAGATACACTTATCACACGGTCCAAAGTCAGAGGTCAGAGGTCACACTCACAGTAGACAGTCAGGCTGATGGATTTTTTGGAGCGGGTGTTGAGGTAGGTGTTCTGCGCCAAGCAGGCGTAGTCGCCAGTGTGCATGCGGAGGATCTTGGTGATGGTTAACTGCGGCCCGGTGTGGATCTGGGAGTTGTTGTGGAACCAGACGTACTGACTGGCCGGGTTGGACTGGGCTTCACACAGTAATGAGACAGTGTCTCCCTCCAGGGCTGAATATCCCCGCTCTGTTATGCTGTAAGGAGAAACGTCTATCCGAGGGACGTCCGGGCCAACTGAGGAGAAAAGGACATGGACACACTCAAGGTCTGACAGTAGCCATCTCCTGCTTTGTTTCTGCGCTGAGACATTTGAGAGTATTCTCAGCTCTTCTTTACAGTTTGTCATATGTCGGAAAGTTCAGCAAATCAAAACCACAAAAAGACTCAAGCTTCTTGTCAGTAAGTCCTTAATTACCACCCCAAATTATCAATTAAATCCCTCTCAAAGGACGGAGTGATTTTCTCACCAAAAATATATAACATATAAATGTTGTAGATTTAATTGCAAACACACAGGTCCAAATGACTTGTAAAAACATGAATGGAAGACAACATGTTTTCATTTCTTGTGGAATTAAAAGCAATTCAACTGAAATGTGCCTTTGCATAAAAATACAGAAATCTGTTGAGCCAATTATTCATGTACAGTTTGCTCTGCAATGCCTTTCTTCTTGAAAGACAAATCCATCCATCCATCCATCGTCAAACTGCTTATCCTGCACACAGGGTCGCGGGGGGGCTGGAGTCCATCCCAGCCAACTTCGGGCAATAGACAGGGTACATCCTGGACTGGTCGCCAGCCAATCGCAGGGCTACACAGAGACATACAACCATTCACACATCTACAGGCAATTTAAAGTCCCCAATTAACCGGATCCCCAGAGCATGTCTTTGGACTGTGGGAGGAAGCCGGAGAACCCGGAGAGAACCCACGCAGACACGGGGAGAACATGCAGACTCCACACAGAAAGGCCTCTGGGCAGAATCGAACCCAGGACCTTCTTGCTGTGAGGCGACAGTGCTAACCACCACACCACCGTGCCGCTGAAAGACAAAGATGTGTATTAAAACCAACGCCTGCTATTTTTCATTTTGGTGATGCAAGTAATACACATGAACTGATTATCTATAGTGCAAAAGAAAACATACGAGCAGAATGACAAGCGCCAGTCCTTTAACCAACGGACACTTGCCATGGCTGTGACATCACAGAGGGGTACCTGCCAGAGAGTCCCATCAACTTCCCCGACGGCCCGAACGGAGAATCGGTCGGCAGCACTTCCACACTCTGCTGTGTGTGTGTGTAAGTTGGGGTTTGTAATAGTGTGTGTATGTGCATGTTCACTTGCAAGCTTTGGGGTGTGTTTAGAAGTCTTAGTGAATATAAGGATGTTAAAATATGAGAGCTAATGCAGTAAATACAGTATGGATGATGAAAACAGAGGAAGCAGGAGAGGTTTAGTTGAAAGTGGAATGATCAGGGATGTTTAAAGTATGAAATTCAGTGTTAATGAAGACAAAAATCAAATTCAGACCCTGGATTTGTGTTTTCTTAGTCTTGTGCTTTAAATGTCCAATCTGAATCATCACCTCGTCGCTCCATTTTCAGCACCAAGACAGAAGAACGCAGGTTAGGGCTGAGCGGAGCTCTCAGAGGAGAAGGAGCACTTATCACACGGCCCGAAGTCAGAGGTCAGAGGTCACACTCACAGTAGACAGTCAGGCTGATGGATTTTTTGGAGCGGGTGTTGAGGTAGGTGTTCTGCGCCAAGCAGGCGTAGTCGCCAGTGTGCATGCGGAGGATCTTGGTGATGGTTAACTGCGGCCCGGTGTAGATCTGGGATTCATTGTAGAACCAGACGTACTGACTGGCCGGGTTGGACTGGGCTTGACACTGTAATGAGACAGTGTCTCTCTCCAGGGCTGAATATCCCCGCTCTGTTATGCTGTAAGGAGAAACGTCTATCCGAGGGACGTCCGGTCCAACTGAGGAGAAAAGGACATTGACACACTCAAGGTCTGACAGTAGCCATCTCCTGCTTTGCTTCTGCGCTGAGACAATTGAGAGTATTCTCAGCTCCTCCTTACAGTCTGCCACAAGTGGGATAGTTCAGCAGATCAAAACCACAAAAAGACTCAGGCTTCTTGTCAGCTCATCCTTAATTACCACCCCAAATGATCAATTAAATCCCTCTGAAATTTTTTTGACAAACAACATATAATTACATCAAATTGGATATTTTGTAGATTTTAATTGCAAACACAAAGGTCAAATGCTTTTTCAACATTAATGGAATTTTCATTTCTTGTTGAGTTAGAAGAAATTCCGTTGAAATTTACTGTCGCAGAAAATAATGAAATTTGTTGAGCAAATACATGTACAGTAATGTACATGTATTTCTTTACTGTACATGTAAAATCTTAGGAAAATGAGTGAGGTCACAATCTCCTACAGCTATGTTCCTCTTTCTGTGTCTCAAATTAAACTCACTGGAGCTCAAGTTCTAACAAGGACGGTTAAAAACAGGTTTAGAAATACAAGCCTAAGTAGAAACAGTGAAACATCCTTTGAATGCCAAGAACAAATGGATGTTTAAATCAGACAAAAGCTGGCCTATGACTAAAACATGAAACATTGTGAGTAATGATTTCTCAAAGTTATCATTCAACGCATGTTACATGGTGACATTTTCTGTGTGTGACACATAGCCTACTGAAGATGCCTTTCCCCGTAATTATTGATTACTCACATCAAATGCCAAAGAAAAGACAGAGAAGAGACATCAAGCACGAAAAGATTGTGCGCTTCAACTGTCATGCTTTAAATTGGCCTTTGAGGGTTTTTTAATTCAACATCACCCAAATTCTACCTTCTGAAAATACTCACAGAAGGTGTTCAGCCACAACCTGTCAGAGCTCTCGCTGTTGACAGCGTTGCTGGCCACACATCGGTACCAGCCGGTGTGATTGCGGTTGATGTCGGTCACGTTGATGACACTGGCGTTGCCCAGTGCAAAGGCAGAAATGTTCCCGCCGCTGGTCTCGTGCTGCCACGCATACTGGATCGGCCCGGTCCCGTTTTCCAGATGGCAGCGCATCCACACCGAAGAACCCTCCACTGGAGATACGTCACTCATCAGGAGGTGCGGCTTGCTGACAGGGACTGCGTTCGAGACAAAGTCACACATGTGGGAATCTTTACCATCTAACCGCCTTAAGGTAATTTTTTCAGAGCATCGGAAGTCTTACCTCGGACAGTGAGGTACACAAAGTAGTAGAAGACCCTGGGCTCCTGCTCTATGTCATAGAAGGCCTGACAGGTGAACAGGCCTTGTGCGGCCACGGGTAGTTGCTCGATGCTCACGGCTGCACTGTTTGAGATGACCGAGAGCTGCCCGAGCGTCTGGGCCTGCTGCTGGAGCCGCTGTCCTTTCCCCAAATTGTACACCACAGCCTTGATGGCATCGGTTCCCGGTTTTGTGAAGCTCCATATGTATATGTCTGGCAAGGTGGTGCCGCACTCCAGGATCACCGCTTTTCCCAGCACCCCGTACACATCGGTGTTCTGGTACACAACCTCCCAGTTGGGATTGACCTGCACCTCTGGGAGAGGGAGAAGATGCATAGAGAAGCAAACGTGTGCGTGTGTGTCAGGGGGAAAAGAGATGGTGGTGTTGAGTAACCTGCCAGTGTTCAGTTTCAGGATTGATTACGCTGTAAGTTACAAGCGATTGCAAAACAAATACATGGATTTCATATTCAAAGTCAAATGACCTTTTCCATTTAATTAAACCATCGTTTTCTTTTTCAGCCTTTCTCTTTATCTGTAACTTCCAAAATGACTTTGAATGCAGTGAACTTCCACACAACACTCCTCAAACGAAAAACAAGGCGTTTTTTTGTATTTTTTATGATTTATCTACTTAAAGCCTAGCTGACGTATCCATTAAGGTCACCTAGATATCAGCTTGTTGATATATATTATATACTACAGTATACAGTACAGTATTAAATATCAACAGTATTAAATATCAACCTCCAATATCAAGTATGCCGTACTACATTTCAAATCTTAAATTTGAACAAGAGAATTTAAACAGATTCTAAAGAAAGTCAATTAATGCTAAATCTTTTTTGCCCAGCAGCTCTCTTCATTTTGTATGTAGTCATAATTCAAGTAATGTTTAATGAAAACACAATTTTTACTGAAACTGTATGAATCCAAAGACAATCCTTACCCACTGCCTTCGAGGGGACGGGGCTGCAAGCTAGAAACAAAAAGGCCAGCCCTAGCAGTTGGGCAACCATGGTATCATGACGATCCTGAGTCCATCAACCTCTTCACAAAAAGAAAAGAAGAAAAGGAAAAGGCGAAGCTTTTCGGACCACAAAATCTGCTTTTTATCAGCTTCTCCCAGACGGCCGAGGTCGCATCGTATCTAAGTTTCTTGGAGAATCCAGTTCCAGGCACTGACTTCATCAGACTGAGAGTAGGAAAGGACGCAGGCTCACTAAACTGATTTGGGCTAAATAATGCATGTATTTTTCTTTTCTCTCTCTTCTCTTCTCTCGTTCTCCTGCAGGGTTAGAATAACACGGTGATACCCAGCTCATCTATTATAGAGGCATGGGTGGACAGGTTAGCCTTCCACACATGCTTGCACATGAACTAATACAGGAACATCCCACTGCAAAGGCCTTCCATGTTTTCATGCACTTATATGCATATTTATTCATAATTGTGTGTGTTCATTTTCTCCTGCTCAAACTGTGGTGTTGTGTGACACCGTGGGAATACAGATATAAACATGTTTATTACACGCATTTCAGTGAATGCAAACAAAAAAGCAGGGATTAAAAAGGTTTGCCCTTGGTTTTTGTAAGGTCAACAAGATCTTATAGGTTACACAAACAAAAATATTTCCATCTTGGTCTCTTTCCATCTTGGGCAAGTTGTAGAACGAAAGTCTCCAGATTTTAATTCAAGAGGTCACTTGGTGCCCAGAGAGCAGAGTAAACGCTGCTGATGGGATTAGGATTAAAATAGATTTAGAAATCTGGCGTCTCTTAGCGATGGTCAATCATCATTCACAATCATTAACAATTACTCTTATTCTTTAAATAATTCTAATGTGAGTGAAAAATGAGGAGGAGAGGAACCAATAAGTGGATCTATGAGTATGCAAAGTGAGACGTGTGTCATTAATGAATGAAGGACAGAGATCAATTTCCTTCCCTTGGCAGAGACTGTAATGCAAATGTTGCAGATAGATGTCACTTTTATCCCGAATTAGTTCACACCAAAACCATAATAGCAATGTCATATTCCTGCATTTTCTTCTGTATTTTAAAATAATGTATGTCCATGTATATCTAGTAAAGAGCAAACAGTTAACAGACGTGCATATGCATGTAGATCTGTCGGTTCATTGCAAAAAAGGCTGTTTGTGAAAGCAAGACATAACCAGCAACTTTCTTGTCAACCATGCGACCGCCTCCTCCCTCTGACAATGTTCCAACACTCCCCCGAGGATTTGAATTTGACACTTGCTGTGCCATGGAAAGATTCCACTAAAGAAAAAAAGGATGTGAAGAAAGGGAAGCTCGGTCATGCTGAGCTGGCAGCTGAAGCTGGAGCTGAACATCAAGGCTGAAAAGTCTGTGAGCGCCCCGTGAGAGCCGCGCACAGGGAACCTGCAGCAAACTGTTTGCTGGCGGCGTTTGGGGATTCATTGTTAGCGATTTCATCAGCACACGAAAGCAGCATCAGACACAAAGGGCAGCTTGGGAAAATAGAAATTATCCCAGTTTTGTAAGACAAAAAGAAAATGCTTTGGCTTGCTAGAAGCAAGAATGGTGTGAAAACGACACTGCTTGAGGACCACTAATTTAACTTTAAAACAAAACCTGCAGTACCTGATTTGTTAGACAACTGGGGGGAAACAGACGGCAGCTGTAAACAACACTGACACATCATCTCCTTATAAAATATAAATTACGGCAGACTTGTAATTGTGTAGCTTATGTATGTTTACCCAGCAGTGACAGAGCAACATTAGCAATTATTTGGAGGATAACTGGAGCAGTTTCTGTTTAACTCTTTATCAGTTTGTTTTCTCAACATATAATATGTAACCATTAGAAGTCAATATGATCAAAATCCATGAAACATCGGTTGAACTGTGTGACGTGACGCAATGAGTAGGTCAGGGAGTAGCAAATGAGATTTAATAGAATTACGGTTTTCTCTAATCCAGACTAATTAGTGCAACCTGGACCTGGTTGCAACCTACTGGAAGTCTACAGAGATGCTATCGCAGCTCTGTGAGCACACTGCTAACAGTATACTGACATGCTCGCAACAACGATGCTAACATTATTTAGCAGGCCTATAATAAACCTTTTCACCCTTTTGGGTAAGTTTTGTAAGCATGCTAACATTCACTAATTGGGACAAGATAAATGTTCACCGCAACCAACGAATAGTTGAGATATTTGTGTCTAGCCCAAAATGGCCACCCATTGAGCCCTAGCTTCTACAAGCTAGCTGCTACAAACACAGTAGCGCATAAAGGTCGCTGATGAAATCACCAACATAATTAAAGCTGCACGCAGCATTGGTCGGGTCCCAAAATCAAGCTGGATTTTCAATCTGCGAGGATGTGGAAGTGCACAACCTATGACTTGCTGTTGCCACTAGGTGGCGATCTTACAAAAGTTCAAAATTGTAATATTAATGTCATCATGATCAGGATGTTATGACTTTGGAGCGGATTAGACAAATGGTGTTTTGTGCCGCCACGCATACACGGTGTGGTAAATATTCAACCCTTTGACATATTTTCCCCACTACAGTGTCAAGATCATAAAAACCAAATATGATTCAATCATAGGAGGAGGAGGAGTTTGCTAAATTACAGCGGTATTTCTCCAAAAGTGTTTTTTGTACATCCTGTAACATTACATATGTACATACCCTATTTCAGGCAGATAGCTTTGGCCCAATATCGAGGGCTAATCCAAAGCGTGTGTTAGTGAGCCAATTTTTCATTTTGCAACTCGACCCCTCCGCGGTCAATGCAATTTTCGCCAAAACATCCATGCATGCCACAATTTACGACCTTGCTAGTATCCCAAGCACCTTGTTTTCATGAATAAAGATGTACAAGACCGTTCTTTTAGTTTGTGAATGTCCAAGAAAACATCTTATTGCTCTATTGAATCTGAGAAAACAAATTAGTAAAGAAAGAGAAGAGTGGTTTTCTTTTCTTGTCTTAAATCCGCGTTGTTACAAGTTTTATTTGAATGCTAAAAATTCAAGTCTCATCCAATCAGTGTCAATGAATACTAAAATTCACAAATACCACAAATAAAAACATACATTTCAACAAAAATGTCTTTAGTAAGTAAAAATGTTTTGGGATTTTTGTCCTTTACCAAAAAAAAACATAAACAATACAAAAAATACATCACAGCAAAAGTATTAAAAGAAGGTAAAACCAAAAAGGTCTGCGGTTCCTCAGGAATATGATGTTGCATGCGTGTACGACACAGAATGAAGAGTCGGTATTCAAAACAAAGCAGGAAAATTATGTTTGTTTTTCTCTTTTTTTTCTTACAAAATATTACAATAGAGGATTATAAGGGCTAAACCACATTAATATCAAGAGGTAATCCTATCCGTTTAGCTTGGAGTATCTTCCAATCAAATGTAATAAATCCGTGCAATATCCTTTTTTACGCCGACCGTCAAATAACATTTAACTTGACCTCCATCCACCCTAAACGTCCAGAACATGGTTCACAATGTTTCCTTTTCAAAGAACACAAAAAATGAGCAGCCAAAACAAAAAATCAAAAATTGGAGTTCATTCCGAGTTCAACAAGAACAGCTGAATATTCCTTTGACGCCCAGAGCCGATCACAACAATGCAGTCGGTGCAGAAACGTCCCCTGATAGTCCAGGGTCCACCACACTTTTGCCAGCCTCCTCTTAAGAAAGAGTTTTCATTTGGTCGTTTCATCTGGAATCGCTGGAGATGTTTGAGTTTTTGTTAAAAAGGTGTCGGCTCACACGTACTGCTCTTTGGGAAAAGTGTACGCCGCCACTCCCGGGGGAGGAGAAGACAGGCCGGACACCGATGGGTATTTGAAGATGGCAGTGGTATGGGTGGGAGGAGACAAGGTGTTTTTTGGCGTGTTGGTGCCGCTGCTGCTGGTGGACGCGGTGGGCGGTTGAGGGGAGTGGTAGGGGTGTTGGGGCAGAAACGAGAGAGGAGGCTTGATGGGGGGGGAGTAGGGATCTGGGTAGTCCTCCTTGTTGCAGGCAAGCCTGTAGCTAACGTAGTCCGCTGTGTTTGGGAGCTCTTCATAAAACCGCCCTGAGTGCTGCAGAGAAATGAGAGACACGTTGCACCCAAGTTAGAAACCAACTCTGCAACTGGCTATTACAGATATTCTGTACGTGTACTTGCATGCATACAGTACATGTACTTAAAGGTACCACATGACCAATGTTTTTATGAGTGTCTGTGCAAGCTGCTCGTCCGAGAATAAGAGCTGCATAGACTCTTGACGCGGTGAGGAATACAAAAGAATGAATGTTCTTCTGGTAGGGTGGGACGAGTTCCAGCTTTATTATTCTTATTACCTTAAAGTCTACAATTTACAACTTTCTTTTAATACTAATATGCTGGTAGGGCACAAATGTTCAAACATCAGGGATGAGTTTAAATTCATAAAGAGTCAATGTGCAATTATTGTTAAACCTTACTGAAACCACTTTAGTATTACCAAAAACCAATATAGTATAACACAACATTAGACATATGCTAGCCAAGGATCTTAAGAATTTCCTTTTGAGAGCTGTTCACAAAGCTGCTAAAACTACGTATTGGTAAAGTACAAAGGTCAGTCTGGTCGCAATGGATGACATCATGCTTTTGTGATGGACTCACTATGTCCACTGGGATTGTTTGACAGGTTAAACGCCTCCGCTGGCCTACAGAAGCGTACATACTCTTCTGCCAAAGAAAAATACCAACCTCAATTTTACCAAATGTCAGAAAAAAAATTCTAAAGTTTACCACACTCACCACCCTCTGATGTGTGGTACTTGTGATAAATTAAGTACAAACACAACAGATAGATTACCTGGATATCATCTACTGGTCTTTTCCTCATCTGCTGGGAAGCTTTTCTGGACGGGGAGGCGTTTCTGATCAAGGATAACACAAGTTAGGTCACTGGGATGGTGGGAGAGGATGCAAAGCCCGTGGAGACGATGGAGATATAAGCGAATGTTTACGTACGAGGAGTTCCCTTTTCTACTTCTTATTTTGAGCACCAGGACGGTGATGGTGATGCCCATGAGAACTCCAGCAGCCAGTAACAACGCGATTACACTGATGACGTCACCAGTGGCAATCTGCGGCAGAGGCTTTTCTAGGGAGAAAACACACGCAGAATTCAGACAAACACATTCCTTGTTTACAGTAGCATTCGGGGGTACAGTAAGCGTCAGATCAAATGACCAGAGACGGTAAACATACCTAGAATGCTGATCTCCAAAGAGCCAGATCGTGTCCCGATGCTGTTGGTTGCATCACACACATAGGTGCCCTGCATGTCATACGTGACCGGCCCTTTAAGGGTCAGGACGTTGTCTCGGATCTCTGCATTGCTTGGTATGGAGCCATTAATTCTGAAGAAACACGCAGAAAAATACAGAAAAGTTCAACATCGACAACATTTTTTTCATGTCAATAACTCTTTAAAATCCTTGCGGTATTAATCCCATTTCCACAAGATAGAATTATTAAAATAGAAGAGACAATAACAAAATTATCTTACAGTGTAAGTGAACTGTTGTGTAACTGATACAGAACAGAGCCTATTCAAAACTGTCAATAACAATAATCCCGTTGTATGTGCAGGAAGGCAATCATAGCACAAGTACAGATGTCTACGAGTTAAGGGCAAGAAATTCAATCAAAGAGGCAAAAAACAAGGCAAGCAGCAGTTGTTGTATTGTTTGTTGTTTCACTTGTGTGGAAAAAAAGTAAATATTCGTGCTTCAGAAATAGCAAACGTTGCTGGGAAGACAGACGCCAATATAATACATCAAGAAAAACCTGATTCGTAATGTTTTCTTGTTGGTTGTAAGTAAACAGACTTTGTACTCACAGTCTCCACTGATACAGAGAGACGGGCGGGTTGGCATCAGCTTGGCAGCTCAGCTGGACGTTCTCTCGGTTCAGATACCAGTTTCCATCAAACCCGTCCACCGAAACATCTGGCTCATCTGGTAACAACATATACAAATAACAGAAAATGAGCTTGTAAAAGTGGTAATATTTTACCTATATGTAAATATGGATTATATATGGACATATTTCGACTTTGAAAATATTTTTCAACCTAATCATTTTTTAATTTTTCCAAATATATTTTCTTTTTATTTCAAAACGTTTTTCAACCAAATTTTTAAAGAAAATGTCCATGACATTTCTTTGGCATTTTCAGGAATACATTTTAAAATCGACTTGTACAGTTTGAGTGCTGACATGTTTGTGCAAAATAATTGGTTACTGCATTCTGACCATATAATGTTGTCTGAAAAAAAGACGTACACTGAATGTCGAGGGTGACACTGTCAGTGAAGACCTCCTCGTTGTAGGTGGTGACGCAGGTGAGCGTCTCCTTGTGTGTTTCTCTGCTGGGCACCAAAATATAGTCACTCTGAACAGTGAAGGTCCCGTCTGAGTTCCGGTACTCTCGGGTGGTCACTTCTCCCGGCACCCTCGTCTCCCATCTGGGCCACAAAGATACAACAATGTCGGCTGCTTTGCAGTTTAAACAACCAGGGTACACATGCTTTATCAAAACTAGAAAGGGGGGTTAAGGGGGAGGGGGGATTCAAGGGAGAGAAAAGACTTTGTCCACTAAAGCATCCACGCACCTGATGGAACCGGCTGGTTTTCCGTTGGCAGAGACGCAAGTGGCCACCGGTGTTTTCAGATTGGATGAACGCGCCACCAGCGTCGGTGTGGACAGACTCATCTGAGTTGTTGGCCGGACTGATGAAATAAAAATGAAAAACAAACATCAATCCAGTATCAGTATGTTTTTTAAGCGTGATAATGGCATAATATTTAGCCACGGATGTACGAGGTGATGACACGTAAAAATATAGTGCATATGAACAGCAGTCAACCTCCCCTCCTCTAAACTCCATTTGCAAACTATGTACAGTATTTTTAAAGTGTATTCTTGACTTTGGAAACAACAGTAAATTCTATACAAAATTCTATTTTAGGTCCTTAAAAAAACATTGCTAGTAATGAAGACTTTGTATGTCCGTCAAGACCTTAAATTAGATTTTTACACCTTTTGGCAAATAAGCATATTTTCTTTATTTGCTCAATGAGGTCCATTGCCCTCAAAAAGAAAACCAAAATATGACTATAACCACGTCTAACTCCCACGGATTATGAAGTTATATCTTAAACAACTCTCCTCCATTATTTGTGAGGAGAACAATCCACGTATAACTTTTATAACATTTAACTTTTCACTTAAATAAGTCTTACCGTAGACGGTGAGGTTTACAGCGTTTTCCCGGTTCCCCGCAGGGAAGGTGGTGTATTCACAGATGTAGGTGGATTCGTCGGCGAGGCGCAGCAGGGAGAAGGTGATGGTGGTGTCTTCCAGGGTCGGAGTTCGCCGCCTCACTGCAGCATTCTTGAAGGTAACGCGGTCCCTGTATGGCGGCGCTACGGACACACCCAGGGAGGGATTGGCGATTGCCACGTTCTGCTTCGTGCCGTTCACCAGCTTCTGCCATGTTACCTTGGGAAAGAAGAATGGATGAAGTGATATGAACCATTAGGCATCTGACACTGGTATACTAGGCATGACAACAGACAGTGGTCTTAGGCAATTAACTACATTGCATATTGCAAATTAATATTGTTCATTATTAATTCGCCATTTTAAAAGGAAAAACACTTTTTATCTGACATAAAAACATATGAATATCAAACTTGCACTTCAGTTCAGAATAGAGACTCCTCTTGATTCTAATGCCTCACTTAAATGAACATTACTTTCTCTGAAAATCACGTCATTGTGTAGTAGCCGTAGTAGCAAATGTAATAGCTATTTGGCTAAAACGGGCTTATCTGGTGAAGAGATCTCACATCTCATGCTTTATACGTGGCCTCTGTGTTTTAGAGGGACCGGCTGATATTTCATTACATTTAGGGAAAACGTGTATGTGCGCTGAGATGGCCTGTATATTATTTCAGTCCGATCTAGAGGGATTTGGGCTGCTGAATACCTGGGAGATTTTGACAGGTGGGAAGCTGTTGATGAACCGACAGCGGAGATCCACCTTTGAGCCGGCGAAGCCCCACTTCCCATCATCCATTTCAACAGTCTGGCCATTTATTCCTTAAGAAGAAACACAACAGGTAAAGAAAAACATGGCTTTCACTTATTTCCCCGGTATATGCTCAGCACGTTATGTTGCCGGCTTCCGCCCTGCGCGGTCTAAGCGGTTCACAGTTAGCACAGCTTGTTGAGCTGCTAGAGTGCGCCGAGCTGTCAAAAGTGATAGATTTCAGCAGCGTGAGCTGAGGTCAATGGTTGTGGATTAGAGTGAGGTATAAATAAGTTGTTTGGTTACTGTTCCCACTGACTGACTGATGCCCTATAACCGATCCACAGCTTGTACGCGGGCTTCTTAGACGTACATGAGTACAGATACGTTCTGATACGCTGAGTAACATCATGTTTAATGTGATAGCTCCAAAGAGAATGCATCTACTGTTAATTGTGATGCCGGATGTAGAGCAATGATGGAACCTTGAACTAAACAGTGCAGGACAATGGTTGCTCTCATTCTCACACATGCATGGTTGAACACACACACACACACACACACACACACACACACACACACTAAATATACATCACTGACTCAATTACCAGCCATCGTTAATTCAATTATCAAAGGTTTTACAGACTTAACCATTGCTTCGACATATAATTATATATATATATATATATATATATATTGCTGAATGTCCCATCCTCAGGGGTAATTTCCACTTTGGAAATATTGTATTTTTAAAGAAGCAGATACATGAGGCACTATAGTTCATTCTTCATCATGTAATTCAATATTCCCGTGCTATTAATGGAGGGATATTGATTGGTCCATCAGTGTTCTCGTCTCTTTCAAAGGCAATGGACTAAAATAAAACCAGTGGTGACAGCATCAAAACTATCTCTCCTAAGGTCCCCTTGTTTAAAAAAGTAATACCAGTAGCAAATAAATTGTACATTTAACATTTTTGTCACATATCAAACTGTTTTTGTGGTCATTCTTTCAGGTTTGTTGAACTTCATTTGTTGGGTCAGTGCTCTTTTTCATCTGACACTGAATTTAGAAATCTTATTTTTATTTTAAGTCACATGGGAGAAAAATATTTTTAAAATATTTTAAAAAACGTATGAAACCAAAGCTCAGAGCAGCAGATTCCCCTCCAGCTGGTCCAGTTCTACGCACCAACATTTTTCACACACATTCATTCTTTCAACTTTAAATAATTCTAGAAACTACTTTGAATTAGATGTTAGCTACTTGCACTAGAGAGACACAAATAATACGTCTACACAACATGTTGGAGGGAGCAACAAGTTCATTTAGATTCTGATTTGTAGACCGTGACTGGTAATGTAGGGGTTTTGGGATTGAATGTAAGATTTGGCATCATGTGATGTCATGTCTCCTGACATTATAAAATGCTTGAACAATGAGCAAAATAAAGGTCAACCACAGATTAGGCCTGGGTAAGAACAGGAAGCTAATAAGCTCTGAAATACAGTGAAGCATCAAGGTCTCAAATCTCTCTAAACACTGTGGGTGGATTCATATAATTCAACATCCAGATAGGAGGAGGTGTCAGCTACTGGAAATCAGCAATTTTCTCTACAAACTACATATACATTATAAAAAGTTAAAAGTAGTTTACTTGAAGCCGTCTTAAAGCAAAATTCTCACAAAAGTAAACAAAACGCTATAAATAATACTGTCTATTCTGCAGTTAAAACTTCACTGCTTTATGACTTTGCTGGTTTCTTAAATTGCAATGAGCTACAAAAGTATTCAAGAAAAGTACTTCAAATTCAACTGATGGAAGACTTTATTTTGAAATCTCTTTTGAGGAACGAAAAGAACAGATTTAAGGAGAAAGACAACACAAAAACACAAAAACAAAACCTCAATTAGATTAGAATTAGAAAAATATAGTAATTCCCTATTTTAATAGATTAGTTTAGATTTCGCCGCGGATAATATGAATCTGTAAAAAAAATCGTGTTTGGTATGCAACATTTGTGCAAGTCGTGTGGATGCACGCGAGAGCTTAGATATACAGACCTAAAAGGACCCATCTGTACTGCTGACATCATTTATCTAAAAGATGGCCATCACACAATGTGCAGCACAATCTGAGCCTCATTTTGTTTTATTAATACCTTTAGTAGTTTCATATTAAAGCTGGAGTTCACTTTTACAAATGATTGTGTGTTCGTGTGGAACGCACGCAGCGTGAGTAGATTACAGCATTTAGGATATTAAAAAGTGCATCTGCATGACAGTCCATTTGCTGCCATACATATGGACAGTTCCATGTTATCAAATGTTTTAGTGGGAATACTTTGAAGATTCGTTCTTAACAAATATATTGGTGCATGTTTATCAACCTCCCTGCCTTTGGATAAGGACCTTATTTGACCTTTTCATCAGTGTTGTCGAGATTTTAACATTAATGAGAAGTAATCTTTCAAATTGGTGTTACAGGAAATGAATGAAAGGTATTATAACATCTCTGGATTCACATCTTGGTGAACAATTGTAAAAATATGTATTGCGGATGTATTTCAAGTTACAGCCAGTGTCTGTTTTAGCCTGAGATTGTCTTGAGATTAGTATGAGATTGTTTGTGGTGCATTACTGGCCCATCCCCCACTTTCTATGCACTGGTAATGTCAAGAAACATAAAAGCATTCTCGTGAAAAACACAGATAAACCGCAAGTCAATCTCTTATTCTCTTATTCAGTCCTGCTTTATATCCTGCTTTATTAAGTCCTTTCACTTGTGTCTTTTTCTTTGTCTTAACCATATAAATGACACACACACACGTATCCCACTGGGAATCCCCCCTACAGAGCTCAGTTGCTGAGCTGATTAAGGGGCTTTAGGTGAGAACCGGACCCACAGAGGAGCCAAGCTCACTATCACAAAGACACACAACCTTTCACACCGCGTTTGGTCCCACGTCTCTCCCACCTTCCTCTTTTCCGCTGCGTATGCGGACATTCTTCTATTGTTTAGGCGATGGGAAATGACCTCAGCCCATGACAATAAACTGTAAACAGCAGCACACTGGCAAGAGACGACCATGGGAACGTAGCAAAACAATAGGAATATTGTTTCAAGCTTGAATGGGCACCATTCGCACCATAGTTACATTCGAAAAGAGCAAGAGCAACACGCCGTGTTAGTGGGTCCTTTTGTTCATATCCTGAGTACATATCCTCCATCTTCCTACCTCATTGTCACTGTATGCTGAACCACTTTAACCTCTTCTTGTGTGTGTGTGAGAGAGTTAAACAGAGAGACGGATACACCTACAGAAATTAAAGTATGATCATTGTTGTATTTACCCCTTTTTTAAGCAGGAAAGCCTCTTTGAGATTAGGAAAATATGTTTTCAAGAGTTTTCCAGCCACTGATAGATTCAAATAAGATACATCCTAGAAAACAGCCTGAAAGAATGAAGCTGCCATCATTATCTGCAGTGGTGCTAAAAATAAAGATTATGGTATTAAACTACAATTTTTGAATGCTGAACAAAATACAATTTTCTTCCAGCAATCAGATACTGAAAAAAACTTGCGACAGACGAGAAAATAAAAAACAGAGCGAGAGAAACAGAAGTGCACAGATTAACTGTTTAATCTTCAGGATTTCAAATCTGTGATTGATCGGGGATTACACACTGTGTTTATGTCTTTGGTGTTGGGACTCGGTTCCATGTGGGGGAAACTGAAGCGCGGTCAAGACAGGCTGACACACGCACAAAACCTGCGCTAAAACCGTGCCGTTGCAAAACTACGTGCAGCCTGAAACTGACAGATTGATACGAGTGTGTGCCAGTTCCTGTTATTATTATTATTATTCACTCGGGATGCGGTTGTGCGCTCCCCAATTTTTTAAGATATTCCCTCATTTTTCCACTACATTGATTATAATCTCTTTGTGATTGGGATCTGTCTGCACATGCACGGATACGTGTGCGTGTTAGTGTGGGTGTGTAATCTCAGTGGCACTGCGGGAAACGTGGAGTGTGCACTTGGCCAGTGTTCAGCGTGCAGCTCACAGGATTATAGTGACTGTTGCCGCGGCGTCTGTTTTGGAAAATAAGTGGAGAATAAAATGCCACAAAGAGATGGAGATAAATAAACAAAATGTCTGTGTGAGAACGTTCAGCCGCCTGACTGACACTTCAGGGGAAGAGAGACTTCAAAAGGGCCAAATCTGGAGAGGACGGGTGCACAAAAAAAAGAGACAAAACAAAAGAGCACGAGGCCAGAAGGCCTATGTGCTTGCGCTGGATTATATTTTGTGGAGTCTGTGTGTTCCAGCTGCAGACAGTGGATTATGCAAAAAATGTGCCTGTCTGTCAGTCTCGGTCATCCTTTTCTGTGTCCTTTCTGCAGCCGAAAGACTGTGATTTATGTGCAGGAACATGGCAGTGATTTGTCTGTGAAGGGCTCGAGCCAACCTGCTGGGGACTCATGAGTCTGTCACCCACTGACAGCCTGACGAGCCCCCAGCAGCCTGCACCATCCAGAGGAAGACGGACTCACTGCAGCAAACAGTCGGCAGGCTGACACCTGGCAGCGATCAGGCTGTTGTAGCCGTCCTGCTCCCATGTGTAGGTCATATGCACTAGTTGTTGCGGCAATCAAGCCATCCACTCACTCTGGGGGAGGAACCCACTCTAAGTCAGTCAGTCCCCCACCACCAAATTACTTCTCACTTTCGCACAAGGGGGGGGGGGGGGGGGTTACCACTGACTGAGTGAAAAAAGCAATCACAGCAGATGTCACAGCAGCTAAAGGCATCCGCATGCTGCCACAATCGCTTTTGTTATCAAGTAATATGTATGACATCCCCCCCCCCCCTTTATTACACTGCCACAAGTCAGATGCTAGCTGCATGTTTGACCCCAGCTTAGTGTGATTACACAGCTGCACCTGTTAGAATGCGGAAAGAGTTACAGTCATTCAAACACACACACACACACACACACACACACAGCACTGTAAATGAGGGGATGCCATCTGCGGGGGCGACCTCATCTTAGTGTGATTACATCACTGCACCTGCTGAAGGCGAGTTTAGTTGGACAACTGTGTAACACACAGTGACAAAAATGCAACAGCCTGCTTAGACTTTTTGCAATGGTCGGGTGTGAAAGTCGTATTGTGTCAGGGATGAGCTTATTTGGGCTTGAGATGTTATGAAATTGGATGCTAGTTAAAGAAAAACAGGTTGTAAGATGCTGATGTGAATGAACCGTTATAGAATATTGAAAATGTATTTCAACTATGAAAAAAATCACAAAAAAATAATTGATATGACCTTATATGGGGTTTGTAATTTGAAACTAATAGCTTTGGTTATCATTTATAAATCATTGATTCTTAATTTACAGACTGGTTGTAATAATAAGAACTCTTGATTTATTAACATAATTGCTTTGCAACCCAAACGTTGTTGCAAGTTCTCTCTAAAACAACAGTACATTATTTGTTAATGATTGATTCATTTATCAATTAAAATATGCTTATCATTTATCAAGAGTGACTAATCATAGAGTTGCATTCTTTTTATTTTAGCCTACTGTACCCAAATAAAGTCTTTAAATTGATTATTTTGTAAGGAACACTAATGTAAAAACCAATCTATACATAATAAAGAAGTGCATCCACCAAAATAAAAGCCTAAATCTAAATAAAACATTTTTTAAATGTCATGCTCAAGCAGGTTGAAGAGGGTTTAACAGCATACAATTTTAACTACAATGACATCAAACTTTAACCACGGATTGATCGATCTCTACGCTAAACGTAACGTTACCTCCTGCGTTGTGATTGGTTACGATTTACAAATGAAATCTTTTCACCTGGATTCACACCTCACATCAAAATTATTCAAATCAGTGCAACCTACCTGGAATAACACAAGCAGTTATCAGGAATATCCAAAATCCGGTGGCGTCCATTCCCAGAGCACCTTTGCCAGCTTCTCGCTGTGATGCAATTCCCAGTGTGCACTTGTTTTACGCCTCCCGCCTCCCGGACTGAGCGCACGGCAGCAGGTTCGGCGCGTCGGGTCTTTTTCTGTCAGTGTCCAGTCCAGGTCTCCATCTATGCGACCGGGACACGCCCCTCTAATCCGCAGACAAATGATTTATCGAACTTAATTTAACTCACCCGGGGTGACTTTTTTTCTTTCTCCCACTCTCGTGCCGAGTTCACTAATGAAGCGGCGGTCTGTCGGGCTGAAGCTCGGGCGGGGATAAAGCAGTTTAACACGTGGGCAGATTATTTCCGAGATAGCCCCCCCCCTTGAGCTGAGAAACTCGCCGGCTGTCTCTAGTGCCCATTAGGTGTGTGGGGGGGTGTAATGAGCAGACTCAATAGGTACAACCAGACAATTAGGTCCCAGTGACTGTAAACACCCCCCCCACACACACACCCACACACTCACACACAAACACACACACTCACACACACCATTCCCTCAACTGTACTATGACTCCTTAATGCCTTGAATCCTAAAATGTGTCAAACTTTTCAAACATTGGAATGGAACATAAAACTTGAAACTCATGCAGTCGGATCAGAGTTGACATGTTCTGCCCTTTTGTGTGTAGGTTTCACCAGGTTCCTCATTCCGGCCACAAACTGATTGAAGAAATGTGAGCAATCCATCTGTGCAGATGTCGAACAGCTGGCCCTCGGAGCTGATAAAGCTCAAAAATGTGGAGATAACAGTGGTCTTCTGGAGAATTGCGTCGCCTATTGTTTTCATTTTGTATTTTACAATTATAATATGTACTATTGAGGGAATGAAATGAATTCCTGAGAATATCTTACCCATGTTCTATATTCAGGCAATTTATAACTTTAAATGACCTGGACTTACATTGAAAGATTTGGGTAATTTTCCTCCACATATAGCAAGCGCTGACCTTCTCATGAACCTCACTGGCACTTCGAGATGCATGCTGTGAATCTGCAGCCTACCTTCTTTGTGGAATTCCTATTATTGGCCTCAGGGTGGAAACACTGAGCCATTTTCCATGAGTCAGTTGGTATGACAGAGCTAGAAAATTTCCACGGGGACAGATGCACTCTGTGTTGCTCGTTCCTACTGTGCATACAGAATGTCAGTTATGATATAAATGTGCTCCATAAATTAACAGTAAACAGTTGTGTGCATGCTAGACAGGGTGCATCACAATAACAACTCCATTCCACTCTTTTATAATGTACAATAATGGCTTCCAAAGCAGAACGGTGAGGGTAACTAAAGGGAAAATCAGGACATGAGTTGAGCTCCAGAAATGACACAACGGTGAGGAGGGGAAAGGGAACAAGGTCAGAACGCGCAGTCTGTGAAAATGATGATGCCGACAGACTTTTGCAGCCCTCCCGCTGTCCGTCAGGCACTGCAGAGGGGCAAGACGAATCAGAGCGCTCTCTGGTCCACCCTCATCCCTCCCACTCGCTCCCTCCACCACTCTGTTTCGCTCCCACCTCGTCTCAGGAGTGTGATGCTCTGCAGTGCTGCTCACTGAAGCCACCAGCTGTTTATCCCCCTGGTCGGACAAAAGCAGCTACATCATCCAGCCCTGACAGCAGGTAAGACTCCTCGCAGATGTTCAGCTGCAGCTTGAGGAATAAATATGAGCTCTTGGGTCATGTTAAGGAGATAAGGAATATGCTAGAACATTTAGGCACATGTCGCATGATCACAGAAATGATCCATGTGCAGTGATGTGGATACATTAGTCTATAAGTTAACATTGAAAACTCATTGTGTAATATTTATATGCAGATCTTGCAGATGCAGATAATCTCAAAAATGTGTCAAGGGCGTTGGAAAAATGTGAGGAATGACAAGACAGAGCAAAGATCTGTGCCCTCTTTCACTTTGAATCATGCCAAGTCATTGGATTGGGCTACAGGTGGGCTCAGATCACGTTCTGGAGGCCACCAGAGGACAATCAAAGTCATTTAGATCAGATCAGCTTAACATTGTTTGGCCAAAACAAATGTTAACTGGACCAAAATATATTTATATGTATTTTTTCTGTCAGTTTTGTTTTGACCCTTTTTCGTATTGTTGTCTACGCACATCAAATTACAGTAGATAACATCATGACCTCACAAGACTAACCTAATAACCGCCTGCAGAGCACAAGCTGCTGGCTGAGAATAACTGTTTTGAATGTTTTCCTTTTCAATTTGGAATATTTACATTGTATAAATAATCCTATAAATTATTTTCTTTACTCTTTTTTTTTCCAAAGTTAGATGACTGCCTTTCCATCATGATCAATTCTCTGTTTGTGTTTGGAGTGCTGGCAGGTGAGAATTACTTCTTAAATTGTTCTTGTAAACTTTAACATTTACGTTCATTATTATTACACATTATTAATTTAAATTACATATATATATCTCAACCCTCCCATCCCCTCTACGTTCTCCATATGCTCTCCCATGTTTTACTCCAGCGTTGCTGATCCCAGCCGAATGCGATCTGATATCCGTGTGTGTTGAAGACGACTATGACCTGAGAGTAGACTGTCTGACTAAGCCGACGCCCAACCAGATCAACAGCTACGAGTTCTCCTGGTCCTCTGGAACCACAGAGTCCCTGATTAACACCAACGTCTCCGGTTCAGCAGCAGAGGGCCAGTTCAAAGACAAAAGCTACGTGGAGGAGCTGGAGCCTCACGGCTACAGAATGACCCTGAACGGCTTCACAGACAAACTCCCACACAACACCACCTACATGTGCAAAATATCCGGGAAGGCTGCAGCAGTCAATGTGATGAAAGGTGGGTGGTCTGTGTCTGTGCCTCAAAGGCAGTGAGCATGAGAATGAGTGAGTGGGAGACTTGTTACCGAGCATTTTGACAACTATTTGCGCCACGCTTTTCTCCCTCTGCAGATCAACTTGTCCCGTGTTCAGCGGTGAGCGTGTTTCTGCAGAGCTCCTGCTCCTGGATCGTTTGTCTCCTGCTCTTCGTCTATCAAACACACAGCTAAAAATGAAGGCGTGCAAACTCGTGCTGGCTTACCCATGTCTAACCACGCATCTGTCGAGATCAAACATCAATAAAAAACACCCACATTTTCAGCAGCTCGCCATTATGTCTGTCTCTCTTTTGTTTTCCTCCCAAGAGCATTGAATTAGCTTTAGAATGTTTTCATAACTCTCTGACCAGAAAGAGTGAAGATGACTCAAAGATGTTAAGAGATGTGCTTTCTGCTGCTGAGGAACACATCTGTGTATAAATAAACAGAGTAACTTGTAATGGCAATACTACTTTTTAAGCTGCAGGATTTGTTTTCAATAAAGGGATGCTATTTAAAAAGAATTTATGTTTTGTTGTCAATTCAGTGTTCTTATTCTTTTTAGAAATATGTAGTACGCACATATACTGTATATCTCTATCAATAGGTTTCGTGGGTTCTTATTGTTCTTAACGGTGCAATGCATTTTATCCAGATTTACAGTTTACAACTGTATCTTAACAGCAAATTTAGAATGAGGTTTTTATTCTAAATATACAAATCAAAAAACTAATACTGCTACAACTACTACTTCTGGTTATATTTCTACTGCAGCTGCCTACTGCTATTTCTACTAATACTAGTGCTGCAACTCTTGCTACTATTACTATCATTACTAGGTCTGCTCCTACTACCACTACTGCCACTAATACGACTACTTATATTAATGGTTCAGCTCTTGTTAATATTTCTCCAACTACTGGTAAACTAAAAATACTATTACTACTCTTGCTGTAAATAATAGATTACTACTGCTGCTACTAATACTATTTGAACTGAAAGTGAAGCTTAAAATACTGTACTAAGTACTATCACTGCTGATTCTGCTTCTGCTACCCCGCTAATACTATTACTTTGACAGTAAAGCTGTTTTTCTTCCAGCTGTATTCCAGGGAATTCGTTTCAGCTCTTAGCTAGTTTAGATAATACAGTTCAGCTCTCAAGACTGAAAATTCTACAATCCAACTAGCTACCAAGTACATATGATTCATCATATGACATCTTTTTTTTGGCCCTAACGACTCTTATTATCCCTTCATTGCGGTGAAGTTGTCACCACCCTATTAAGTGCGTTCTTAGTTTAAGTGAGCTTATTCGCTTTTAGCAAGGCTTCTGATTCACAATTGTCTTTCTTGACCCTCGCTGCTACCCATACTTTCTGACAACATAACGATGGCCGCTTCAACTAGCAGCAAAGTACCAGAACTCTCTAAAGCCGAGTACCTTAAACGGTATTTATCCGCCGACAAAGATGCCAAAAAAGCCAAAGGGAATCTTAAAAAGAAACGGCGTAAAATTCACGAGAAGGGGTGAGTCAACGGCAACGTTTTAATCAAACTTTTTGGGCAGGTTGTGTGTGTGTTAGCCGTTGAGCTAACTGCGGTAGCTGCTGCTGCTTCGCGCTGCTTTTATATGAAACGTGCGTGTACTTCGCTCACTTTTACTTCTCTTGTTCAAGACTTAAAATAGTCGACGATGACATAGACTGGAAACAGATGGTCGTAGAGGACGATCAGAGCGAAGAGGACGAAGAGGAAGCGCCAGTGGTGAGAATTAAAACCTCATCTGCCGTTAGTTTGCTAGCAAGTGCTCATTAACGCTAAATCACATTAGCCTTCGTTCTGTAATCGTCTTATCCCAGGTGTGTGTGTGTGTGTGTGTGTGTGTGTGTGTGTGTGTGTGTGTGTGTGTGACTTCTATAATCGTAGCCATGCAAAGGTATTAAAGAGATTGATACCATGCATGGCAAAATGTATCATCGTTATAAATAATTTGCCAAACCAACCTTGAAATTGCATCTCTTGTTTATCTGCGGAGATTGCTGAGGTGATTGATGATCGACCAGCTGAAGTGAAACAGCTGGAAGCCTTCAGGAACAGCAATAGATGGAAAGTAATTGGAGGTAATTGCTTTTTGTAAATGTAGTTATTTGTTGTTCTTTTTCTGTCTAAACAACGTTGTTAACTTTGAGTCTCCCCTTCCAATAGCTGACGAAAATGAAGACGAAGAAGATGTGGAAGGCAGCGATCATCAACAATCGGAGCCTGTGGCATCAAGCAGGACTCGTCATGACTCTCCAGACAAATCCCCCTCTAAAAGAGGTCGCCATGACTCTCCAGACTTTTCACCTCCTCGGCAACGTAAAGATGAGAAAGGTAATGAGAACACAACAACTAAAGGACCTTCCAAAGCTGGTATGCAGTTTGTCACCATTTATTTATAGAAATATATTTGAAAGATATTAAGTTGGGAAAGTGATGTGCATTACGTTTGAGTGATTGCTCGCTTAAACATCCATTTCATTTTTCTGGAATTTCACGGTTTTACAAAAGTCATTATAAGAAGACTCTTAGTAATTAATGATTCGTAAAGTCTTAATCCTTTAAATAATATTGTATATCACAATTCATGGTGTAAAAAAAGTGTTGATTGTATAAACACAACAAAAAAATTCAATATTTCTTTTTCAGATTCATCCCCTGCTAGAAGAAACCCCGTTAACAATCGTTCACCTAATTCTCATCGTTCGCCACGGGGAAAGGGGGCTCAGAACAGGCATGATTCAGATTTGGACCAGTCACCTCCGCGGAAAAGGGGATTAAAGGGAGGAGCTTCAGACTCTGACCAATCTCCTCCAAGAAGGCACTCAAAAACAAAACAAGGCTCTGATTCCGACCAGTCGCCTCCCAGGAGACGGCCACGAAGTGAAAATAACCCAGATGAAGATCTGTCACCGCCTCGTAGGTCTGGCCAGTCCCAGGTGGGTAAAGAGGGATATGTCCTTATTTGCCTGAAATTGCTGTGTTTATGCAAAGTCCAGTTGATCAGACCCACGGCCTTCTTCCTGTTTTCTTCTCAGGGTCCGAGGATGCTTTCTGGTGGGAAGGCAGGTCTGGTTTCTGTAGACGTTTTAAGGAAGGAGCAGGAGGAGAACCGTCGCAACGAAAGAAAAAACCAACCACTAGAAGGTTGGCTTTCATTTTTTTGATGATTTTCCTTCACAGCTATTGACTACAAAGCACACTCACCATCTCATATTCTCAACATGCTCTTGCTGCCTCCCAATTGTATTTGGGCATAGTTTTTAGCTGTTCTTTTAAGTTGGATTGATGCAGTCCTTATTCAGATTACATTTTATACCTATTTTTCTGCTATTATTAGATGAATCCCGCAATGCCCAGACGGTGTTCCGAGACAAGACTGGCAAAAGGAGAGATTTGGAAACTGAGAGAGAAGAAAAGAAGAGGAAAGCTGGTGAAAAAGCAGCAAAGGACGAGAAATACGCTCAGTGGGGTAGAGGGTAAGTGTGCGTACACTCACACATCAGAGTATACTACAGAGTGCGCTTATTTTGTGTCTCGGTTTGTTTCCACCACTGAAGTCGATGTGTGTTTATAGGTTGGCCCAGGGCCAGATGCACCAGCAGAAACTTGAGGATGCAGTAGTTGAAGCCCAGAAGCCTCTGGCACGTCACCGCGATGACGAGGATCTCGACCGCATGTTGCGAGAGCAACAAAGAGAAGGAGATCCAATGGCTGCGATGCTCCGACGGAAAAAGGAGCGAAATACCTCACATGGTGAAATTTGTCTACCTTCTTCCTGAGTTGGCCGTTCGAAAATGGTTTCCACATATAATCAAACCGTAAATACTCTTATTTTATTTTTGCAGACAAACCTCGATACAAAGGCCCACTCCCACCTCCCAACCGCTTCAATCTTCTACCAGGCTATCGCTGGGATGGAGTTGACAGGTGCTGTCCTTGTGGGTTTTTGTTGCGTGAGAATTGTTGAAAGAGGGACTAAAGTGTTGTAGTTAATACTGCTATCTAAAAAGAAATGCAGTTATAAACATTTACTGAATATGCATAATATAATTATCACCATTTTACCCCTATATTAAATTGAGTCTCTCTCACAGGTCAAATGGTTTTGAAAAGAAACGCTACTCTCGAATGGCCGATAAAAAGGCTGTCCAGGAAGAAGCCTACAAATGGAGCGTGGAGGACATGTAATGGCAATACCAAACAGATGGAGCGGAGCTGAAGAGTTGGACGGTTCATCGGTAGAGTTAGACAGAATATCTAATCGATGCTATTAAGGCCAATGTGGTTTACACGCATCTACTTCACAACACTGATACTTTGAAATAGACGGAACGATTTACTTTGACTCTTTTTCAAAGCTGTTTGATACTGTACAGTGGCCTTGAGACAATAACAAAGAAAAAAATAATTGTACATAGCAGTGAAGGGACGTCATCTTAATTATTATTTTGTAATAATTGAGTCAATGTGGTGTGAAATCAGATGTTTTTCACTGTTTATTAAATGATGTTTTTGTAAAGAAATGCCTTTGTCACATGTCATATGTGAACACTCACAAGTGTTCACATAAACCAATCAATTCACACGAATATGGCTGACGTTCAATTATTTTTTTATTGTTGAACTGTATGTTATCCACTACTCAAATATTAGACACTGAGGATATTTAAAAACGTGTTTACATAGTAAATGGGCCTTTTAGTGAGGATGGCCTTGTCAAACTACTTTTATGTTGTGAATAATTTTCAAAACTGGACCAGTAATTACAGTGCCAAGGCTGAAATTATACCAGCTACAGAGCTTACATCTGAGAACATCCATCCATCTATTTAGCATCTATCTATCTATTTTATTACTTCTGCATATAATAAATAAATATATATATATATATAAATAAATTAGTATAAGTAGGAACCTTTATAGCGTGAAATACTTGTTGCGGTACGGAAGGATTTCATGGACGCACATTTCGGGATGCTTTCTGTCGGTGTATGTTCGAAGGAGTAAACACCTAACAATCTCTGCAACTCTTGCAATTGTCGATTCATGTAGAAAATTAACGGCGTGGAAACTGTCGCGTAAACTCGTGTATAGCCGAACACGAACTTCGTAACTTAATTGTGGATAAAAATGGCCGAGTGGACTCCGATAGCGAAGGTGTACGACCCTCTGAAAGCTGGCAGCATCGACGGCACGGACGTGGAGCCCCACGACCGGGCGGTATGGAGAGCTATGACCGCCCGCTATAAACCCAACAAGGGCGTTGTTGGAGACCCGCATCTCACCCTGTTTGTGTATCGACTGAACCCCCTGACGACAGAGGACAAACTGCACCAAGTGTTCTCCAAGTACGGAGACGTCCAGAGGCTCCGGCTGGTGCGGGACATCGTCACGGGCTTCTCCAAAAGGTACGCCTTCATCGAATACAAGGAGGAGCGGTCCGTGGTCCGGGCCCGCCGGGACGCCAACAAGTTGGTGGTCGACCAGCACGAAGTCTTTGTGGATTTTGAGCAGGAGAGGGCGCTTAAGGGCTGGGTGCCCCGGCGGCTCGGTGGCGGACAGGGAGGGAAGAAGGAGTCCGGGCAGCTGCGGTTCGGCGGCCGGGACAGGCCGTTCCGTAAACCCATCAACCTCGGGGTCGGGCTGCTGCAGGAACGGGGGGGCGGCGGTGGAGGAAGAGGTAGGGAGTGGGAGCGACAGGGGACCAGGGACAGGGAGGACCGGGACCGGCAGAGAGAGGCCGAGTGGGGTGGCAGAGGGAGGAGAGATGACCGGGAGAGGGGCAGAGAGCGGGATGACCGCAGGCAGGGAGACAGATACCGGGACCGGGACAGGAGATGACGCTCACATCAAAGAAACTGAATTGAACTGCAAAGTGCAGATTTCACCGATTCAAATGACTTCCGATCCACTGAACAGATCCCTGTATCATGTGGAGGGATTCACGGAGCTGGGGGATGGAGGTGGACTGTGGACTAAAAGCATTTCAATAACTAATGACTTTCTTCTGTTGTCAAGAGTTCAAAGTGATGCTTTTACTCGACAGCGACATCGGGTGCCGGAACATGGACGAAAACACACAAATTCAGACATGGACAACAACTGGCCCGGGCTGTGGGCTCTCTGCATTTGGGTATCGCCCTCTCCGTTGATCCAAACATACGTTTCTCCAATGTGGACCTGTGTTGTTGTTTTTTGTATTTCTCAGAAATCTGCCATATCGCATGCTTTGTTGTTTATATTGATCATATGAATCACTTGATTGCGTTTCTTGATATGGTGGATCAATGTTCATTGTTTTAAAGGGAGGATTTGAAACTAAGTTATTTATTGTATTCTTTGCAGTACCTTCAGATGGATGAATCTGTTCTATGTTCTCTCTTCATAGCGGTTTAGTTTCTGACATAGTTAATTTGAATTATCGCGCTGAAACAACGATATTCAAAGGTGGCAAGTTAGAGGTGAATGTGAACTCTTTCGTACATGTTTTACATACTTCTTAAAAATGGCAGAGTTGGTGCATCACTGACTTTTAACACACAAATGAAGAAAACCAAATAAACTCAAAATGAACACAATTGTGTCACTTTCCTTTTTCTTAGATAAAAATGACTATCCATCTACATTGTTTTTATGGGTTGTTTTTGCAAGAAATTATTCAATTTATTTTCCTATTTCGCTGTTTTACTATTGTAAAGTTCACAAAAAATCCTAATGACGTATAGAATATAGATTCATCCTATATGAATTGAAAGCAACTCCATTAGTTAACAAAATAACAAAATTAATAAAAGCATCAAACTTAATGGAAAAACTTAAACTTAATGGAGCTATTTCTGCTTTTTGTAGCCTATGTATTTTCTCTTTTAATTCCTGCGCCAGCAGCAGATTGTATTTTAGTTATGAGTCACTGGGTGGACTGTTTTTTCTCTTGCTGACCACAACTTGGTCTGAAGTCATCAATATGAAATGTTAAAGGTCTGCTTCAGCTCATTAAGTCTTATCCAGTGTCTGGACACGCAAACGGCCCATTAGCTCATCAGTCCTACTTCTGGGAAAAAGCTTGTACTGAGAAAAAGTGAGTCATTGGTGGCACTGATGTAACTGAGTAAACCAAAGCAACTGCACGGGATCTGATTGAATAATGAATACATTTCCAGCCCTGACACGCACTACTGGATGTGGTGGCGGAAAGGCTAACTCAACACATCGCAGGCCTAGGATTTCAATTCCAGTTCCAATTATTTCAGTATTCATTAGTAAGATCAAAAGTTATAGTGCTATTTAAAACAAAACTGCAGAAGCAATGCAAGAAACACATTGGACATAAAAGCCCTCAAAACTGGCATATTTGTTATCGGTTTAAAATATCATATTTATTAGTTTGCACTACTAATTCATAGCCATTTAACATAATTAGATATTTGGTGCAGCCAGAAAAACATTGACGTTATTATGACTGTCTTTGACATTTATTTGTTCAGGCTTGATTGTGCAGAGGAGGCCGCTCTCAGCGCCCTGCAATTGAATGGCGACCAATCCAGAGTGCAGCCTGTCTTCCGCCCGAAGTTAGTTGACTCCAGCTCCCCCGCGATCCTGTATGAAGGACGAGCGCTTTGAAGATGGATGGACGGAGGCCGCTTCCCGGCACCGACGGGGACCAACCCGGGAAATTGTACCTTTGCACTGTGCTAAAGTCGATCCTGTGAAACAAAACACACAGACACTGATGAGCTGCTTTCTACATTCAGCTTTAGTTGACCGTGACAGTGACCAGGTCGCTCTCACCTGAAGGCAGGGTTAATGCCGATGGTGTCCGGTTGTGGGAGGGCAGGTGTTCGTCTCCTGTGGCAGGACGATAGAGGAGGAAAATCCTTCTGATACTGAGACTGCATCTCTGCCGTACCTTGTTCATTTGTCACTGCTGTCAGGTCATGGTCGCCTTCTTGCTCATCTTCAGCCGGTTCACATTCTCCGCTGCTCTTTCCTCTCCCCGTTGGTCTTGAGGATGTGGGATGACACCGGTGGGAGCCCTGCTGATCGTTTAGGGCGATATCGTCTCCTGAAGGGTAACATGACGTAGGTAAGGGTGCAGTAATTAAATGACCCATAATGTATGTCTTGAGTGGAGATCTGGAAAAAATGAAGCATGATTTCAAATGACAAATTCCAACCAAAAGTGTTCCCTTATTAGATGTATTATTAGTATTTCAATTATAAAAAGGTATAAACTCACTTTCTCATCTCTGCCTCGTCAAACAAACACAACCAAAACGTGTTTCCAGAATGCACACACATATATCCACTAAATACCATACTGCCTGCAATCGTTGTTTTCAGCTCTGCAACACATATTGAACATAAATACACAACTCACTCAAGGCTAATCTTAAAAAAAGATAAACGCGGATGCTGAGGCAGAGGAGCACTAAACCTTTACCTGCTTCTGTTGGTGACTCCCCCTTGCAGGTTTGTCTACGCAAAAAGAAATGATGATGGCGGCGGGGGTTTTGTTGGTTGGTGTTTCTGATAAACATTTTCCCTGCTGCCTCCTGGCTGTGCTGTTCTGCCCACCAGCTGTTGAGGCTGGAGTGGTGCAATCAGAAGTGGAACGCACTGTAATAGAAAGTGGGAACATTTTTTGCAAGCCTTGAAAATATCCCATGTTGAATTTATTTCAAATAACAATTTGCCTTAAATCAGAACTTAAGAGAGTTAGTGAGTGTATTGATTACCTTGCATGTAGAAACATTCAAACTGTGGCTCAGTTCTTCAGTGTTTCCCCATATACTGTGGACACATTTACTGTTTATCTGTGCAACGCCATATAAAGAGATACATCAAGCTTGTTTATTGCGGTTGTCATGGTGTAAAATACTGAAGAACACAGCAAGTGAGACTTCTCAGCCACCTATAGGTGACATGCTGACCCTTTTACCAAGTTCAAATGTGTATATTGTCATGTCATTAGTGATAAAAGTAAAATACACAGCTGTGAGTATAATGATATTAGATACATTTACTTCTACTCAGTTACTCACACAACACTGTCAAAAAAAGGAAAACATGTTGTCTATTCATTGGTTGCCCTGGAGCATTTGGCCAGCACTCAGCAATGCTTTGTGCCTCCCAGTGTTCAGCTGGCGTGAATCCCAAATGTATTTCTTTCACAGTAGAGGGCTTGTTTCAGCCTGTAACTTTTCAGCACAGAACTTTTTCCTTGCACATGAATAATTTTTTACCAAATATCAGATTTTCTAAACTACAGCTATGTGTATTGATTAACTTTTGAATTCATCGTCAACATATCCGATTAGTAAAAAGATAGGATAACAACTTATCTTATAATAAAACATGTCATTTACACACAAATCACTCTGCAAAGGGTTGCAAAAAAACACATTAGACACCACATTAGCAAACATAAAAAAATATCCACACTTGCATTTGATATTTTTTTATTTCTATAAAAAAGTCACTTTTATCACTTCAGGGAATCGCCCTATTAATAAAAACTATTTCAAGCTGTAATATTTGTCACCGGATAATATCATTATCATAGAAAGTTATTATAATTATCATTGACTATTATTATTATTGTGAATAGTAGTTGTAGTAGTATAAGTCGTACTGTTGTTGTATCGACGTTGTAGATATTATGACGAACTTCGCACATTTTGCACTGATTTCCGCACGCGCCGCCAGGAGTCTCCCGTTCCCATAGTAACCAGCCTTCAGCGCGAGCCGGATACGGACCCAGTTTACCGGCCGCGCTCATTCCTTCAGCATTTCCCTCCGCTGCTGCTGCTCTCTGCGACCTGCGCTGTTTACCGTGCCGAGGAGAAGCCGCCAGGAGGCCGACGCCTTGTCATACTTGAACCGAGTGCTTCTAAGACGGTGGGGGGGAGGTGGGGGGGCGCGTACAGCTCGCTTGACGGCTAGACGGTGTTGTCCGGAAGTCGGTTCTGAGGAGGAGGAGGGGGGAGTAGGGAAAGGCATGAGAAAAGAAAGAGTTGGGAAAGAAACTTCTGACTCAATTCCTCTCCAAAGGCTCTTTCGAAAACACTGGTCTCTTCTTCGGTCGTCCCGCTGAGAGGGTAACGGGTTCCTGCGGATGGGTAGCTAGCGTCGTGTCTCGCTTCATCGATGGGTCTGCCGGACGCTGGAGTTCAGCGACTCTTTCTGGACAGTCCGGAGTTCAGAGAGCGACTGCAGTGCCATGAGATCG